CCTCCGTCCGTCGGGGGTGAGTGTGCTCTTGGCACGGACGTCCTTGAGGACAGGCAGGAGGACTTTGACTCTCTCGCGGCTGCTGTACCTCATCTCGTGGCCTGGTTGCTTGCCCCTGAGGGAGACCCGGATGCACTAGACATCCCCACTCCGCGCACTTACGTAGAGGCGATCTCGGGTCCCTACTCCTCTCAGTGGCAGACAGCCATGGACGCAGAGATGGCATCCTGGAAGTCCACAGGCACCTACGTCGACGAGGTTCCCCCTCCTGGGGCGAACATCGTCGATGGCATGTGGATTTTCAGGGTGAAGCGGCCGCCAGGTTCTCCGCCTGTCTTCAAGGCTCGTTACGTTGCTAGAGGCTTCAGTCAGCGTCAGGGGGTCGACTTCTTCCAGACCTTCTCCCCCACCCCGAAGATGACCACTCTTCGGGTTCTGCTGCACGTTGCTGCTCAGCGTGACTACGAGCTTCACTCTCTTGACTTCAGCACAGCGTTCCTGCAGGGCAGCCTGCACGAGGAGATCTGGCTGCGCCGTCCACCTGGCTTTACTGGGTCGTTTCCTCCTGGTACCCAGTGGAGCCTCCGCCGACCAGTCTACGGTCTCCGCCAGGCGCCACGTGAGTGGCACGACACACTGAGGACTACACTTGCGGCTCTTGGGTTCGCGCCGTCTACTGCTGACCCGTCGCTGTTTCTGCGCACAGACACGTCGCTGCCGCCGTTCTACATTCTCGTGTACGTCGACGACTTGGTCTTTGCTACTGCTGACACTGAGGCACTCGCTCGTGTGAAGTCGGAGCTGCAGAAGAGACACACCTGCACTGACCTGGGTGAACTGCGTAGCTACCTTGGCTTGCAGATCACCCGGGACAGAGCTCGCCGCACCATCACCCTGACTCAGTCACACATGGTGCAGCAGGTCCTTCAGCGCTTCGGCTTCCAGTTCTCCTCACCACAGGCCACACCTCTGGCTACCAGCCACTCGCTCTCAGCTCCACCTTCGGACGAGTCCGTAGAGCCGAGTGGCCCGTACCCAGAGCTTGTAGGCTGCCTCATGTACCTGATGACTTGCACGCGACCTGACCTCGCGTACCCTCTTAGCATCCTTGCTCGTTACGTTGCGCCTGGGAGACACAGGCGAGAGCACTGGGAGGCTGCTAAGAGGGTGCTGCGTTACTTGTGCAGTACATCAGGCATGGGGCTGGTGCTTGGAGGACGCGACAGAGTTGTCCTCACTGGTCACTCGGACGCTTCTTGGGTGGACGACCTGGCTACGCAGCGGTCGTCACAAGGTTACACCTTCAGCCTTGGCTCTGGTTCTGTCTCGTGGCGGTCCACCCGCTCTTCTTCTGTTCTCGGCTCTAGTTGTGAGGCTGAGATCTACGCCACAGCCATGGCTGCACAGGAGTAACGCTGGCTCACCTACCTGCTGACTGACTTGGGAGAGCGGCCTAGTTCTCCTCCAGTTCTGTACGGTGACAACAAGGCGGCTCTTGCCTTGTGTCAGGAGCACAGACTGGAGCACAGGACGAAGCACATTGCTCTTCGCTACTTTCTTGCTCGAGAGCTTCAGCAGCGCGGTCAGCTTCGGCTTGTGTACGTGGACTCGAAGGCCAACACTGCTGATATCTTCACCAAGGCGCTCCCGCCTAGTGATCATCAGCGGCACTGTACTTCTTTAGGCCTTGTGTCCACGTTTCCTCACTTGCTCACTGCTTGACATTCTTTGTACTGTACTTTATATATATCCTGTTGCTTGCTTGCTAGGTTTTGATCACTGTGTTGCTTGTCTTGTACTATCTCTAGCACTGCATGTGAACTGGCCTTGTGGCCTTTGCTTGTGCTCAGAGTGTGGTGACGTTGTGATCCACCCTGGGCTTGCGTTGCTTTGCTGGACTGGTCTTGTGACAATTTGTTCTCCCCCACTTTGCCTATGGGGGTGTGTTAAATTGTAATGTGTTATATGTTGGTAGGCTGTAGTGGGGTAGCCAATATGGGGTACAACCCCAACTAGGGTTTGCTACTTGTACCCAACTGTTCCATTCAATGCATTCATTCTTGCCTAGTTATTCTGACAGCCTGCCCCTACCTGCGTTCCCTGCGTCGAGGGGCGGCAGCGCGCCGCTCCTCACTCCTCCGAGTTTCCGCCGACAGAGGCTCCGCTGCAGACTCTTCACATGGACGTGTGGGGCCCAGCCCGCGTCCGTGGACAGGGTCACGAGCGCTACTTCCTGCTGGTGGTTGACGACTACTCGCGTTACACCACAATCTTCCCCTTGAGCCACAAGGATGAGGTCACTGAGGTGTTGATCGACTGGATCCGTGCAGCTTGTCTCCAGCTCAGGCGGAGTTTCGGCTCGGACTTTCCTGTCTTGCGTCTGCACTCTGACAGAGGTGGAGAGTTTTCCTCCGGCCCTCTACGAGCCTTCTGTCGTGCGAGGGGCATCCGCCAGACGTTCACGCTTCCGGCCTCTCCACAGCAAAATGGGATTGCTGAGCGCCGCATTGGCATGGTCATGGATGTCGCTCGCACGTCCATGATCCATGCGGCTGCTCCCCATTTTCTGTGGCCGTTTGCAGTTCAGTACGCGGCGCATCAGATCAACCTTCAGCCCCGGGTCTCCATGCCGGACACCTCCCCCACTCTGAGGTGGACGGGGCAGGTTGGCGATGCGTCTGCGTTTCGTGTCTGGGGATCTCGGGCTTTTGTCCGAGACTTGTCTACGGACAAGCTGTCCTCCCGTGCTGTTCCCTGCGTCTTCCTTGGCTTCCCCCCTGACGTGCCTGGTTGGCAGTTTTACCACCCCACCTCGCGCCGTGTTCTGTCCTCCCAGGACGTCACGTTTGACGAGTCGGTTCCGTACTACCGTCTCTTCCCCTACCGCGCTGCCCCCCAACCCCCCCACCGCTCTTCCTTACGCCAGGTTCCCCCCTCGGTAGACCCCCTTCCCCGCCAGGGTCCTGCTCCTTCAGGTGTGTCTCAGGTAGACCCCCCCCCCTTGGCTGAGCCTTTGGAGGTCACTTCCGACACCTCTGGCTCACCTGAGGGGGGTGACGCTGCTATTGCCGCCCCGGCGGCCTACCGCCGCGCACCACGCTTGGAGACCCCTCCGGGGTTCCCTCCGCGACCTTCTTCGCCGCCTCTGCAGCCGGTTACTGTTGACTCTGGTGCTGTTGGGGGTGGTGCTCCTGGAGGTGCTGCGTCTGGGGGTGCGGAGTCTGGGGGTGCTGAGCCTGCGCGTGAGGAGACTGGAGGTCCTGCGCCTGGGGGTGCTGTGTCTGGGGGTACTGAGCCTGTGTGTGCGGAGTCTGGGGGTGCTGAGTCTGGAGGTGAGACGCTTGAGGGTACTGGGACTGCTGGTGCACGGCCTACTTGGAGTGGCCGCCTTCGTCCGCGTGTGCCTCTCACCCCTCAGCAGCTGCACGACTGTGTCAGAGGTCCACTGGTGATCCCCGATGATCCTAGGGAAGGGTTACAGGCACGTCGGCCTGGGGGGTTATGGGCGCACTCACCCGCTATATAAAAAAGCCCTTTTATCCCAGTGGTTAGTGGCTGGGATTCTGACATGGTATCAGAGCGAAGGTCTCGGGTTCGAATCCCGGTGTATGCACTTCGGGCATCCCAGTGCGGGGGGGTGTCAGAGGTCCACTGGTGATCCCCGATGATCCTAGGGAAGGGTTACAGGCACGTCGGCCTGGGGGGTTATGGGCGCACTCACCCGCTATATAAAAAAGCCCTTTTATCCCAGTGGTTAGTGGTTGGGATTCTGACACCCAGTACCTGTCATTCCACCAGGTACAGTAGTTAACAATTAAGACACAGCCAAAAAAACATCCAAAATCATGAAAAACAACATACGGTAATACAACAGCACAGAAAACCCTTCACCTGCTCCAACTCATATACCGTATTCTACCGGACAAAACACCGCTGAAAGCTGGCAAGCAATGTGTTTGGAGTGAGCTGGCATTGGTGTTGCGGGTTCTTTCCAGGGGTAACACTTACCAAACAGTAAGACGAGACGAGCACGAATGAAGGCCATGAGGTAAAGTAGAGTCAACTGGAAATCGGCTTGCAAGAAGGAGAACGGGATGCAGAATTGGATGGGTATCTAGGGACTGAAATCACCCTTATCTATAGTCGCGTTGAGGCTCTGGGACGCAAAGGACCAGAAAGACTGGCGTTATGGCGCAAGGTGGAGATTGACGGACGAGATGATTGGAGGTTCCGCGAAAGTATCTCAGCCAGACGATCATTCAGAGTCAGACTCGGAGGTGAATCGAGGTCTTCGATATTATTGCGAACCACCAATAAAGTCGGGCGAGCGGATCAGTCGGGATGGCACTGTCGACGAATCAAAATGCGCTGGTTTCTGGTTAGCTTCTGAACTTCGGATCCCATTGGGTCCCAGCAACTCAATAATAGCAACTTCAGGGGAGAATGAGTGCGCTAGCTGTAATGCACTTGGCTGTGACGCGTTGCTGTGAGCTAGCCAATCGAATTTCAGGCCATGGCGGAAAGCGGAATGGGTGGAATGGAGCGGAATGGGTGGAAATTGAGAAAGGGAAGGGAAGGAAAGGAAGAAAAGGAAACCGCTGTGGCGCAGTGAGTTTTCGCACGGTAGTTGGTTTTAGTCGGTTACCGCTTTCTGACTCAACGCACCAGAACAGACCGGGGTATGTGATTTGAGATTGCTTATAGCGGTGGACCCCTTCTTGCAATTTCGTTAAAAGAAGCGGTGTACTTCAGCGTTGTGGTAGGGTTGACTTCCGAGTTCATTCGCTCCCTTTGGTCCAATCGGTGCCTGCCAGCGCTCGAAGCCTTCAGATGTTAGCCACTATCGCGTATGGAACCGACAGTGGTGATAGATTTAAACGAAACAGAAGTAACTATGACAATTTTAAACATTGTTTGTGACGCTATCTGGGTCGGAAGGCATTCGTTTACAACAAGTCCAACGTAAGAAACACAAACAGGAAGAACCAACACAGCAAACCCTATCCCAGTGTTTCCCACCACAAATCAAAGCGTACCCCCTCCTCAGCAGCTTTGCTTAACTGCCCGCGCGCTGCGCCATCTGGATACCTGAGAGTGTGAATGTTCCCATAGAACCCCCTTGGATTCTTCCGAATTGCCTTGAAAGTCGACACAAGCTTCGTTGTTCGTTCTGCCATTACCTTCCCAAGCACGCCACTGCATAGCCAGATACCATTATCCTTTTCGAATTGGTATTCGCATGGCAGATCCAGCACCTTGGGACCGTTCAATCCCGCTGTTGCTTTGTGCACATGCGTCATGGTCGGCGGCATCTTGCCCTGCATGTGAAAAGCTGCCAGTCTGTACTCGAGCCACGCTGGCTGGCCATTTTCCCTGGATATCACACGCATCAGTGAAACGGGGGTTAATGTTGTAGTCATCAGAACAAGGTTACCGTTGAAGAATTGACAGACACATGAATCACATGGCAGAGTTTTAACATGGAAGGCGAAACTTGGCATCATCTGAGCCCCCATTAGCTCTCATTTGTTAGAGCTGCAGGATTCAAGCCTGGGAAACTCACATGTGGATATCCAGTCTCATTTTCACGAATCCGCTTGGGTCGCCCACGGCGTTCCTGGCAGCTTTGGAGCCATGCTTGGGAACCTCAAGCTTGCCCAACAGGGTGGCTTCGATGGCGTCTGTTGAAAGAGCAACAGGGGAGAGGGTGAAGGATGGGGAGGGGGGTTGTGGGGGGGGGGGGGGGGGGGGGGGGGCGGCTGGGGAGGGGATGTTGGAGGTGAGATCGGATTCCGGCAGTGAGACATTGAAAGAGTGAGTGTGAGTTCATTGTTGTGCCCAGCATACATCACAACAAATATGTCTCTAAAAGCCAAAGCGTTGTTTCATGGCTCTAAACATGTCCCATTGGGCCTACACCAAACAGCATTGTTTGACTATGGCAAGATAACACACAGACATTGAAATCTACGGTGGGCATAAGGTGTTCATAAAGGAAACAGATATTTTGGGGATGCAAACGTGGAATTTTGAACTGACCAGTAGAAAAGGGAGCGTCTCTTCTGGAGCCAGCGGCGTAGGCATTCGCGACCAGCGCCGCCGCAAGGAACGCTGCACGAAGCACACTCACGACGAGAGGCGAATTCAACGATCAGATTGAGATAGCAAGCAGTGAGCTTGGAGTGAGTTGACATTGTCGTTACGGACTCCCTCCAGAGGTAACGCTTACCGAATAGTAAGACGGAACGAGCACGAATGAAGGCCATGCGTCTAAGAATAGTCATAGAGAAAATCGGCTTGCAAGAGGGAGCAGGTTACTGCTTCTACTGGAAAGGTCAACGAAATGCAGAAGTATGTCTAGGCGGGTTTCTAGGGATTGGAATCACCCTCGTATATAGTCACGTTGAGGCTCGGAGATGGAACGACAAGAAAGGCCCCGCGATATGGCTGAAGGTGGAGATTGATGGACGGGATAATAGGAGATTCCGCGAAGTTATCTCAGCCCGACGATCGAAGCCAAGCTCGGAGGTGACAAGGCGCATCGGGTGTTACCGCGAACGATCAATAAGTAACGCGAGCGCATCAGCCGGAATGGGATCAGCGTCGAATAAAAAATCGCCATTCCTGCCGGTTCTGGTTAGGCGGCGTCGTATTGGGCCTCCGAATTTCAGTAACAGCAACTCCAGGCGACACGGAGACATGTGCGTTGATTGGCTATCTCGGAAGTGGACTCTGACGCGTTGCTGAAGCTCGCTCTTGTGACGCGTTACTGAACCTGGGAATTTGAACTCCCTTGTGATCCTTCCTCGGGGCGTGGAAGACAACGGGATGGGCGGAATCAGGGGCAGAGTACACAGTAGCCATTGCCAAACCATAACCTGGTCAATCGTTTCGTACGGCGCAAAAGGATTACACTCGTTACGTCCTGGTTCTGGGGTGTGAATGTGGCGTGTGATCACACGTTGCTTTTGACTGGCCCGGAGGAAACAAGCATCTTCGGCTGTGACATCGGTTGGAATAGGTTTTTGCCTTTTCGACTTGTGTGCTGTGCGATGCAGCGGACCTTTGTTTCTTCGGGCATCTGGGAACTCTGTACGCTTGTGGGCTGTGCTTGGCGGGCAGTGGCAGTATCGCGTACGTTGAACCACACCAGAACAAACTTGCAGCTACGACTGCCAACGCTTTGTACATTTTTCATAGTGTAACATCGCATTAAAAAAAAAAAACAAACTTGAGAAGGGCAGTTATTTAGAAGTGATGACTTCCTACTCACACGAGTCACAAACTGATAGTCCGAGAGCCTTTACAACCTTGAATCATCAGAGCACTTTCATGGCACCATGCGATGAAAGAAGAGGAATACAGATTCTACAGCCATTCATGTACCGTACTCACACCATCCTCAGCATTTTATTTTCCATGTACTCTTCCACATGCTTTATTCATTGATTTCGATTCAGAGAACATCCTAAAGTTTAGAATAATGAGGCCTTAGCCCCTGGAGAGCTGACCACGAACAGCACCATCAGGATACTTTTTCGTGTGAATATTCCCATAGTGCCCCTTAGGATTCTTGGAGATATCTTTGAGTGCTGACACCAGGTCGTTGGTGCGTTCGTGCTCGTTCTTCCCAAGGGAGCCCTTGCAACGCCAGTCGGTGCGGCTCCTCCTCTCGTACGAGCACGGCAGGTCCAGCAGCACTGGATTGTTCTGCCCCTTGTTCCCCGGGTGTATGTGCGTCTTTGTTGGCGGCATCTCGCCTTCCAGCTTCAACGCTTTCACCGAATATTCCAGCCACGCAGGCTTGCCATCCTCCCTGATCACGGACAGTCAGCAGAGGTATCAAATGAAGCTGAAACAACTGTAGGCAGCATATTGGCGCCTCATGCCTCACAGGTGTAGCATAACAAATGGAAGGGGAAGGACTCACTTGTAGATCTTGAGCTTCAGGTGGACCATGCCGCGTTTGTCGCCGACAGCGTTTCTGGCAGCCTCGGTGTTATTCTTTGGAACCTCATTGGACCCAATCAGCAAGGAGTTAAAGCGCTCTGTTGAAGGAAGACGGAGAAGAAGGGTGAGTGAGGGTGAGTGAGGATAAGGTGACAGAAGGCAAGGGGAGATAACGCGAGAGATGGAGGTAAGAAAAAAGACACGGTGATTGAGGTGTATGTTGGATAGCGAAGGAAACGGAAGGGACACGCACCATAATCCTTATTGTCGTCCGAGTAGGCAAGGGCCACCAGTGCCGCGAAGAATGCTGCGCGCTCGCAACACATGCGAAGCAGGTAGATGCTCAGTTCCGGTTAAGGTCGTGTTATAATACAGCCCCGAAATTTATCAAATCAAAACGAGATGAAACGAAATCAGGGAGCGGAAAAACGGTGTCGTACCTAGGATTAGCACGCGACCCGAAGTTGAGACCATGCTGTGAAAGCTAGTGATACAGAAGCTCAGTTTGCGGCAAGAGGAAGCGCTTTGTAGTAGCTAGAAATGTGGAAGGCGGGGTAGAGCAGGATTGGTCACAAGATGAATGGATGGATAAAGACGACTTCCATTTAAGGTCCGGTTCAGATTAACTATTCCGCAACGGAGAGACGCGGCACCAGGCGAGGCTGGCTGGGTGGGAGTGACGGGTGAGGCTCAAACGCGGCTCCGATAATCGTCATCGACCCCATAAAGGGGCTATGCGGAAACGCAATGGCATCGAAGTGGAACTCGCCATCCATCAATCGCAAAGAGCAATAATTGCGACTGTCATGGCACACATGCATCGAATTGCACAGGCGAGGAGACGTGCCGCATCTGGCTGGTACTGATGGACTGAACAGCTTCCCCCAATAATTGTGACTCCATAGTTTGAGCTTGAGGCAGAAATCATTTCCGTTCAGCACTCAAATCGCAAACAGGCGGTATTATTCGGTTCAATAAGTTTCAAAGCGGTACAAGAACCTAAACTGAATTTCTGAGTGTCTGAGCGGGGGACGTCAAGGGTGCTCTAGTTGGTGCGCTGGCTGCTGGCTAGCCCCGATTCCCTTCGCTGTACACGCTGAGTGGCGAAAACTACATCGCAATTTTCGCCCGACTACTGGATACATCTGGTACACTACGAACAGCTCAGGAATCAACAAAACGTGGTAAGACCCTAACTCACTTACGTACCAGTTGATGACACATAGTGCTTCAAACAGTCAACAGCCTACATTAATGTACGGAACGAACTTGCAGCTTGCTCCCAAATGCTTAAGCACAACCTTCAAGTAGTCGAAGAAATAAAGCCTAACATCGTGTGAAAAAAAAACTACAATCCGAAGCAGTGGAGATCAACTGCTCTACTCGTCAATCCAACCCCCAATATTCGGCCCACGGGCATCTTCAAACGGGCCACGACCACCAAAACGCAAACGGTCCTCCATCCCTCCTCGGGGATCCATGGGGGGAAAGCCACCAAAAGGCCCTCTAGGTCCTTGTTGACTGGGAAACAATGGCGGGCCGAACGAAGGGCCACGCGTGGGAGGGCCATGTGGAGGAGGGCCATGTGGGGGAGGCCCATGTCGGGGAGGGCCATGTGGCCCTCGAGAAGGGAAGAACTCTCCTCGCGGGCCATGTGGTCGAAAGAATTCACCATGAGGAGGAAGAGAGTCCGGACGTCCTTGCATCATGGGGTGCGGCGGCCCCAGGAACCCCCGCTCGTGGATTCCACGAATCTGGACACTTTCCCCAAAACGTTGCGCTTGCTGCTGCTGATGGGGGAAGAAGGGAGGCCTGTCGCCGTGCAGATCGAGCGGCACGTTCGGGGGAGGAGGGCCCATTGACCTTGGAAGCTCCATCGGTGGGCAGACGGGTGAATCAGCAACAACCATCACCCGATGCGAGCCAACCATTTTCACAGTCACCGGTGCGACATCAGTAAGAGGCTCCATTGGATCCCCCAGCTGCTGCTGCTGCATGTGAGGCGGCCTTGCTCCAAAACGCGTCTCTGGAAAGGCAGGTCCGTCTTCAAAGCCTGGCGGGATGGGCCCACGGAGAGACATGTGAGGCGGTGGGGGTCGATGGGGGTCGAACGGTGGTATGTGCGTGCGGATCACAGGGCCCATGGGTCCCATGGGTCCCATTGGAGGGCTTCTCAAGCCACCTGCCAGCTCGCCTTGCAGCCCTCCTATGCTTCCACCCATGTCACTCATACCACGCATCTCCCCATATCTCCCCCCAGGCACCGATTCCAACCGCTCTGCGTTGCGGAGAAAGCTGCTCAAATCCTCCCTCCCGGCATCCCCTGGCCCCAATGCACCCCCTGCTGCAGGCTGAAGCTGATGCATTGGTGGCATAGGCGAGCTCAAACCACCACCAGCCATCAACCCAAGCCCCGCTTCTCCAACTCCTCCTCCTCCTCCTCCGCCTCCTCCCCTTCCTCCTGCTGCCGCTCCTCCTCCTGCCGCTGCTCCTGCTCCTTCGAGCCTCTCCGCATTGCGCAAGAAACGTGCCATTTCATCAACTCCTCCGGTTGCCGCTCCTGCCGCCTCCAACCGCTCTGCATTGCGCAGGAAACTCTCCATCTGATCTGCTCCTTGGAGGACGCGCCCTGAGCTATTAACGAGTACAGGAGCCCCTGGCCCGCCAGCACGCATGCCCTGCTGATGATGTGTGGGCGGCAAGGGCAGGCATGGAAGGCACGCAGAGGAGAACAACCTAGAATCGTGAGTAGACTTTACTACAGTTGTAAGTGACCAGAGCAGGGATGATATCCAGAGGGTTCCTACTCAGCAGCATATGCTGATGTGACCCAGAGGCTCTAAGCGTCCTCCTACCCATACAGCAGCCTCTATGGCTCGTATCGTGTACAAACTTGTTTGACCTTCAAGCTCGTAACGAGTTCGGGTTCGCACCAGGCTACTCCAAGCGCCTACTGACTTTCTAAATTCGAGTCGAACTGGCGCCTATCGTGCGAAGCCAGAAGCGGGTCGGGTTCCGAGTCTTGAATCCAAGCTAGCAGGCCAAGCCAGGGACCGCTCGAGCCCACCCACAGCTGCTTATGTTGAGAAAACAGGCTCGCGGAACTCTTTTGGCTCGGGAAAAAAGGCCCGGGAAACCAAGCCCGGGAGAACAGGCTCAGGAAAACATGCTGCGAGTTCCAGCTTGTACACGTTTGTCATTCTTGAGAATCCTCAGAGGTCGCAACTTAACTCTAGTCAAGTGCTTGAGTAGGCAGCGCACTGATAGAAACTACCCGTTGTGCCGACCCCCGGCCTGGGCACTTCCTAAGCCACTTGCTAAAGCTCTTGAGTCGACTCAAAAGTCACCTCAAACTGTTAGCTTGCGGCTCCCCAGCCCAACTGAGCGACTTTATAAATTCCTTTGAACCGACTCACGAGACACACTAGGAAGGGCTAAAAGATTTTACGTGGTTTGGCCAGGAGCACAGACGGGCTGCCCGTCTAGTTCTACAACGCCTCTCAACACTAAGACTAAGTGAACAAAGAATTCCTAAGTTGATTCAAGCCCTATGACTGATTGAAGACAAGCACTACCCTGGTTGCGCAAGGCTTGATTCTGAAGTCGGCTCCAGAATATCTGGGCACGTGAAATAAGAGTGTTTTTAAGATGTTACAAAAACACTCTAAATACACTGGGCAAAGGGCCAGCTTGTGCAATACTTGGGCATGCAATCCCCACACTGCTGCTGCCCTATTCTTGAGTTCACCACCAAGAGGCAGACTCGTGTAATTGCACCTGTGCACGGATGCACGCACACCTGTTGGCAGAGACAACGTGCCCCAAGGGGTGCCCCAATCCCTCTGCCTCGCACTCACCTCGTGCTGCCTCAAGCCGCCTTCTCCTCCTCCAGAGAGCTGAAAGCCCGCATTAGGACCTTCGTCTGGGCCGAACCCAGGAGGCACGGAAGATACCACCATCCCCTGCCTGTGCCTTATACTCACCTCTGCATAGCACTCACCTCGCGCTGCCAAGCCACCTTCTCCTTTCCCGGGAAGCAGAAAGCTCGCCTGCTGCCCTTCGTCCGGGCCGAACTCAAGAGGGACAGCAGACACCACCCTCCCTTGCATGCCAGGACCCCCCAAGGGAACACTGTTGGCAGAAACTGCATTCACTCGCCCCTGCCTTGTACTCACCTCAGCCTCGCACTCACCTCGTGCTGCCTCAAGCCGCCTTCGCCTTCGTCCGGACCGAATCCAGTAGGCACGGCAGACACCACCCTCCCCTGCACGCCCTGACCGCCCAAGGGAACACTGTTGGCCGCAGAGAGCCCCCCCCCCCCCCCCCCCCCCCCGGTCTTATACCCACCTCAGCCTTGCACTCACCTCGTGCTGCCCTTCGTCCGGGCCGAAACCAGGAGGCACGGCAGACACCACCCTCCCCGGCATGCCAAAACCGCCCTAAGGAACACTGTTGGCAACAGAGAGTGCCCCCCTCAGGGGCTGGTCAAAACCCCCTTGCTTTACAATCACCTCATCCTCGCACTCACCTCTTGCTGCCGCAAGCTGCCTTCGCCTTCATCCGGGCCGAATCCAGGAGGGACAGCAGACACCACTCTCCCCAACGGAACACTGTTGGCACCAGAGAGCGCACTCCCCAGGGGTTGGTCAAACGAGATGGGGACCCGGATGGCGCCTGAAATTTGAGAGCTGACGAACATGGGGGGGTGGGGGCCTTGGGTGAGGTCGAGAACGACAGGGAACGGGGTGGGCGAAGGGAGGGCAGGGGCGGGAGGGAGAGAATGCATTTGTGGGCTGGAAAATGCAAACCCTCCTGCTGCTGCTGCTGCTTTCCCTGCTGCCGCTTCTCTTCCTGCTGCTGCGTTGCGGGGAATTCTTCCCTCCTCCATGTCACACCCTTCCCAATAACCCCCTTCCCTGTAAGCCCCTTCATCCTGCTCCCTCTGCCCCCTCTCCTCCCTATCTCCATACCCCCTCTCGCCCCGCTCGTTCCACGCCTCGTCTCCTCTCCTCCCACCCCCCCGCTCCTCATACCCCCCCTCCCTTTCCTCCCTCCCATCCACATCCCTCCCGCGCCTGTACAACCGCTGCTCACGCTCCCTCGCATCGTACTGACTCCCATCACCACCTCTCTCAACACCCCTATCACCCTCCCTCTCCAGCCAACCACCAGCCCCTCTCTCTGCGCTTCGCCTGCCGTCCCTATCATAATGCCCGCCCCTGTCTCGCCCCTCATCATAACCCTGCCGCACAAGACCTCCATCCTCCTGGTAACCCCTCCCTCTCTCGTACCGGCTCCCCTCTTCTCCATACACACCCCTTTCTCGCCCACGCCTCTGATGCTGATGCTCCCCCCAGCTTTGCATTGCATTCAACTCACCCCTACGGAACCCTCCTGCCCTCCCCACGCCCCCTGCCCACTGCTCCTCCTCTCTCCTCTGCTCCTCCCCTCTCCTGTGCTCCTCTTTCCTCATCCATTCTCCCTCTCGCCTCACCTCTCTCCTGCGTTCTAGATCTGCCCTTTCGATCTGTCTCACCTTTTCCCTCTCCCTCTCCTTCTCCCTCTCCCTCTCCCGCTCCCTCTCCTTCTCCCTTCCCTTCTCCTTCTCCCTCTCCCTGTCCCTCTCCCTACCCTTCTCCCTCACTTTCTCCCTCTCCCTCTCCTTCCCCTCTCTCCCCTCCCTCCCTCCTCTCTCAACCCTCTGCTCTTCCTTGTCTCTAGCATCCCTGGCAGCTCTCTCCTCTCCCTTCTCACTCAAAGCATCCTTCTCTCCTTCCTCCCTACCACCATCTTCAGCTCTATCCTTCTGCACCTCACCCTCCTTCTCCCTCTGCTCTCCACTCTCCCTCTCCCTCCCCCTCTCCTTCTCCTTCTCCCTCTCCTTCTCTTTCTCCTTCTCCCTTTCCTTCTTCCTCTCCCTCTCCTTCCTCCGCAGTCTCTCCTCCCTCTCCCTATCCCTCTCCTTCTCCTTCTCCTTCCTCTCCCTCCTCTCCCTCTGCTCCCTCTCCTTCTCCGTCTCTTCCTCATTCCCCTTTCCTCCTTCATCCCTCTTCTCACTCCCTATCTCAACCTTTACCCTCGGACTCAACCCACCAACCACCAATCCCTTCTCTCCCCCCAACCTCTCACCTCCCAACCCACCCCCATCAATCCCACCCCTGCCAGTATCACCCACTCCTTTATCCCCCATAATCTCAAACTCCCGCTTAACCTTCACAATCCGCTTCGCATTCATATCCTCCTCCTCCTCCCTCCGAAGCTGCTTCAAACCCCCCAGCTTTCTACCCTCCAGCTCTCCCTCTCCTCCTCCTCCGCCCTTATCAATGCCCAAGACATCCAGCCCAACCATCTCCTCTCCTTCATTCTCCCTCTCTTCCAAATATAGCTGCTGACCGCCATCCCCGTTACCAACAGCAGCACCAGCAGTAGCATCATCACCATCACCACCACCACTACCATCACCACCAGCAACACCACCGCCTTCATCCGCACCACCAAAATCATCTCCCGAAGCTCTTGCCTCGGCCAAGCCACAGCCAGCCCGAGCCCAGATGTTAGGTCCGAGAAGTACCAGAGCTTGCGATTTAGCAGCAGCGATGGAAGCAGGGTCCAGACCTGAGAAGATTAGAGGAATCATTGTTTGAAAATAAAGAGAGAATTGAATTCCATCTGATATTGGTGGAGCATATCCGATCAAAAACATCAAACTATACTCAAATCGAGCATTTCCAGTTGGATGAACAGTAGAAGAAAGACAGGGGGTAGGAGACCCCAGCAACAAAGGCCTGAGAGATTGTTAGACATTCCAGCGAGCAGTAGTATTAAGGAAAAGGCTAGAAAAGAAGCGGGAAGGAGACCCCAGCAACAACGGCCTGAGAAGCCGGATTGGACGGTAGAAGAAATCAAGGCAGGATGAACAACAAGGGCCAGGATTCAGCAAACTTTATAGGAACATTTGCAGGAGTAGAAGGGGGTTGAAGAGGGTTGAAGGGGATTGAAGGCGGCTGAAGGGACTTCAAGGGGACCAAAGGGCTCCACGCAAAGCTAGAAATAAGAAAATAGCATGCTAGGTGCTTGTGTGATTGTACACCAAGTGAGGTGTACTGTCGCATTGGATATGTTCTCCATTGTGGGTGTACATTTGCACTTGGGGTGCCAATCCACCCTTCAAGGTGTTTTGAGACGTCTAAAAACACGTGTACTGTCGCATTGGACATGCTCTCCATTGTGGGTATACATTTGCACTTGGGGTGCCAATCCACCCTTCAAGGTGTTTTGAGACGTCTAAAAACACGTGTACTGTCGCATTGGACATGCTCTCCATTGTGGGTATACATTTGCACTTGGGGTGCCAATCCACCCTTTATGGTGGAAACCCCACTTGCAAGCGGTTTGGTCATTCCAACCACAGTTTAGGAACATTGATGGTTGAGGTCCCAACCATCACTTGCTCCCACCCAACTTCTTCCCTCCCAAACTTCTCTTAGCTTCCAATATGCGCGTTGTTCAAACAAATGGGAAGTTACTGTGCCGTGTTGCTTTTTACAAGGCACTAAAACCTAATTCGGGTTCAACTAGGAGTTTTTCTATAGGTTGAAAGAGGCCCCAAAAAAGGCCCAATTAACATGGTTCATATTTTGAGATCTCCTAACTAATTCGAACCTACTTGTGAAAGTAAAAAATGTTGGTCAAGCTCCCTACTTTTTTTGTACACTCAAATCACTATTCATCAAATCATATGTCACGTTCCTAGCATAGTCACATTCCTTGCGCTCACCTTCCTTGCAATACATTCCTTGTACCATTTCCTTGCGAGTTGAAATAACGCACTTACTCTTGGTACCAACTGTAAGGGTAAGTAATGCACTTAATATTGGTTCCAACTATTAAGAAAGTAACGCGCCTAAGTTTGATATCAATCATACGGGTAAGTAACGCACGTACACTTCTTACCAATCATAAGGGTAAATAAATCGACAGGTTCGCCTGAGCACAACATTGAACCACTTCGAGCTTCTACTTCCACCAAGACAATTGGACTTATGGGAAGGGTATAAAAATACAAGAATCAACACACCTGTAGTGGAGATGGAGGTTGCAACTCTGAGCTCTGCAAGCAGCGAAGGAGGCATGGGCCGTGGAGAAGAGAAGAGGCCCCTTGTGTGCCCGAGGCGGTCGGCCAAAGGACCGTAGCTGAAAACAGAGGGTGGAAAAAGAGTGGGGTAAAGAGTGTTGAAACTCAAGATTATGATTGAGTAATGCGTCAAGAGGCTCTATGATACAAGCATGCAAGAAAGAAAGAGTGGAAGAGGAGCTAAATCTATTGGCCACTAAGTTGGGCAATGGTGAGGTGCCTGTAGAGCAAGCAACCACACAATGTAGGCTGGTTGGAATTGATTCGGCTAAGGACCGAAGGTTGGCAAATGCCAACCAAGGACCAAGGGCCAAATCCAATTTTGACCAACCATAACGTGTGGTTGAAGAGTACGCCGAACCCCCAATAGCATCAATCACTACACCTATTCTAGCCTATGGATGTTGTATAAGGTATACAATTACAACATAGAGGGCAAGATAGCTTTTAGTGCAGCATTGGCAGACACCTGCACCCGTTCGAACCCATAATACATTTATGAACCCTAAATGGCTTCACTTACATGTGGACGAGGTCATTGCGGCACCAGAGGTACAAGGGCGGAGGGATATTATTCCATTGATTCATTGTCTTGTTGTCCTTATCATGCGACCCCGGCAAGTAGAACGCGCGATTCTCAAAAATCTTCTCGTCCTTCCACAGTAGTGTGTACCCGAGTGGGCCAAGCTGACGCGTCTCCGGAGGGACAATGAGAATGATGAGTTTGGGTCGGTAGACGGAGGCGGCACGGCTTGAAAAATTCGAAGCGAGATGCCCTCGGACGCCGAAGGGCGGGTTGAGGCCCATTATGAGGCGATCTCTATGGGGGAGTTGGTTCCTCTGTTGTATGGGCGTGGGATGGAAGAAGCAATGGATGAGAATGATGAGCTTCGGCTGGAAGATAGAGGAGGCACGGCTCGAAAACATCGAGGCGAGTTGCCCTCGCACGCCGAACGGCGGGTTGAGGCCCATGATAAGGCGATAGCCTTGGGGGAGCTGGTTCCTTTGTTGCACAGGCGTGACATGGAGAAGGCAAGGGAGGAGAAGGGAAGAAGATGAGGATGTGCAAAGGATAAGAGGGAAAGGCCGGTGAGGCCAGTAATGAGGCGATTGGGCGAGGAGGGAGCTTGTTCCTCTGTTGCATGGGCATGGGTTGGAAGCGTCAGGCAAGGAGACAAGAAGAAGATGACGACGTGGGCGAATAGATAGGAGACTGCAAACAACGACGTGAATTGCTTTCAAGGGTGGAAATTCACGAAAATCGATAGTTGCTAGGAAGGTGGTGCACTCTTTGGCATATGGGCATGGGATAGAGGAGGCAAGGGAGGCGACTGCGAGATGAGGATGTGCTAAGAAGAGGAGGATGATAGGGCATGGAAAGAGGAACCAGGCCGCTGCAACACAAACAGCTCTACTTCGTCATGTGGAGCTAACTTGCACTACATCTGGCTCTCATGTGCTAAAACTAGCCCGCTGAACCAAAATAAGCTCTATTGCGTTACATCTTCCTTTGTCGAGCTACAACTAGCCCTGCCCCGTTACAACTACGAGCCCTGCTACTACCTGTACTGCGTTACAACTACCTCCCCTACACTACCACTGGTTCTGCTGCGTTACAAGTAGCGCTGCTGCATTACAACTAGTTCTGCCTGCGTTACAACTAGCTCCGCTGCATTACAACTAGTTCCGTTGCGTTACAACTAGCTCCACTGCGTTACTTCTGGCCCATTACAACTAGCTCCGTTGCATTACAACTACCAACTGTAGTACAAGCCTAGAGTTGCAACTGTATGAATGGGCAAGCTGAATAGTGCAGAGCAGTGCGCAGTAATGGGCAGCTTCTCATGCACTACGTTTGTTGTGCCCGCACTGGCATTGGCGCATACCCTATCGCCTTTTAGGGCGCCTCAAAAGGCAAGCTGAATAGTGCCGAGCAGTGCCCGGCAATGGGCAGCTTCCCATGCACTACATTTGTTTGTTGTGCCCGCACTGGCACTGACACATACCCTATCAGCATGCACCCCACCAGCATAGCATATACCTCACCCACAGAAACATTCCCCACCAGCATATAAGTTACCAGCTGGAGGGAGCAGCCAGCTTCACCCATCAGTACCCAGCAAGCAGCACTCATCTTGACGGAGAACCAGTCTCTTTTGACGAAGCAGAACTCATTGGGTGGCCGCATGATGTCAAAGTTGGCAAACCCACACAGCTTTCCCGCCTCTTCCAGTCGATGCTGTGCAATCAGCAAGCAGGCTCGTTCACCAGCACCCAGCAGCACCCAGCTTCACCCATTCGCACCCACCTTGACGGAGAACCAGTCTCTCTTGACGAAGCAGAACTCGTTGGGAGGACGCATAATGTCGAAATTCGCAAACGCACACCGCTTCCCCGCCTCTTCCAACCGATGCCTTGCGATCAGCGCGAGGTGGTTCGCCCCGCAGCAGAAATCCACCAGCACATCGCCATCCTCCATATAAGGCAACACCTTCCCACCACGCAATGCCTCCTACCAGCACCCACCAACACATACATACCTTTACAGAGAACCAGTCTCGCTTGACAAAGCAAAACTCATTCGGTGGTCGCATGATGTCGAAGTTGGCAAACCCACACCGCTTCCCCGCCTCCTCCAACCGATGCCTTGCGATCAGCGAGAAGTGGTTCGCCCCGCAGCAGAAATCCACCAGCACATCGCCATCCTCCATATAAGGCACCAGCCGCTCCACCACCTCGTTAAGCTTCTCGGGCATCGTGAAATGCCGCCCGAACGAGGTGTACCGCTGCCCGTGCACGTACGGGGAGAGGTAAACCCGCAAAGTACCCCCGATTACATTCAGCTGCTGGAGTTGCATTTTCGGGCAGAGTCCCATTGCCTGCTGCAGCGCTTGGGCTGATACCATTCCTGCTTGCTCCAGCTCCTTGGCTAGGAAATTCCGAGCCTTCTCCCCTGCATGGAGAATCGACTCTAGCTTGCTTAGCGCTATCTTCCGAGGATTGCCGCCCGCGTTGTTGCTGCCGCCGCCCGCACTGCCGCCCGCGTTGCCGCCCGAGCCGGAGCCCGCACTGTTGTGGCAGTGCTGGTACATGCGCGGGACGGCAAGGCCGGCCTTGGCCGTCTGTTCTGTGACCTGCTTTGCTGCGGCCTCGAATATCTTGCTCAGGCGAGCTCTGGACGCGTCCAGGTCGCACGGGTACTGGAACATGTGCCGCGGGGCCTTGCCTGTGAAAGGGCAGGGTATGGGAGGGAGGGAAGGTGGAGAGGGAGGTTCGTGAGTCAAGGCAAGCCCAGCCTTTGTCGTCTGCTCTGTGACCTGCTTCGCTGCAGCCTCAAATATCTTGCTCAGACGTGCTCTGGATGCTTCAAGGTCGCACGGGTACTGGAACATGTGCCGCGGGGCCTTGCCTGTGAGGTAAAGGGGAGAGGTACGGAGAGTGGTGAAGGGTGGGAGAGTGGTGAAAGGCGGGTGGGAGAGTGGTGAAAAGCGGTATGGGTAGGTGGGTGGATAGTGTGCAGTCCGGAAAGAAGCTCTGGACGCGTCCAGGTTGCAGAGATACTGGAACAGGTGCCGTGGGGCCTTGCCTGTGATGGCAGGTTAGCGAAGACAGCGGTACTTTCAGGAGTGATTCCAGTGGACTTCACACCGTTGTTCCATGACTGACCCATCTCCTTGTGAGTGAGTCCCCCCGTGCGGCTCTGAATCCCTCCTGTGCTCTCCATAGCCCTCAGCAAATTGAAGCCCTTATAATATGCTCTAAAACATGACACTCGGTCCAATACATACCTTTGTTCCACGACTGAGCCATCTCCTTGTGAGTGAGGCCCCCCGTGCGCCTCTGAATGCTCCCAATGCTCTCCATAGCCCTCTGCGACGTAAAGCCCTTACAATATGTTCTGAGACATGACACTCAGTCGAATGCATACCTTTATTCCACGACTGTGCCATCTCCTTGTGAGTGAGCCCCCCCTTGCGGCTCTGAATCCCTCCTATGCTCTCCATAGCCCTCAGAGCCGCCTCCCTCTCCTCCCTCTCCCTCTCAATCCACGTCCGCTTTTTCCCCTTCCCCTTCTCCCGTGCCGCTCCTGCTGCTTCTGCTGCCGCTTCTCCTTGCTCTTGTGCAGAGCGAGATGATCCGGCAGCGGCAGCGGCAGCAGCTCTGGAAGACTCTGCTGCACCTGCTGCAGCCCGCCCACTCAACCCAAATCCTTCCATCTCCATCTCTTCCTCTTCCTCCTCCTCTGCAGCCTCCCCCTCCCCCTCATCATCCACAATCATCCTCCTCCTCTTCGCCCTCCTACCAGCCCTCCTCTCGTCCTCCCCCAACACCCTCCCTCTCTCCTCCTCCTCTCCCTCCTCCAAATCCTCAAACCACCTGGACTTTCTAGCCGCCCTAGTCCGCCTCACGTCCGGAAATTTATGGTGCCCGCGGGCAGCAGTGCCAAGAAAAGGATCGAGGGAATGCCTGGTACAGTACATAAGACTTTCGGCAAACCCATCCCCAACACCCCAAACCCTCTGCGGGTTACTGGGGTCATTATTATCTAGTTTCAGGTCGGGCGGTAGGCATTTCACATGGAAAGATTTCGGGCAGCGGCGGCACGGAACAAGCTTGAAAGAATCTAAATCTCCCTCCCCCAACTGGCACTTGGCGCACGTATGCAGCGGGCAGAAAAACATTCCGGACCCTGCCCGGATGTTCCCAGCGACTGTTTCCAGCTCCTTGATTCGCTCCTCGCTGCCCTGGGGCAGCCTCTTTGAATCGGCCAACCACGATGCGACACATGTCGGGTGGTAGAAATGCCCACAGAGCGCCACGTCACACATGAACACCTCCTGCTCCTGCAGCACCTGCTGCTGCCCCTGCTGCCCCTGCTGCCCCTGCTGATTCCCCTGCTGATTTCCCTCCCCACCGCCTTCCACCCCTGAATTCCCACCCAAAACCGGCTCCGATCGCCCGAGCTGATGACAAATGAAGCACACATGCTGCTTAGCCTCACAATTCGGGCACAGCCACGTCTCCTTCTCATGCACCTCGCTGTCTGGCAATCCTATCGTCGGGCAGTGGAACTTGTCCCTCCGTTTCTCCTCCTCACTGTCCGGCTCCACATGGAAAGACCGCATACACGGCCCGTCACAACACACCAAGTCGCCGCCATCGTCACAGATATAGCACACGCTGTCCCACCCTGCCACTTGCTCGTCCTCCTCCTCCTCCTCTTCCCCCTCGTACAGCCCCTCCTCCGCACCTTCCTCCAAACCTTCCTCCGAACCTTCCCCCTCACCGTCCTCTGCTCCTCCTTCCTTCCAGGACCTGTACCGCGCATCTCCTGCCCTTCCTCCTCCTCTGCTGCTCCCACCCACACCCCCACCCACATCCATCTCACCCTCATCCTCATCATCTGAAGCAATGAACCTCCGGTCCTTCTCCTCCTCATCCTCCTCTTCCTCCTCCAAAAACCTTGCTACCCGCCGCTTCTTTCTCAGCATTCCTGCCTTACCCGATCCTGCTCCATCCAATCCGGCCTTATACGATCCTGCTCTATCCAATCCTGTTCTGCTCACTGGATACCCTATGTCTTCCAAGATCTTATCTCGCAATCGAGCCCTTTCGCTACCTCGCTCTGTTTCTCCCTCTTTCTGCTTCCCCTTCTCCTTCTCCTTCCCCTTGTCCCTCTCCTTGTCCTTCCACCCTTTCTCTACCTCCCTTCCCTTAACCCTTTCTTTGTCTCTCTCCCTCTCACTCCCCCCCACTCCTCGCTCTTTCCCACTCCCCCCCCTCTCCTTCTCGAGAAACTTCCAAAGGCTAGATCTTTTCAGTGCCACGTCATCCTGAATAAAATCTCCCAGCAAATCCATCCTCTTTACAAGCCGCTCCAAATCAACGTTGTGTGACCGCAGAAACTGTTTCACCTCGCCTTCCGACCAATCAGGATGGAAACGCACGCAGCACTCCGCCCAACCTATCTCCGAACCCAACCTCCCAGACGCGTAACCCAGGCTCGGCTTCCGAACCTCAACCCACTTTTCCCCATGCCGAGCCTGCACCTGAACCTTCACCGAATCTACCTTCACCACTACCCGCCAAGCCACCACATCAACAAAAACTGGTGCTCCCCCATTCGCATCCTTGCCGCGCAGATACACCGACTCCTTTAACAATGAAGGGCTCCATTTCTTATAAAGAGGCAGCCTATAAAAGGAATAAAGCTCCTTAGCGGCAGTTTCTAGGCGGAAATCAGTGACAGCGTCAGGAAAACGCACTGCTGCATCATCGTCATCATCATCATGAGCAATAGGGTTTCTATAACCAGACATACTGCGAGTGCCCCCCTCATCCCTGTCCCCGTCCTCCCCCCTTTCCCTACCCTCCCTCTCCCGCGCTCCCCCACTCCCTTCGCTTCCACCTCCAGCTCCCCCCCCTCCTCCTCCTCCTGTACCTTTCCTCGCCTCCTCTCCCTTCCTCTCACCCCCCTTGCCAGAGCCCTCCGCTCCCCCGTCTTTCCTCCCTCCAAACCCTGCTGCTCCTGCGACCCATGCAGCTTTTGCAGCTCCCCCAGCTCCTACCCCCCCTTCTTTCCCTCTCTCCTCTCCTCCTCTCGTGCTCTCCCCGCCGTCCTTACCTCTTTCGCCCCCCGCGGCTCCCATTCCCCCCTTCCCGCCTGATCCGATCGACAGCGCCATGAGTTTATACGAGCCGGACCTACCCAACGGTACAGCTTGAGCAGCAACCGCAGAGAACCCACCCCCACCGCTGGAACCACCGGCAACGCCAGCAGCAGCAGCGGCAGAAGACGAAGCGACAGCAGCCGCCGCTTTTGCCGAACCTAGCATAGGTCTGGAAGAGAGAGCTCCCGGACGCTTCACTACGCCCCGATCCAAACATCCGTGCACCTCTCTCCACTTGGGCTTGCTGATGCAAAAGTCCTCGGGAGTGAGCGGATTTCGTCGGTTCCGGTTGTATTCCTCCAAGTACTTGGTTAACTGGCTAGGAGAAAACACTTTCTTCTTATCCGGGGTTATGTAGAAAATATCCCCTCGGAATTTCGACATCCACCAGAATCCTTCCGGCTCGAACGGCTTGGTCTTTTCCGCCTCAGTTTTTTTCTCCTCCGGGTCTAAGCACCGGGCTCCTGGCCTATACGGCTCTGCCTGGTGGCAAAACCAATCCACGGTTTTGCCCGTATCTGCGAATTTTAAGAATTCCTCTGGAGGGATTCGACGAAGCTTCTTGCATGTCTTGCAGATGACACGTGGCCAGATCTCGTCGTGGCCGGCTTCAACCGTACGATTATCCATTTGCAACTAGCTCTCACCGCACACACTACATGAACTAATAGCCTGGGCCAAGGTTCCAACTGCCAGCTACGCTAACTCAAATCAAAAGATAAAAGTTGTCAGAACAAACTCTCTTCCGTAACCTTCCGCTGAAAGCATGCTTGGGAACTCGTCGCTAACGACTATTGGCTGTGTGCCGATAGGTAACGAAGACAGGTTGCAAGCTGTTACAGAGAGTAAAGTCGCGCACGAAGGATCTGGATCATGGTCTGGGGCGACAAGCGTGAGTGGGAAGCCTAAAATTGACGATGGAGATGAGGTGACTCAAGATAGGCTACTCAAAGATGCAAGGCGACTCCTCTATAAGAAAGCGTAGGCGAACACGTTGGATGTGTACACCCAAAGGATACTAGAAGTCATGATTATGTTTTACAGATATGTAGACTTGCACACAAGCAGGACCGTCAACGCAGTGCCAACTGCTGTTCGCAAATCTGAGAGATCATTTCATATTACCGGTACATGCACAAATCTGCTTGATTGATGGTATTTTAGGGAGAATAAGCATTACAACATACACACACACACATAAGGTTGAACCAATATTATATTTATTTGATAGGCATCATATTGGCCAAAGAATTCATGACAGAAACCTAGATGTAAGTGCAGATTAAACACTTCCATCACTCCTAAAAATCCTACTTACCATACTATAGTATTTATATAAACATTTAGAGATCTGTGCCGGACGAAACCGAAGAGCAAGAGGATAGTGACAGGGCAGCAGGTAAGGAAGGGTCCTCCTGGAGGCTCTTCAGCCTGGATCTTCGTCCAGGCATGATACGACATGAAAGAATACTGGAGTACAATCCATCCTTCTCCTTGTCTCCATGCTCAAAGGCCTCACACCACCCTCTTCCAGAAGATGAAGGCGACTCTGTTGAATTTGAGGCTTCATCAGAAGTTTTAGAGGGCAGAGAAGATGGGGAGAAGAAATCACCCTCACTATCAGGCTGGTCGTTGGAGATTTTGCTTTCCTCATCCACCCCATCATCTCCGAAGACTCCGTCACCGTCACAGTCAGAGTCACCAGCTGTATCCTCGATAGATGACGACTTGGTAGCGTGACTTGGTAAGGAGCTGGGTACACCACAATCTCCAGGCCTTGAGAGCGTATTTTCGCTGTTGTCACCACAGATTGTTGACAATAATTTAGAACCCGTGAATAGAGGGGAATGTCCCTGCAATCGGGATCTTCTGGTTTGCCGGGATCGTCCAGGTATCCTAAAGACATTCTCTTGCGCGTCGCCCGGTGCTGACGTGGGCAGCAGGTTGCTCTGCGATCGCGGAATTTTTGCCAGATTTGCAGCCATTAACTGCGGACGATCGTCAGGGGCGTACGACATTAGGGTTTGGCCGTTGTTCTGGCAGTCACGAACGGCCTCGCCAGGGCTGGTCGTTGGTGAAGCAGGTTCGCTTTTCGGCGATTCTGTCGCAGCTTCTGTTGCGACAACGACACTCAATGCTCGAGGCATGGCGACAGCGTTCGTCGAATTCTCCCAGCGCATCATTGTTCCGCTCTGGGCTGTCGCCGGGCGTGACTGCCGCGTTCTTGGTCGTTGCGATTTTGCTTGCGACGGAGTGTGCGACGAGGTGTGCGACGGAGCATGCGACGGAGCCTCCAACTGGGGCGGCGCGAGCTGCTTCTTCAACCATGGATGTTCCAGCACCCCGATAATATCAATCCTCTCCATCGGATCTGTCGTTAACATCCGACGGATTAAATCCTTGGCTTCGAACGAGATCGACGGCCACGGTTTCGGCAGCAGATCTGACGGCAGGAGTTTGCGATTGTCGTCGGGAAAAGCCGGCCAGTTCGCAGAGAGCATCGCATAAAGCAACACGCCGAGTGACCAGATATCCGCGCAGTAGTTATACGGCTCGTGTGCCAGAACCTCGGGCGCTTCGTACGGCGCACTCCCGGCTGCTCCGATAATAGCCGAACCTGGTTGTAATGGAAACGCCAGTCCGAAGTCGGCGAGCCGGAGTTGCAAATCTTCCAGGCGTTGGGATTTTCCCGTAGCGTCGCCGTCCGATGAGGCGGGGGAAGAAAGGGGGGACGACGAGTCGTTGTCAGAAAAGCGTGACTTTCCGCCACGCTTTGCAGGAGATACCGCCGCCGCCGGCGGAACGATAAGAATGTTTTCAGGCTTTATGTCGCGATGCACGACGCGGTTGATGTGACACCACCGCACCGCCCTCGCTAACTGCAGAAACAGCCGCGCCGCGACAGACTCCTCTAGCCCCTCGTGCTCCGCTATAAGCGCGAATAGGTCGCCGCCCGCGCACAGCTCCGTTATCATGTAGACCGCTTTGTCGTCTTCATAGAGGCCACGTAAGCACAGCACGTTCGGGTGGCCTCGGAGAATCAGCATCGCTTGAACTTCTCTCCGCAAATCAGCAAGCTCCACGTGTGACATTCCGCGCTTGCGGACCTGCTTGCACGCAAGGGTTTCGCCCGTTATTCTGTCCTGGCACCGCCAAATGCGGCCAGACTGGCCCTCTCCGAGAATGTCGCTGAAATGGTACCGATTAAAGAGCTCTGAAGTCGGGAGAGCCATGGCGAATGGTCTATCATACACAGAAATCTCTACTGTCACGTACGATATCTGGGCTCGTAGTTAGTAGTCCTCAAGCTAATCAACCACGAGAAAAGGAATTCAAATAAAAGTTATAATGCAAAGAACAAAGCTTCTCTTCTCGGTGGGGCAGATGGACAGACTCGAAAGGATGGGAATAAAGAGCAGAGGGTTCTAGATAACGATGCGTTCATATGCGGTAAACTAGCGTCGGCTCATTTGTCCTGGTTCATCGGGTTCCTAGCATCCGTCCGATCTTAGCAGAGATGCCATTCGTGTACAGCACCCCACGGGGGTACACCGTACCGTACTGCTGTCGCTGCAACTTCATTTGAAGGAGGCTGGCAAAGGTCGGTGCGGTGATGGAATGAATCCTAGAAGACAACGCAAGCAGCAGTGTCTAGAGGCAAGGGGGGGGGGGCATGGAAATGGCGGGTTGGTTGGCATTTCGTTGTCCGTTTGGGCTGGCATGCCGTCATTGTTGCTTGCACGCTGAAAACGGATCACCACGAAGCAGCAGCAGCAGTGGTGGTTACCCTGCTGAGTTCCCCACAATCCTAGGGACGCAAAACATCTTCCCTTCCTCCCCCCAACCTTCCCCCTTTCCTGCTCACACAGTGAGGGGGGAAGGTTGGGGATTCGGGGGATGTGCTGTTCCACAGTGGCTCATCCCATGCAGTATCATCCCAGCCGCGGCAAGCTCCTGGTGTGCTGTGCTGTGTCCGCTGCTCTGCCACGCGATTGCCCCCTCTGGCATGCTCCTCCCGCTGGCCCTCTGACATCAGCATTGTGGCTCCCCTGCTGCTCCCATACACCTTCCCCCCACTTTCTCCCCCCTACTCTCACCTTCGCATCACTCGCATCTCACCTCCACGAACGAACCCCCCGCAAGTCCACTTGTTGTGCTGGGTACAGTGAAGGAGGTGCTGGGTTTTTGCTATTATTAAACAGCGGCGGGTCTTAAGGGCGCGTTCTGATGTCCGTGTCGAAATTCACTCGGTTGCTCGATCAACATGGGATACAGGGGGGGTGAGGCAAGCTGAAAGTGTTTTTTCAGGAACCCCGGCATAATGTGACTGGCCGAGACACAACCATTCGCAAAATCGTCGTTGCGTTTGACACCTGACTTGTGAGATCCGCAGGTTTCACAAGCACGAATCCCGTGTCGGTGTATATATACGTCTCGAACTCTTGAAACATCTTTTCGCAGTTCCCCTCGGAGTAATTCTTGTAACGTTGGGTGTAAATCCTGCCATGTCTGTAACTGTCATGGCGGCAGTCACCCGTGATTTGTGTCCTTCCCCATACGAAACACCAGGGCGTTATTACACGTCCCGCCCACATTTCTTCAAGCTCGCGGCACCCTCCTTGTCAGTGTCTCGGTGACCTTCAGACCTGGTTCTCGCACTTTCATCTGGTTTTGCTAGAGAAGAAAGGCCACGGATGGGTGTGAAAAGCACGAGTCAGTTCGAACCCAGTACACGGGGGTTGGAGTTGAAGGACAGATGTACACCTGATGCCTGATTGAGCCCCTCCCGGTTGCCTTGTGAAGGGGGCGTATAAGCTGTATCAAGCATGTCGCATAAGTTTCGTCAATTCGCAGCTAGCTAAAAAGGACTCGCAGGTGCTTATATAAAGTATCTGTAACCATATTTGTTGACATTTTGACTTCAGTCTCTTCAGTTTGACTTCGGTCTGTTCGTTCATATTGGTTCATAACCACGCGACGCGCTTGTAACGTGGGTGCAACAGGCTGGGGAAAAAACCTCGGGTGCAGCGTTTCCATCTGGTGAAGAGCAAATTCGCGTGCATGGGGTGGGCATCAGCTGTAAGTGTGTTACTTATGCGCCACAGTCACTGCCGATTACAGTGCATAAAACTGGTTGCGAGAATGTGGAAGAGAACCACGTCAGGTATCGGTACAAGTGGCAGCTAGCCACCTGTTGGTCGATATTCTTTTGCCCAGTCTAGCGAGTCACGCACGAGTCACGACGAGTCATGACAACACCACATTCAACAAGGCGAAACTGTGTTTGCTGCCAAGTGCGGCGGGATGTCTAGCGGCGGGCACTCTACGACGCAAAGGCTACAGTACTTTCTGTGGTGGTGTGGTGGGGTGGTGGGAATGCTCCACCTGCAGCAAGTCAGCACGCCAGCAGAGAGGTCGGCTTGCTTCGCCTCGCCATGTACAGTAGCGCACCCCGCCTCAGGCCCACATCGCAACTTTTCGCTAGCGTCTCATCTACACCACACAATCCACGTTTTCTCATTATGATCCGATCCCCTTGTTAGAAGGGGGTGCGAAGGTCTACAGTACATTCTGTGTCCAGCGTGGTCGGAATTGACTGAGATACACGTGAAGTGATAACTTTCAGTCAGTCGTGTCGTGTTCTCCTGTTTTTCTCAGATATCTCAAGATTCTACACCCACTGCCCTAAGATTCTGCTAGCTGGGATGACCGACCGTACACCGTTGGGTGCCTGAAACTTCATGGATACAAATATGAATTGCATCCTAGCATGAAAGATTCTGTACAACCACCACACATGCAGGTTCACAACCAAGTAGACAGAAGAGTACGAAGCGCCAGGGCTTAATTAGATAATTGGTTTATTATGAAAATAATGAACGTAACTGGCCCCCAAACCCAAACCCCTTTGGTGTGACAAGAGTCAGCTCAGCAGCAAGCCTACATGGGCTGCCGGCACCAGCACGCACCGTAACAGGGAGAACCTTGAACAAAGGGCGTTTGAGCAAGGGCCTTCAGCAAACGGCCTATGATCTGCTTCCTGCAGCCATGATATATCTCTGTTCGCCACCTCCAATTTTGACTGCACACAACCCCGCTACTATAGAGTGTGTTACAGTTCTCGGGCTGCAACCTTAGTGGTAACCATGTTCACTGCAGCAGCTCCAGTGGTAACCAGGTGTGCTGTCGATCCATCAACAAGAAGAGAATCAAGGGTCATGTCCTGAGAGGCATGCACAGGAGCAAGGGATGCAGGAGAGAGAGGGTTAGAGAGGGGTTCAAGCAGTAAGCAGGTGTGCTGTCGATCCATCAACAAGAAGAGAATCAAGGGTCATGTGCTGAGAGGCAAGAACACAGGAGCAAGGTATGCAGGAGAGAGAGGGTTAAATGGGGGTTCAAGCAGTAAGCAGGTGCGCTGTCGATCCATCAACAAGAAGAGAATCTCATGTGCTGAGAGGCATGCACAGAGAGGCCAGGGAGGCAGGAGAGGAGACACAGGGGTTAGAAGGGGTGGGGTGGAGTGTCACGAGGACGGCGGCGGCATCACGGCATGGCAAAACGGCAATGCGGCATGGCAAAACGGCAATGCGGCATGGCAAAACGGCAATGCGGCATGGCAAAACGGCAATGCGGCATGGCAAAACGGCAATGCGGCTTTAGGGCTTAGGGTTAAAAGGCATGATACCAATATCCAAACATGCGCACTTGTTTACATGCCAGTGTGGCCCAGTGCCGACATTTTTTAGTCGACTCAAAAATCGACTAACTACAATGCGGCTTTAGGGCTTAGGGTTAAAAGGCATGATACCAATATCCAAACATGCGCACTTGTTTACATGCCAGTGTGGCCCAGTGCCGACATGCCAAGTGACTGCTCAACAGAGCATATGAAGCACCAGGAAGCACCAGGAAGCCAGAGAATGGGAACAAGGGACGAGTTGTGAGTGTTCAGAGAGATCAGGTTGCTATGATGTCCCATACAAACCGTTTCCCCGGGCCGGTACATTCATGGCACTTTTGTTGATTTGCCGAGTAGACTGGCTAGCAATCTCACCTTTGTCTTCTTGCTGAGGACGCCGGACGGCACACTGACGTTCCCACTGACATCACAGTATGTGTTTTGAGATGTCTCAAAGCACTCTCACCTTTGTCTTCTTGCTGAGGACGCTGGGCGGCACACTGATGTTCCCACTGGCATCACAGTATGTGTTTTGAGATGTGTCAAAGCACTCTCACCTTTGTCTTCTTGCTGAGGACACTGGGCGACACACTGATGTTGCCACTGACATCACAGTACCTGTCAAGAGAGACCACGCATGGATGGATGGATGGATGGATGGATGGATGGATGGATGGATGGATGGATGGATGGATGGATGGATGGATGGATGGATGGATGGATGGATGGATGGATGGATGGATGGATGGATGGATGGATGGATGGATGGATGGATGGATGGATGGATGGATGGATGGATGGATGGATGGATGGATGGATGGATGGATGGATGGATGGATGGATGGATGGATGGATGGATGGATGGATGGATGGATGGATGGATGGATGGATGGATGGATGGATGGATGGATGGATGGATGGATGGATGGATGGATGGATGGATGGATGGATGGATGGATGGATGGATGGATGGATGGATGGATGGATGGATGGATGGATGGATGGATGGATGGATGGATGGATGGATGGATGGATGGATGGATGGATGGATGGATGGATGGATGGATGGATGGATGGATGGATGGATGGATGGATGGATGGATGGATGGATGGATGGATGGATGGATGGATGGATGGATGGATGGATGGATGGATGGATGGATGGATGGATGGATGGATGGATGGATGGATGGATGGATGGATGGATGGATGGATGGATGGATGGATGGATGGATGGATGGATGGATGGATGGATGGATGGATGGATTGATGGATGGATGGATGGATGGAGGGTGGGATGGATGGATGGAAGAATGCATATATGAATGGAGGTGGGGGTGTAAACAATGAGGGGGTGTGACGCAAAACTGCAACAGGAAGAATTTTTTGAGTTTGAAGAATGCGAACACGAGCATGGGTGGTGAAGCGCAACCATGTTGCGAGTTGACTTTTGAGTCGACTCAAAGTCAACACAAGCATGGGTGGTGAAGCGCAACCATGTTGCGAGTTGACTTTTGAGTCGACTCAAAGTCAACACAAGCATGGGTGGTGAAGTGCAACCATGTTGCGAAAATGCATGAGGGGAATGAAAGAGCTTGGTAGGAGGTACAAGCAACATTGAAGAATAACATTAGTTTTCATGTAGCCTGAACGTGCACGATAGAATGGGCTGAAGAGGCCTGGAATGCAAACAGGCAAGTTAACGGCTTTTGAGGCGCCTAATAAGGGCAGGTCAACGGATGTTAGATGATGGGGATTGAGGTGAGTGAATGGCTCCGACTGCACGAATGAAGTTTGGGTGAATGGGTTCTGAGTGGATTCGACTTAAGAGAAATCGATGGGATGATTGATGGGATGTGTGGGCCCACTTTGTGAGTTTGAGTTGCTTCATAGCCATCCTAATGTCCTCTGGCTTTATTGCCGTGCTCTTGGATAGACTCTGGTGATACAAGGTGGGAGGGGGGGGGACAGACAAGTGCAGGCACCTAAGAGCGAGGGACCACATAAGAGAGTGGGCTTCATAGCTGTCTTAATATCCTCTGGCTGTATTGCCGTGCTCTTGGATAGACTCTGATGGTGGAAGAAGAGGGGAGAACACAAGTTGGGGGAAAGGGAATGATGAAGCGGGGAAGTGAGAGAGAGGATGAGTGGGGGGGAAAAAGGAGGAATGAGTAATTAGGAGGGGTGAGCACTCACGCTGACGATGCAGATGTGGTGCGGAGAAGATAAGTGACGGGAGCATAGGCCATGGGGTCATTTGAAATGTGAGAACGTGATGGGCATAGGGTAATTGTGATGGGATAGGATGGGCAGCAATGTTCAGTCCAGTTGGAATGCGACTGTGAGACAGCAGCTGGGGATGCGGTGTGCAGTGCATTCTTTTGCGTGTCGTGTCCCAACAGTAATATAAGACTGCAGTCGTGGAGGGAAGTGTGTATATGGGAGTGACGGGAGTTGTGTGGGGAATGAGGGATGAGGAGGAGGGAGAGGAGAGAGATGGGTGAGGGGGGAAGGGGGAGGAGGGAGAAAGGCAGGTAAGAGGCCACACATTGATGCTGCAGCTTCCTTGAAGCTTCTTCAGAGAGTGCAGAAGCTGCCAGCGACAGTAGCTTCTGAAGGCCACCTGAAGGGGAGTGGGGGAGGCGAGGATTGGGGAAGGTGGGGAGTGGGGGAGGCGAGGATTGGGGAAGGTGGGGAGTGGGGGAGGCGAGGATTGGGGAAGGTGGGGAGTGGGGGAGGCGAGAATCGGGGAAGGTGGGGAGTGGGGGGTGAGGATTGAAAAAGGTGGGGAGTGGGGGAGGTAAAGATTGGGGAAGGTGGGGAGTGGGGGAGATGCGGAGCAGGTAAGGTGGGGAGCACGGAGGAGGGGAGGTGGAGAGTGGGTGAGGTGAGAAGAAGTGACGACTTTAAACGGAAAAAAGAAGGAGCCAATCAATGCAAAAGCCCACAAAACTCTGAAACTCTCCGACTTTCCAACCCAGGTCAACAGCCCCGCGGTGAACTCACAGTGCCCAGGTCAGAGAGGGGAGGCTTGGGCACCAGAAGCTGCTGATGCGTTGCTCTTTCGAGGAATATGCCTCTCATGGGCCTAAACTCCCAACCTTTCTCCCAGCCCAACTCCTCAGAAATGACTCACAGTGCCCAGGTCAGAGAGGGGAGGCTTGGGCACTAGAAACTGCTGATTGGTTGACGCCAAATCGTAGGCTGAAAAGGGTGGGGCATGGATAGTGGGAGTTAAGGCTTCAAGATGACAGAAGTGGACAGAGGTAACTTGTGAGTCGACTCAGAGAGTTGATGCGATTCTATAGATTCTAAGACCAGGGCACGGATAGTGGGAGTCGAGAGTAGAAAAAACCCTAGACGTTAGACGCGTTTAAGGCGCCTCAAAAGTCAACATAGACACAGAGGGCTTGGTGGCAGCTGCAAAAACGAGACACACAGGCTGCAAGCACGTGTTCAACAGGCAGGTTTCTCACCATTTGAAAGGAGGAATCGGCTACATCACGGCAGTTATTCTCCATTAAAGTAGGGAAAAAGGAAGGGAGGAGGCAAGGCTATGGCTGCTTTAGTAAAAGTAAAAGGAAACTAAAGCAGCCGACTGGGAAAGTAAAAGTAAAGCTTTTAGGAGAGAAGGTTGCTCACCGACTGAGATGAGCCATCGGCCGAACCCGCGCCGCTGGAAGGGAGGCAGCACGACAACACTGGAGAGATGGAGAATGGCGGGTGCTGATGATGGTGATGGCGATGGTGACCCGTGTGGCACCTCAAGTTGCATTGGTGAACCTGCTCCCATGTCCCTTGGTGGGCTTACAGCTGCTGTGCGCGTCTCATCCAGCCTGTGTGAATCACCCAGAATTCGAGGCGCCTTAGGAGCCGCCTCTGCGTCTGCTTCGAGCCTGCGTGGATCAGCCAGCTTTTGACGTGCCTCAGGAGTCGCCTCAACCTCCTTCCTGCGTGAACCACCCGGCTCTTGAGCCGCATTGGGAGCCCCCGCCCCTGCCTTTGCTTCAAGCCTGTGTGGATTTGCCAGCCCCTGACGCGCCTCAAGAGTCGCCTCAACCTCCTTCCTGCGTGAACCACCCGGCTCTTGAGCCGCATTGGGAGCCCCCGCCCCTGCCTTTGCTTCAAGCCTGTGTGGATTTGCCAGCCCCTGACGCGCCTCAAGAGTCGCCTCAACCTCCTTTTTGTTGAGTGGATTTGCAGGATCAGCCGCCTCAGTGCCTGCTGCCGGAGAGTCGCGCTTGGGTAGTGGGGAGGCTTGAAGAGAAGACTCCTTCAGTTTCGGAAAAGGGGAGGGGAAGGGGAAGAAAAAAGGGATGGGGAAAGGGATGGGGAAGGGGAATGGGATTGGTGTGTGGACTAGTGTTCTCAATGATACAATGAAAGCACAACCACCTTATAAACCAGTGAAAGCGGTTCACATAGAACTGGCAAACCTATATCAAATGAAAGCTGTGAACGCCTTACAATGGCAAAGTAGCCAATGAGAGTATGCCACGTGTCAGAACCCCTTGTGAGGACATAGAAGGTGTGGCCCTCAATGGTGTAGACCCGTGGCTTGTGCTCCAGAAAGAGCTTTCCCAGGAGGGATAGACACTGGGCGGAAAAGGGAGGTGTAGAAACGTGAAGGAGCAGGGAAGGGAGTAGCAGAAAGGCATGAGGGGGTAAAAGGTGTGCCCCTCAACGGTGTACACGCGTGGCTTGTGCTCCAGAAAGAGCTTTCCCAGGAGAGACAGACACTGGGCGGAAAAGGGAGGTGTAGAAACGTGAAGGAGCAGGGAAGGGAGTAGCAGGAAGGCATGAGGACGTAGAAGGTGTGGCCTTCAACCATGTGCACGCGTGGCTTGTGCTCCAGGAAGAGCTTGGCCAGGAGGGAGAGGCACTGGGGTGGGGGGGGAATAGGGAAGTTAGGTATCAAGGAGAGAGTAGCAGAAAGGCGTGAAGACAGAGAAGGTACGGTCCTCAACGGTGTACACCCGTGGCTTGTGCTCCAGAAAGAGCTTGCCCAGGAGGGACAGGCTCTGCAGGCAAGGGGTGAGGAATTGGGGATGGAAAATAGTTATGTGCTGTGCTGCGTGCACCACCCCTTGTTTGTGAGGACGCAGAAGGCGTGCCCCTCAACGGTGTACACCCGTGGGCCCATGCTCCAGGAGGGGCTTTCCCAGGCGGGAGAGGCATTGTGGGGGATAAGGAGGAGTGGGAAAGCGAAGAAGGAAAGAAGGAGGTTGAGTGAGAAAGGGCACGTGGTGCTGCTGCTGTGTATACCCGTGGCTTGTGCTCTAGAAAGGGCTTGACCAGGAGATACAGGCACTGGTGGGGATAAGGAGGTGTGGGAGGTGTGGAGAAGGGGAGAAGGAAGAGACAAGAATGAGTGCGAACAGGCACGCTCTTCTGCTGTGTGCATCCGTGGCCCTTATCCACCTCCATGGTCTCACCTGGCAGTACAGCTTCGCATGAGCTGGATCAACCTTAAAACATACGGAGCATGCCGCTACCACAGCCATCTCTCCCATTTTCCACCACCACCTTTCCCCTTCCCGTCCCCTTATCTGTATCCCACCCACCACATCTACCTCCCTTGGTTCACCTGACAGCTATGTTCGGAAAGACGCAGCTAGGACGCTGCGTCCTGCGTCCGGACGCGTCCGGACGCTAGGACGCAGGACGCACGTCGAAATTTTTTCCGGGCAGCCCGGAAAAAAAATCGATCGCGATTTTGACATTCGCGATTTCGACGCGAATGTCGAAATCGCGAAATTCCCCCACCCCAAGCCCAAATCGCCATTCAAAACCAGCCCCCCTAACATTTCCCTAACAACTCAATCAAAATCGAATTTCACTCAAACCTCTCAACCACTTAGCATCTACGAATCCCAACCCTTGTGGCCCACCACCACCAAGCACATTTACCATGGCAAGCTTTTGTGGCTTCTCATTTTCCCCTCACCAATTCTCTTTCGTAAACCCATAGAGGTTTTAGGTCTAAACTCCGCTTAGCTATTGCAACCACAAATTTGTGGTTGGGGAAAATGTAGCCCGAAAAGTGTGGTAGGTCCCCAACCCCCCCTCTCCCAAGCCCTGTAGTACTTTTTTTTTGCCTGCCCGAGGGTTTTTTTTGCCCTGCCCGGGCTTGCGTCTTTTGGTGCGTCTTACAGGTCCAGGTACAGCGTCCTGCGTCCGGACGCATGCGTCCAGGACGCAGGACGCGTCTTTCTGAACATAGCCTGACAGTACAGCTTCGCATGGGCTGGATCCACCTTAAACACATGCAGCATAGCACCACCACCCCTGTCACCATCACCAACACTGCCACCACTACTACCACCACATGCAGAAGATTTCCTCTCCACCGCACCCCACCCACACTTGGCTCACCTGGCAGTACAGCTTCGCATGGGCTGGATCCAACTTGAACACATGCAGCATGGCGCCACCACCACTACCACCACCTCCATTGCCATTGCCACCGCCACCAGCACTGGCTTCTCTTGCTCCTCCTCCCTCTCCTCCTCCAAACCCTCCTTCCTCCCTTCCTCCATCACCCCGCCTCTCTGCACCCTCCGGAACCGCATCAAACCCCTTGCTCCCTGCATCCTTCAGTCCTCCAACTGGCGCCTCCCTTTCCTGACCCTTGGCCTTTCCTCCCTCCCCACCTTCACCCTCCCCACCTTCACCTTTCATACTTCCTTCCTTCCCACTTCCTTCCTTCCCACTTCCTTTCCTCTCACTTCCATCCCTCCTATCCTCTCCCATCACACCCTCTCCCTTCCCTCCCTCCTGCTCCTGCTTTGGCTCACTGCCCTTCCTGTCCACGTCTGCATCCCTGGCAGACACACTGTAACCCATACCAACCACGTCAGCAGGTCTCCTTTCCAAGTCAGCATCCTTGGCATCTGAACCAGTAGCAGCGGGGGCAGCAGCAGCATCAGAACCAGACGTACCATCGTCCCCTCCCCCCAACCCCACCCCTCCCCCAGGAACCCTAAACTGCAGGCCTGCAAACGCTTCTGCTGCAGCAGCAGTTTCTGTGCCTGTTGCTGCCGTCCTTGTCTCACTCCCCTCTAGTATCCCCCCTCCTCCTCCCCCTCCTCCCCTCCCCATACCCCCATCTGCTGCATGCCCTGCTGCTGCTGCAGCTGCCACAGCAGCAGGAGCTGCGGATGCAGCCAAATTGCCATCCACGGGAGTGGTACCAGCAACAGCCTCCCCAGACGCAGCAGCCCCACCCACACATGCCCCTGACCCTTCCCTTTCCCGCCCATCTATACCCCTCCCACCTCCCCCTCCTGCCATAGGTTCGCAGTCTTGAATGCCTCCGCCCTCCTCACATGCGCCTGCTGCAAGAATAATCATGGCAGAGGGAGCGTATCGTTCAGGCGCATAGATACTACTTCCCTTCACATGCGCCTGCTGCAGGAGCAAGCGTCGCAGCAGGGGAAATCGCAGCAGCAGGGGCAAGGCAAGCGAATGCAGAGAGCAAGAATGAGAACAGGAGCACGCGTGAGAGCAGGAACAAGCATGGAAGCAGGTGTGGTACACGGAGGGGAAATAGGGTTACCAGCGGCAGGCTCACGGGCAGGAAGTGTGGCAGTGGGGACAGCAGAGGCAGGAGGGAAGAGCCTGGCACGGTAGACCTCCTCCCCTGGCGGAACAACCTGCTGGCACTTGGCCTGGTCAGTGGAATTTGGTAAAGGGGATAAGAACGCATAAGCAAATAAACTTTTATTCGCCTCCACCACGTACGAAACCTAGGACAGGAGCCTGGCATGGAAGACCTCTTCTCCTGGCGGAACAACCTGCTGACACTTGGCCTGGTTGGAGGTATTGGGGGGACGAGACATGACAGGGGATGAACTCAGATTCGCCTCCAAAGAGCTGGAGTTTTGCCTTCAGGGTTTCGATTTGTAGTTCAGGGTTCAAGGTTCAACGTTTAGGGGTTTTCACTCACCAGACGGCGCTCGTAGGCTGCGGGAGTGGTGGAGTACTTGAGACAGGCGTCACAGATGAAGAGACGACCCGTGCTGGTGAGAATGGGGCCTTCGGGCTTAGGAAAAAGGGTGAAGGGTTTTAGGGTCAAGGATTATTACTTGGGGTTCTAGGTTTTTACTCACCAAGTGTCGCTCATAGGCTGCGGGAGTGGTGGAGTACTTGAGACAGGCGTCACAGATGAAGAGACGACCCGTGCTGGTGAGGTGCAGTGGATATGGGGAGAAGTACCTGGCAGCCATGTGTGCAAGCACGCACGCACAGAGACACATGCACAGAGACACGCACAGAGACACGCACAGAGACACGCACAGAGACACGCACAGAGACACGCACAGAGACACGCACAGAGACACACGCAGAGAGACACGCACAGAGACACACGCAGAGAGACACGCAGAGAGACACGCACAGAGACGCACGCAGAGACGCACGCACAGAGAAACACGCACAGAGAAACACGCACAGCATGCATGCACGCATACACACACATGCAGACATATGTACACGCATGCTCACACACCCGCGCGCACACACGCACACAGCGAATTCATGTAGGGAGACCTGAGAGCATCTGCTGCATGCACATCACGGTCGATCTCATGGTCACCAATCTCCACCGTCTCAACATTCTTCACTCGCATCTGCCTCCTCACCTTCCACCCCACCAGCCTCCCAACCAGCTTCCCCACATGCCAGCCTCCCCGCCCTCTCAAACCTATCCCGCACTCACCACGAGTCAATCTCATGGTCACCAATCTCCACCGTCTCAACATTCTTCACTCGCATCTGCCGCTCCCACGCAGCCACATCCTCACCTGCCTACCCACCACCACCTGCCTCCTTCACCCCTCCTTCCCCTCCCTCGTCTGCTGCTGTTTCATCCGTCCTCCTCCCATCTCCCGACCCTACGGCAGCAGCGGCAAGGCCTGGTTCTGCTTTTACCCCGGCAGCAGCTGTGCTGTCAAGGGTACGAGGGACCGCAGATTCCCCTGCGTGTAGTCTTGAGCCAGCAACAGCAGCACCCGACGTGTCTAGTCGTCTCCTTTTAGGTCCTTTGCGCATCAACAGCAGGCAGGCAAGTATCAATAACCATAATAAAAACCACGGCAGCACAGCATGGGTTGGTATGGCGGAACTCAAAGAGGATACACGCTGTCTCTGACCAATCTGTAAAAAAGGAGATACACTCTCTCTCACCATCAGCAGTTGGAGAGTGGGCCGCTGTGTCCAAGACAGCAGCCACCTCAGCCGGCCTCTTGGCGTCCACGTCAGCATGGCCGTGCACATGACGATCAGGCTTCAACCCATCATAGTGATTGCAATGGTCATGCTCATCATGCCCATGCCCATGCTCATAACCATGCTCCCCATGCCCATGCACATGTCCATGCCCATGGTCATGCAAATGCTCATCCTCATGGGCATCCATGGTGGTCCATGGCTCCACTCGGCTCTCCCCCACCCACTCGTCCAGCCGCTTGTTGTCTGCATCCCCTTGCAAGGGGGTGTGGGGGATAGGAAGAGCGGAGGGAGCAAAGAAATGAGGACAAAGGGGCAGAAGGAAGGGCCACTCTGATTTTCCGCCCACCCACTCGGCTCTTCCGCCCACCCACGCGTGGTGCGTCCAAACAGTGTGTGTCTGCTCTGCTCCAAAGAACTCAGCCCATTTACTGTTCGCAGGACTCACACGGAAGCCCCCAAGGCAAAAAAAAAAGATAGATTAAGTGTATCAGTACGTACATTCCACGTAGTGTATATAGTATTCCACTGAAGAAGCATCCACAAAATCAGCTTCTTTGTTGGTCAGCGGCCCGCCTGCTGCTATCCCCTTGTCAGACCCCTTGCCATCCCTATCAGCAGCACGTCTGGTGGTTACCACCTCTCCAGCATCTGCAAGAACAAGGAGAAAGGGTAATCAGATAGGGAAGGTTACCATGTTACGCCACTGTTTGAGGTTGGTATCCCCGGCTCCTGACTTGTCAGCATTTTTCATTACTTACAAAAGCGATTGTAGAGAGAGACAAAAAGAAGAAAAAGTAGATTCACTCACGGTAGAGGTTATCCCAGGAAGCGAGGCACGCCACTCGCGACCCCGGAGGGAGCACGGCTCGACGGCCGGACCCCATGGTAGAGAATATCTACCAAAGCACTGCCTCTCGTTGCTTCAGGAGCTCCGCTCCGTTCGCCGATATAGCACCGCTGGAAGGCTCGACCCTATCCTAGCGACGAGCTCTCAACATCTTTCCTTGAAACGCCTGAGAAATTTGCACCACGCGACGGCAGCCCGCAATCCAACCCAGCCGTTGCACGCGAATGTCAATATAAAGTCTGCATAGTCGTCGTTTTTTTTTTTTTTTTTTTTTTTTTTTTTTTTTTTTTTGTCCACTTTGCCTGCGGCTACCTACCACAGAGCCACCCTTGAAATGCTGGGAGCCTCCTGGAATCTGAGTTACCAAACGCGACTGTTCCTACGGAGGAACTCCTCGGAATATGCGACGAACACGACGGACGGGAACCGCACGCTGCACCTCACTGTAATAAAGCGGGGCCTAGAAACGAAAGCAGGACATTTGTCGGCCGGCCGCTGCTGTGAAAATGACGGCGGAATCTATGAGCTTTATCGCGCGCAGTTTGAATAAAATAGCATCGGAGGAGCATTCCGTAATGGAAGTTCCATCAGTCGTCTCATGCTTGTGCATAGCACAAATGTACACGGAATTCCCAAGGTTGCAGAGACTAGGCGGCGAAAAAGTGGCTTTTGGAGGGAATGTCAAGCAAGTTACCTGAGGAGGGATTCGCAACACAGCATTACAACTTGAAGTCCCATTCGAGTCTGTTTCAATGTCGTTCTAGGTTCGTCTGAGGGAATGAGAGCTCGCGTTCGTGACATACTCAGCCGGCGTTTCACTAAACTCTAACCGGTCAATGTGCCCGGAAAAGTAGGCTCGGAACCATGAAAACGGCCCCTACACCCTGTCAGACAGAAGTGCCACTTACGAATCTGATGCAAATCCTCGTTTCAAGTGCAGAGCAGCAAACATAATACCATGCAGGTGCAAACGACCCAAAGCTTGCACACACGGTGCATCAGCCACTGCCATATAATAGACTTGTGTCAAACCTTGCAGCCTGTCAGATGCTATAATCTCCGTCCAGAATGTATGGCAACCTACCGTATCAGGCCCCTCAGTCTAAGCATCGCTGTTTCCATGTCATTTTCCAAAGAGTTCAGACCAGACACAAGTACATCAGTAGTTTGCTTTACTAGAGGCATGAGCTTGCAATCATGCTTCTATTCTACTACTACACCAATCAAACATCCGATCACTCCCATTACTCTACACCAACCATCAATGACGGTAGTGCAAGTCCTTCACATGGGAAAACGGCAAATCTTCCTCATTCCACCTCCCCTGCACCTGTCCCGTCAAGTCCACTCCTTATCAACGACTCTGTATGACTCTCCACCTCACTCCACCTATCTCCACCCCACTCAATCCCTTGCCTGCCACATCACCTGCACCTGTCTCGCCACATGGACCACAAACTCCTCAAACTGCATTTGTGTTGCACTCCTATCCTCCATCAACAAAATGGTAAAACGACAGCTCACTCCGAGTCTCCACCGCACTCCAACCGCACTCCACCTTTCTCCACCTCACTTTACCTGCACCTGTCTCGCCAGGTGAACCACAAACTCCCCATACCCCATGCCCGTGGCGCTCCTGTCCTCCACGAACGAATGGTAGAACGCCAGCTCACCGCTGCCGCCCTGCCGCAGCAGCTGCACCGCTTGATGACAAACCTCGCCACCCCCTTTGCTGCCGTTGCCGCCCGGGAAATCCCCGCTGCGCAGGGCGTCTACTATGGCTGAGATTCGGCCGGCAAGTGGGCTGTCGGGTGGAGGAATGAAGGGAACCTGACAAAACACGAGACACAGATGGAGAAATGAGACGGACGAATGTGGACGGTTGAAGGGAAGCTTAGGACGTGCCGTGAGCCAAAGACCAAGTCAATCTGGCACAACTCAAATACCCCGCACATCCAGCTCAAACGCACCAGGCTGATATCGGGGGCGTTCAGGGCGTCCTGACCCACGATCTGCACAGACTCAGAACACCCTGACACACCTGATCTGACAAACCTGATTTCATTAAAAAACAAGCTGGTTTTTGAGAATTCTCAAAAACACACCAGGCTGATATCGGAGGCGTTCAGAGCATCCTGTCCCACGATCTGGGCGGCGGTGCCAGCTGGCAGCGCGCCGCCCAGCCAGAGCGTGAGGCCGGTGCTGTCGTCCAATAGGAACGCGCCCTGCGGGTCGAGCGATGACGTGGCGAGCGGCAGGGCGCGGGGAAGTTTGACAAGGCCCGCGCCGTCTTGTACCCCGCACTGCAGTTAGCAGGGGAAGGGGGAACAGGGGAAGGGGGGTTAAGGAATGCAAATGAGGGGGGTAGAGAGGCAGGAAGACAGAGATAGGAATGCGATGGGAGATGGGGGAACGACATGGGTGGCACAGGCAGGTGATGGTGTCGAGATCAGATCAGCCGCGTCTTGAACATGCATTGCTGGCATGCCATCCACACACATCAACCCCGGGTACAGAACAATTCCTAGAGTCATCTTCCAAGAGTCCTCCCTGCAAACACCGCCACCCTCAGGTGTGAGTAGAGCAGTCAACAAATGACATTGTTGCACAACTCAAGCCTCTCTCACCTGTCCCGGCATCACATCAACGCGCATCAGCCGTGGGTACAGCATTCTCAGCGTCCTCCCCACAGACACCACCATCATCTCAAACGCCGCTGCCGCCCGTGCGTCCGCCCCCATTTCCTGGAAGCCTCCTCTCAGCGCGGGGCACTTGCAGAGAGCGAGCGTGTACAGCGGCAGCAGCCGGAGGGACTCAGGAAAGACCAGGCGTTGCTGGGGGAGGTTCGGCTGGTGCAGGTGCGATGGGTGGCCGTAGGGGTTGGTGGGTGGTGCGGACGGCATGCCGTAGCCGGATGTGCGGGAGAGAGCGGCGGAGCCGGCTGTCAGGATGCGGTACTCCCGGAGGGCGAGCATTGTCTTGTTCTGGATGAGCTGGCGGCACTCCTCGAGGCGCGATGTGAGCGACTTGTCGAGAGCTGCGAGGGTGGGGGGAGAGAGAGAAAGAGGTGAGAGACAAGGGAAGGAGGGAGAGGGAGGAAAGGAAGGAAGTGAGGAGCTGGCGGCACTCCTCGAGGCGTGATGTGAGCGACTTGTCGAGTGCTGCGAGGGTTGGGGGAGAGAGAGAAAGAGGTGAGAGACAAGGGAAGGAGGGAGAGGGAGGAAAGGAAGGAAGTGAGGAGCTGGCGGCACTCCTCGTGGCGTGATGTGAGGGACTTGTGGAGTGCTGCGAGGGTTGGGACTGGGAGAAAGAGAAGAGAGAGGAGGGAAGACGAAAGTGAGGTGAGAAAGGAGGGGAAGGAAGAAGACAAAGCGAGAGAGGAAGCAAGCGGCGTTCCTCGAGATGCAATGTGGTGTGAGGGGATTCTCAAGAGCTCAAGAGCTGTAACAACTCAAAACTCACCGAATTTTGCGAGCACGGCCGCAGTCGCATCCACATCGCACCGCCAGTAGAGCTCCGCCATGTCCCTCACAATCGGCATGGCGAGTGTGTGCACTCAAAATGCGCCTCTCCCCTCTCCTTCACGTCCTCCACTCAAAACAACTCACCTATCTTTGCAAGAACAGCCGCTGTCGCTCCCACGTCGCACCGCCGGTACAACTCCGCCATATCCCTCACAATCGGCACTGCTAACGTATGCACTCGAATGCGCCTCTCCCCGCACGACGACGTGTACAGCAGCGCGCACTGCAGGTAGGCGGTGGTTTGGTTTGCCAGCACGGCCTCCTCGTGGGAGATCTGCACGGCGTAGCCCTTGTCCGCGTCCGCTGCTGGGATGGCCAGTAGGTCACTGCTGCGGATGAAGAAGTGCCCGTGGAATGTGGCGATTTTCAGGCCTGCCCCGGGCAGAAACAAAAGCAGGTTTTGGGGCAGGGCAGGCAGGAGATAAAAGGGGAGAGGGTGGGGGTTCAGGGGTTAAAATCCGAGCCTTCAAGGGTTGGGGGAAGCAGCACTGACTGCACTGCACTGCAGGTAGGCGGTGGTTTGGTTGGCCAGCACTGCCTCCTCGTGGGAGATCTGCACGGCGTAGCCCTTGTCTGGATGGAGATGGAACAAATGTCTCACGTTCCATCCCCACATTCAACCCTTTTCTCACATTCCCCATTACCCCCACACACACCTTTACTGCAGCAGATGCACATCACTGACTCCCAAGCCGTCCCCCATGTGAGATTCCTCACTATCTGGCTCCTCAACCATAGCTACTTTCTCCCATCCCCCACAGCCCACCTCCCCCAGCCCACCTCCCCAGCCCCCTCCGACACACCCACCTTTACTGCAGCGGATGCGCATGACTGACTCCCACGCCGCCTCCCTCGTGAGATTCCTCATGATCTGGCTCCGCAGCTTGTCGCCATTCTCTCACCTCCCAAACCCACCACCTCCCTTCCTCCCAACAACCTCCTCTCCCCCCCCTCCCCACACACCTTCACTGCATCGGATGCGCATGACTGACTCCCACGCCGTCTCCAGTGTTAGATTCCTCACGATCTGGCTCCGCAGCTTGTCCCCGATCTCTCACCTCCCAAACCCACCACCTCCCTTCCTCCCAACAACCTCCTCTCCCCCCCCTCCCCACACACCTTTACTGCATCGGATGCGCATGACTGACTCCCACGCCGTCTCCCGCGTCAGGTTCCTCACGATCTGGCTCCGCAGCTTGTCGCCATTCTCTCACCTCCCAAACCCACCACCTCCCTTCCTCCCAACAACCTCCTCTCCCCCCCCTCCCCACACACCTTTACTGCATCGGATGCGCATGACTGACTCCCACGCCGTCTCCCGCGTGAGGTTCCTCACGATCTGGCTCCGCAGCTTGTCGCCATTCTCTCACCTCCCAAACCCACCACCTCCCTTCCTCCCAACAACCTCCTCTCCCCCCCCTCCCCACACACCTTCACTGCATCGGATGCGCATGACTGACTCCCACGCCGTCTCCAGTGTTAGATTCCTCACGATCTGGCTCTGCAGCTTGTCCCCGATCTCTCACCTCCCAAACCCACCACCTCCCTTCCTCCCAACAACCTCCTCTCCCCTCCCTCCCCACACACCTTTACTGCATCGGATGCGCATGACTGACTCCCACGCCGTCTCCAGTGTTAGATTCCTCACGATCTGGCTCCGCAGCTTGTCCCCGATCTCTCACCTCCCAAACCCACCACCTCCCTTCCTCCCAACAACCTCCTCTCCCCCCCCTCCCCACACACCTTTACTGCATCGGATGCGCATGACTGACTCCCACGCCGTCTCCCGCGTGAGGTTCCTCACGATCTGGCTGCGCAGCTTGTCCCCGATCTCTCACCTCCCAAACCCACCACCTCCCTTCCTCCCAACAACCTCCTCTCCCCCCCCTCCCCACACACCTTTACTGCATCGGATGCGCATGACTGACTCCCACGCCGTCTCCCGCGTGAGGTTCCTCACGATCTGGCTCCGCAGCTTGTCCCCAATCTCTCACATCCCAAGCCTCCCACCTACCTTCCTCCCCACCACCTTTTCCTCCGTGACACCCACCTTTACTGCACCGAATGCGCATCACTGACTCCCACGCCGTCTCCCGCGTGAGGTTCCTCACGATCTGGCTGCGCAGCTTGTCCCCATCGTTGGTCAGGTGGAAGCCACCAAAGTGGTACACCTGCCCGCCCGTGTAGCGCGCCAAGGTGCCTGGTGGGTGAGGGGGGCAGGGAGGCAGGGAGGCAAGAGGGACAGAGAGACAAGGACTTGGATACAACTGGCTGCGCAGCTTGTCGCCGTCGTTGACCAGGTGGAAACCACTGAAGTGATACACCTGCCCACCTGTATACCACGCCAAAGTGCCTGGAGGAGGGTGGAGGTGCCTGGAGGAGGGTGGAGGGGAGTGGAAGAGCGAAAGGAGGAGAAACGAAGCAGCTAGTGTTAGAGCAGTTGGGCAGGTGTACCACTTCAGGTCAGGTGCCCATCCATGCCACGTCAATGCCAGGTGGCCAGGTGGAGTGGAACCCTGACTAGTGGTATGATTTTTGAGGCGCCGCAAAAAATCGATATTGAGGCACCTAAAAAATCGATATTGAGGCACCTAAAAAATCGATATTGAGGCACCTAAAAAATCGATTTTGAGGCACCTAAAAAATCGATATTGAGGCACCTCAAAAATCGTCTCAGGTGGAGTGGAACCCTGACTAATGGTACACCTGCCCGCTCACCAGTGAGGTGCGTGGAGGAGAGTGGGGTGGAGGGCGGAGCGGAGGAGAAACGAAGCACCTGGTGGGAGAGAGCATGGCTCAAACTCATCTCTGCAGTTAGACGGGTGGACGCCAGGATAGTGGTAGGATGGTGTTAACAGCTCACTCACCCAAGGAAGCCAGGTCGCAGTACTTGCTGCTGAAGACAAACACGTCGACACAGATCTGCGCGCGGGAAAACTCATTCCCCTATCCCCAGCGCAGCAATACCTAGGCATACCTAGCAATACCCACCACCAACCCTCCGCTCACCAAGAGAAGCCAGGTCGCAGTACTTGCTACTGTCGACAAATACATCAACACAGATCTGCGCTCGGGAGAACTCCCATAGAGTGCAGTGATACCTGCCCACCGCACCAGCAGCCCCAAACGCACCCAGCGAATCCAGGAAAAAGCTCACCCAGCGAGGCCAGGTCGCAGTACTTGCTGCTGAAGACAAACACGTCCACACAGATCTGCAAACGGGACAACCCATCCCCCCTCTCTAGTGCAGCCATACTCCAGACTCACCCAGGGACGCCAGCCCCAGACTCGGCAAAGGAGAGGTGAGGAAAAGCTCACCCAGCGACGCCAGGTCACAGATCTGCGCTCGAGAGAACTCCGCCGCTGTTGTCTTGTAGAAGGCGTCTTCAGAGTCAGGGAGGAGAGAGTGCAGGGGGCACCAAACCCACCTGGGGCCATCCCTGCAATCCAGCAACACGACACCCACCGCCACAGCCCTCCACTCACCGAGCGAGGCCAGGTCGCAGTACTTGCTGCTGAAGACAAACACGTCCACACAGATCTGCGCTCGGGAGAACTCCGCCGCTGTTGTCTTGTAAAAGGCGTCTTCAGAGCAGCGAACTGTATACTCCCTGTCCGTGCCGTACAGGCGAGGATCGTCCCCTCTCAACCGCAGCCGGCCCGCGCCTAGAGAGGGCATGGTGGACTGAAACAGGAGAACCTTCCCGCCCAGCTGGCTCTGTGTGGACCAGAGGGGTACATGAGGGGAAGAAAGGAGTGGAGAGGGGTGGAAAGGGTCATGACGAGGCTTGTAGAGGGGCGAGAGGGGGGGTGGCAGGAAGGGAATGGGGTGGAAGGGGGGCCTTGGGAAAGGTCAGTCAGTCAGTACAAGGCAGTTTGAGGCATGGTCCTTGGAGAGGGTAAACTGATCAGCGCAGAGAGGCTTACCACGAGCAGGGCCATGGCCTTCAAGGCCGGCCCCATAGCAGACTCCACATTCACGGAATTGTTGAAGAGGTTGGGGAGAGCGTCTAAAAACGCCTCCACGACCTGCCTGCTCTCATGCATGTTGACCAACAGCTCGTCTTCAGGCAGAGGCAGGTAGGGGGGAGGAGGAAGGCTGGCAAACGGCAGACCAGAGGAAGGCAAGCAGGGAGGCTTACCACGAGCAGAGACATGACCTTAAGAGCAGGCCCCATAGCAGACTCCACGTTGACCGAGTTGGCAAAGAGGTTCGGTAGCGCGTCCAAGAATGCCTCGACCACAGGGCGGCTCTCGTGCATGTTGACCAGGAGTTCATCCTCGGGCAGAGGCAGGTAGGGGTCTTCAATGTCGGCTGAGACGAGGATGTGGGGCTGCGAGAGGGAGGGCTTGAGGGAGACGAAGTGCAGCGCCGAGTCGAAGAGCAGAAAGCCGATGCGTGTGCGCGTGTCCCCTGGGAGCGAGTCGAGGCAGGCTCGAATTGCATCGGATATGACCTGGGGATTGTGGGGGAGGAGGGGGGGGAGCAGGGGAGGAGGGGAAAGGGGAGGAAGCGGCATGGTTTTTGGCCAAGTTCAGGGGTAGGGGAGGTGGGCATTGGGGGTGACGAGGATGTGGGGCTGTGAGAGGGAGGGCATGGGCAGGCGAACCATGTACTGCACGGGTGCAACGAACTCCACACTGCCCCCACATCATCCTTACATCCTCACTTTCTTGCAAGGGACTGGGCTACCAGAGCTGCTCAACTGCAGGACCCCTGATCGGGCGTTGTTGACTGAGGCGTCGATGAGGAAGAAGAAGGTGGGCGGCATGGGCGGGCGAACCATGTACTCCACAGGGGCAACGAACTCCACACGAGGCCCAAGACTCACTCATTCCTCTTAAAGCCTTACATCCTCACCTGCAGCACCCCTGAGCGGGCGTTGTTGACAGATGCATCTATGAGGAAGAAGAAGGTGGGCGGCATGGGCGGGCGGACCATGTACTCCACGGGAGCAACAAACTCCACACTGCCCCCACCTCACACCTCACACCTCACACCTCACACCTCACACCTCACACCTTACATTACAGCCTCACCTGCAACACTCCTGAGCGGGCGTTGTTAACTGAAGCATCGATGAGGAAGAAAAAAGTCGGCGGCATGGGCGGGCGGACCATGTACTCCACAGGCGCTACGAACTCCACACTGCCGCGGCTCAGCTCCGGCCGCTGCTGCCAGTCCGTGCGCCTGCCCGTGCTGTCCAGGTTGCAATAGTACTCGTGGGATACTGAGGGTTGGTGAAGGAAGAGAGTGGAGGGAAATACAGGAGGAGAGAAGGGGATTGTGCATGGGCTTCACAGGCCGCTCACTGCTGCCATGCCCGTGCTGTCCAGATTGCAGTAGTAGTTGTGGGATACTGCTAAAAGGGGGAGAGAAGAGATGGGGAGGAATGTTGTGGGGGGGGGCTTTGAACCGATCGTTGCTGCCAGTCCGTGCGCCTTCCCGTGCTGTCGAGGTTGCAGTAGTAGTCGTGAGATACTGAGGGGTGGGGGTGAAGGCAGAGAGTGAAGGGGAATAAAAGAGAAGGAATGTAAATGAGCTTCGCAGGTCGCTGCTGCCAGTCCATGCGCCTTCCCGTGCTGTCGAGGTTGCAGTAGTAGTCGTGGGACACTGGGGGGGGGGGAAGGGGGTTAAGGGCGCGTGTGAACTGGTATTGACAGGTCGCTGCTGCCAGTCCGGGCGCCTGCCCGTTTGCAGTAGTAGTCGTGGGATACTGGGGAGAAGGAGGTGAGGGAAATGAAACAGGAGGGGAAGGAGGGGAGTACGCATGGGATGGTCTGGCCGCTGCTGCCAGTCCGTGTGCCTGCCCGTGCTGCTTAAGTTGCAGTAGTACTTACACTCCTCACTACCTCACTCATTCTCAGACATTCACTGTCATAACACTCATAACTCCCTCACTCACTCACTCGCCTTCATACACCCGTAACTCTCTCACTCCCTCTCGCTCCCACGCACCTTCATTGAGCAGGTTGCAGCTGTTGCAGCGCCAGCGCCGGCCAGCATCAGTGAAGGTCACAAAGGGGTTGACATACGTGCGACAGCGGCGGCACCTTATAATCCCTGCTGACCCAAAGTTCACCACTGGCACCTCCTCCTCCTGCACACACATTAATTGGCATAAAGGTACAGTAAAAAGGGTCCTGCACACACATTGGTTGACACACCGTTACAGTACTTGTCAGTACACCACTTGTCACCTACCCCTGCTGTCACCTACCCCTGCTGTCACCTACCCCTGCTGTCACCTACCCCTGCTGTCACCTACCCCTGCTGTCACCTACCCCTGCTGTCACCTACCCCTGCTGTCACCAACCCTTGCCACCTGGACCACATGCAACCTGCCCTTGCTGTTGCCACCTACCCAAAAGTCACCTGTCCCTACTGGTACCTTGATACCTGCCCTGGAAGGAGTGGAAGTGAAGGGCTGTAGCACCGGCCTGAGGGGCTGCCACTTGCAGTCATCACCTGCAGCTCCTTGCTGTTACCTAACCCACCCTTTCTGTTGCCTACCCCAGAAAGCACGGCCTCCAGCGATACCTACCCCAGGAGGAGTGGGCGCAAGAGGCTGCAGCATGGCCACGAGCGGCAGGTGCCACCTGCAGTTACCACCTACACCAATTGTCACCTACCCCAGAAGACACCTCTCCCCACTGGCACTCTGGTACCTACTCCACTGGTACCCTACCCCACTGGTACCTACCCCAGGAGAAATGGGGGCAAGAGGCTGCAGCACTGCCGCGAGTGGCAGGTGCAACCTGCACCACTTTCCTCCTACCCCTACTGCACCTACCCCGAAAGGCACCTTGGTACCTAACCCACTGGTTAATACCTACCTACCCCACCGGTTGGTACCTACCCCAGGAGGAGTGGGAGCAAGAGGCTGCAGCACCGCCCCCAGTGGCAGGTGCCACCTGCTCCGCAGCGACTGGGAGTCCGGAATCGCCCCGCACGTCATCCTAAAGTACCGCGGATGCGATACCTACCTTGATACCTACCCCCACCAGTTGGTACCTACCCCCACCGGTTGGTACCTACCCCCACCAGTTGGTACCTACCCCCACCGGTTGGTACCTACCCCGGGAGGAGTGGGAGCGAGGGGCTGCAGCACCGCCCCCAGCGGCAGGTGCCACCTGCTCCGGAGCGACTGGGAGTCCGGAATCGCCCCGCAGGTCATTCTAAAGTACCGCGGATGCGCATTCCCCTCGATCTCCGCCAATCCTCCCCCCACCAAGCCTTCCCCCCACCCGTCAAGCGCCTCCTCCCCGCCATCTGCTCCCCCCGCGGTATCTTCTCCGCCGATCGCTACCCCCGCTGGCCGGGGGAGCGCGGAGTAGTCTACCGCGTCCGCTCCCCCTGCGCCGGGCCCTCCGCCGATCGCGAGTGACTGGAGGTCTTCCGCCAATGCTTGCGCGGCTGCTGCTTGCGCCATGGCAGGGGGGGTTGCCGCTGCGCCTGTAGGCGGGGGACCAAGCGGAGCGGGGGGTTGCGGGGGAGGAGCGCCGAAGGGGGGAGGCGCGCCAAAGGAGGGCGCGGCGGGAGGCTGTGAAACAGGCGCGCCAAATTGCGCGGAATGTTGCGCGGTCGGGGGGTATCCGGGGGGAGGCGGAGGTTGGGATCCATAAGGCGGAGGCGCAGGGGCGGAAGAAAACGGCGGAGGGGGGGCAGCAGGCGCAGATCCATATCCCGGGGGAGGGCCAGTTGGCGGAGCACCTGGCGGAGCACCTACGGGTGGCGGAAATGCGGGACCCTGCGCGCCTGCGCCTATCGGAGGCGGGCCTGGGGGAAGAAACGGCGCAGAACCAGGCGGCCGCGCAGCAAACGGCGGAGGCGGCTGTGCGGAACCCGCCACTGGCGGAGGACCAGAGGGAGCGCCAGTTGGTCTTCCGAAAGGCGGCGGACCGGGGCGCTGCTGAAAGGCGGAAGGCGCAGCCGCTGCGGTCGGAGGTTGGCCATAAGGGGGAGGACCAGGGGGAGGCGCACCCGCCAAAGGTCCGTTGGCTACCCCCGGCGGAGGACCTACCGGCGGCGCACCAGCAAATGGCGGACCTGGCGGGCGCGCGCCTGGTCTATTCGGCGGAACGAACCCCCCAAGAGCGGCTGGTGGTTGCGCGCCAGGCGGAGGTCCCGTCGGCGCACCGGGGGGTTGCGCGAAGGCTGGCGGAGGGTGACTGGTGGCGGAAGGCGGAGTGGGGCCTCTATAAGGGGGAGGCGCGGAGCCCTGAGGACCCGCGGGAGGAGCGGCGAAGGCTGGCGGCCCCGCAAACGGCGGAGGGCCGCCGAATGGGGGCCGCACGCCGGCTGGCGGAGGGCCGGCGAAGGGCGGAGGGCCCCGCGGATAAGGGGGACCTCCAGGGGCACCGGATGACATCTGGACTCAAATGAATCGCGAATGAATTGCTTACTGTGCGATTTTGCAAATCGAATGCGCGAGAGTGATAGACCAAGCGACCTGACTTTGTGAGCCCAGATCTCTAGAATGTAAAATCCGGGAGATTATTCTCCAGGAGGGAGCAGCATGCGATTGAGTCAAACACCCTAATTCTAGTACAAACCGGATTCCGCTGCGAGATTACACGTCAACAAGTTCCAATCGCGGATCGTCTATCGGAATCGCAACTGAAAAGCGATGCCTGGTCGCCTAGCGAAAGAGCCTGAGCAGATCAGCGGATCGGCTACGGAATAGCCACACAAGCGCGACCGAACAATGAACGGCGTGAATGGGTGGTGGAGGATCTACGAATTACAAGTGCAGTCTACACGAGATCCGTCGGTGGTGGTGGTGCTGCTGCAGTCAAGGGTCCATTTTGCGCTGGCTTTCCCTGTTTTCATCCTTCCCTGCCAAAATCCCAAGGCAAGGACTGTTCGATTCGGCAGCTGCTGCGACACTCCCAAGTCACTTCGCGCAGGCGAAGATTCTTCGTTGTGTGTCGCATGGATGTTTTAAAGGACGTTCGGTTACGCTTGCCACTACAGTATTTGCCAATGGACCTCGTTATGACAGAAATTAAGACCTGGTGTCAGTAAACAAGCAAATTATTAGTGTAATTGCTATCAAGAGGAATTTTCTTGGTGACGCTGAGACATGTGAAAACAAAATGTCAGTAAGCGTAATATACTAAAGATTGCATAGGCTAACAGGGAAGCAAGCATGGCATCTGAACTACTGGAATACAAGTAGCATTCATTCATTCTGAACATTTACATTGAAGGAACAAGTGGAATACAAATCATGCCTTCCATTACACGGAATCACACTGATTTGGCTTCAGGCCTCGAGATGAGGCGAATCTAACTTGCAGGTAAAGACTGTGACCTGCTACTAGTGGGGCCAGTTTTGGCCATCTTGGGCTTCTTCCTCCTTATTCACTCTCACTGTCGCGAGGAGAGTGAGAGGAGAGCAGCACCTTCATCCAGCTTTGATTCTCCATTCTTACCCTTGGCGCCGTTTCGCCATTTCCCGACGAAGCTTCAGACTCTCGATTTTTACGCTTCTTCCTCCTCCACTTCAACAAACACTTCGCCGCTATCATCGTCAAAGAGCGATGTTACTTCGAACTTCGGGTGTTTCGCGAGCCACTCACTGATCGCAACATGCACGTCGGCGGAGTCGCCCTGGTTGTCGCTCTCCTCGACAGCATGGATTAGATCCTCCCAGCCGCTTCGTGAACGGAGTAAGGCAGCACGTGCCGACGCAGCCACTTCTTCCTCCAATCCGCCGTCCAAAATCACTTCTCCAGATTCTTCAGGAACGACACGTGGCACATTGAAGACGCTTTGCAGGTTCAGCTCCAGGATCTCGCCTTCGCCGCCGTCCAGAATGGCATTCTTATCCGATGATTCCACATCGTCCGCTGGCGATCGGAGAACGGAGAACGCATCGGGTACGCGGACGGCTTCCGCAACTGACACGGCGAGAATGAGAGCAATGGCCAAGACTGACAGAGACGAGTAGCGAGCCATGAGCGTCGATGAAGATGAGCTGATTGGACGGGTCTGCACCAGAATGTTGAGCGTAGGATGAAGCTGGTAGCTTGTGTGTCTGCGAGAGCTTTAGCAGAAGGAAGTCTGAGATTGTCCTGACTAAACGAGTCGATCATTCCACAACTGACGGAACCCTGCTTAGGGTCCTGCTAAATACAAGCGGGTTGCACTCGGACCAAATGCACAGGAGAGGGAGAATGGGAAGATTGGGACCAATCGAAAAGATCGACGAGGAACGCGAACAAAGAGAAAGCGTGGTGGCCGAGGTTGGTAGACGAAGGAAGTTCAACTAGGAGTTCAATAATAAACTGCATGCACAAGCTCCTTCTCGAGGATATCGTCTTGCCAGCTGCACGGCGCCACCTATTTGTGCTTGCGAATGCAGATGAGGAACGGGTTCTTGAAATCGCCGCGGGGCGGGGCCCTTGGTTTGCTTGGCACTTCGATAAGCACTTGTAGGGAGAGGCACCGATTTCAGTTCGGTTGGATGCACAAAATGCGGCTGGCGTTCGCACCAATAAATCCGCGCGGAATCAAGCGCGCACTTGGGTTCTCCGCGTTGGTAATTCGTCGGGGGTTGATTTCCAGCTGTCCGCGATATTGCGCCTACGTTGCTGGCTAGTATGACATGCAACGTCTTGCTTGTTTGAGGCGCTGTCATCCGTCGGATTCACTGAGTTCCTTATATCTGAACCGTCAAATGAAGTGGGCCTGACGACGTTCTTTGACAACTCGTCCCCAGGAACCTTCAATAATTGTGTGCGACCGGCGGTGATGGGCGAGGACGAGACGTCGCACAACCTGTCGTCCTGGTCGCCATCCGTCATCCACGTTCGCTGAAAACACATACACCCATTTGGGTTTAGAGCCGTTGAATAAAGATCTTATGTAGCTCTTTTCCATAATGTGCTCAAACATTAGTGAGTACTTCTTTTGGGTATGAGACATTAATGTACAGAATTAGTAAAAATGCAGAAATAACATACTGAATGTTATATTTTGAAAGACCTTTATTATCCACATCGTTTTTTATTACGTTTTCCTGTTAATTGATTCAATGAAGCAATATTATAGTCATTGGTGTACAAAGTTAAAGGTTCTAGATACCGTAAGTGAAAAGCTGTCATGCTTCTCAGTAGTGACTTTTTTCGCCAGCAACCAGCCTCACTCCCACTCCACCGCACTTATAGCACCTCTTGAAGTTGCCGCGCACCGTACTGGATCACTGCAATCTAACGGTAAAATTCTAATAGCTCAAGAACCGCTTCAAATTGCACAAAAACGTATGACACCTAGTTTACCGACCAGAAAGTGAACCCAACAAGAGGCCTCCTGCCAGGAGCCCGCATGTTTTCCTATCCCCTCGTTGCCTCGGCTAGCTCGTGTTTGAAGTTCTCGCTGCCATTGCCAAGCAGCTGAGGGACTCGAAGCCATCGTAGACCTTTCAGGCAATCAGCTAAGAATGCATTCACGCTAATTATACAACGTACACGCGCTAAGGGTGTACGCAGGCTGAACTTTGGCGGGAGTTCCGCTGAAAGGCTGCTGTGAGGGTGAGGGTCATGAGAAGCAGCGAGAACGAGGCCGATAGCGTGAAATCAGGCGGCGGAGTCGATAGCAGTCACGAAATGGGTCGCGAGTATGGCAAACCGTCGATGCCCTGGCGACTGTCTGGCCCCTGGCTCAGGTGTGATTATACCAGACACGTGTAATTCATGACTGAGATGTGATTGTAAGGAAGCCTGCACTTCTGCTCTTCAAATTGTGCCTCAATTCCGCTCGGTCGCCTCCGTCCGAGTGCTACTGGTTATGAATTATACATTTCGTTGCTCAAGTACAGTGCATGTCTCACCATAACTGCTGCTCAGCGGTTGTGACAATTAATTTCAGAACGTGAGTTGGACAATTTACGATGATCAAAGAGGTTCCTTTATAAAAGTAGGTCGGCCCTGTAATACCGCCCGTAGGTGCAGGGGCAGAGTAATGGAAGAAAACACTCTGTTGTACTACCCATGTGTGCTGGAGAAATTGCCATTGATGCTTCCTCGTTGCCTGGCGTTAATGGCCATGGTGTTTCTCAACAAGTGGCCACAAATCCTCCTCTCCCCTTCATCGATTCTGCCCTCCCTTGCATACCACAGCGGCCTGGCAGCAGTGTCGTATGGCCTGGCAGCAGTGTCGTATGGCCTGGCAGCAGCGTCGTATGGCCTGGCAGCAGTGTCGTATGGCCTGGCAGCAGTGTCGTAGGCCTGGCAGCAGTAACGTCTGGCCTGGCAGCAGTGTCGTATGGTCTGGCAGCAGTGTCGTATGGCCTGGCAGCAGTGTCGTATGGTCTGGCAGCAGTGTCGTATGGCCTGGCAGCAGTGTCGTATGGCCTGGCAGCAGTGTCGTATGGCCTGGCAGCAGTGTCGTATGGCCTGGCAGCAGTGTCGTATGGCCTGGCAGCAGTGTCGTATGGCTTGGCAGCAGTGTCGTATGGCCTGGCAGCAGTGTCGTCTGGCCTGGCAGCAGTGTCGTATGGTCTGGCAGCAGTGTCGTATGGCCTGGCAGCAGTGTCGTATGGCCTGGCAGCAGTGTCGTATGGCCTGGCAGCAGTGTCGTATGGCCTGGCAGCAGTGTCGTATGGCCTGGCAGCAGTGTCGTATGGCCTGGCAGCAGTGTCGTATGGCCTGGCAGCAGTGTCGTATGGCCTGGCAGCAGTGTCGTATGGCCTGGCCTTCTCTCTCTTCCCCATCCCACTGTGGCCTGGCAGCAGTATCATACGGCCTGGCATCAATGGCCATGGTGGTCCTCAACAAGGGCGTGCACACAGCTCCTTCCCTTCCCGTCAATTTCGTCTCTCACTTCCCCTCTCCCCACTCACCTTCTCTCTCTTCCCCATCCCACAGTGGCCTGGCAGCAGTATCATACGGCCTGGCGTCAATGGCCATGGTTTTTCTCAATAAGGGCGTACTCACCTATTACAAGTTCAGCATGACGCTGCTGGCTCTGCAGGTTAGTGCGCGTTTCCAGGTTGGTTCAAAGGTTGTCACATGTTACTACATGTGTTTCAACAAGGGCGTGCTTACCTTCAGCATGACTCTGCTGGCTCTGCAGTTGAGTGGGTGAGAGTGCATAGTCACATTCTAGCGCATATTCTTGACAAATCCGTGATTACCTACTACAAACAAGTTCTCCAATCAAGGCTTCAACACCCCCTTCAGCACTTGCACGGGGTCTTGACAGAGACACCCACGTAAAACACCCCGCCATCCCATCCCCCTCCAGATGATAGCCACAACAGTGCTGATATATGCGGGTGGGAAGCTGGACTGGCTCACCATGCGTCCATTCTCCCTCTCCACTGCGCGTCGCCTGCTGCCCACTCTACTCTCCTGCTTCTCGAATGCTCTTCTCACCCCTTCCCAGATGATAGCCACAAAAGTGCTGATATACGTGGATGGGAAACTCGATTGGCTCACGATGCGGCCATTCTCCCTCTCCACCGCTCGCTGCCTGCTGCTGCACTCCTTCTTCAACAACTCCAACGTCGCCTTCGCCCTCTCCTCCTAGCAGAGCATCGGGGTTTCTGTTGAATGTTGAAAGAGAGGTCATCATACAAAGCCTGTTACTCTCCTTTTGTTTTTTTGTCTCCTGGCACCCTTTGTTTCCCTCCCACCCCCCACCCGCCAGATGATCGCAACAACAGCTCTTATTTATTTCGGCGGAAAGCTCGAGTGGATTGCCATGCGCCCATTCTCCCTCTCCACTGCCCGTCGCCTGCTGCCGCTCTCCTTCTTCTACAACGCCAACGTTGCATTCGCCCTGGCGAGTCTGCAGGGCGTCAACATCCCCATGTACATTGCTCTCAAACGGTTGACGCCCATGGCAGTGCTCATAACGGGCTTCTTCACTGGCAAATCCAAGCCTCCTCTGCAGGTGAGACCCTTCCGCCCGTTGCCCTCGTCAGTCATTGCAGTAGCCTATCGTTGCCCTAGCCAGCCTTGGCTTGGTCTGCAGGGAGTCAAGTCAACATCCCCATGTACATTGCTCTCAAGCGCCACACGCCCCTAGCTGCGCTGATCACAGGCTTCTTCACTGGCTAGTCCAGGCCACCCCTGCAGGTGCCAGGAGAGAGGAAGTTTTCCCGCCTGCATGACTACTTTTGAGAGGTTCTCTCATCTCTGTGTTCCCCTAGCCAGTTGATGCCCTAACCAGTCATAGCGACTTCATCATTTCACCCTCCACTGCACCCAAGCGCCCGCTGAGGCCACCTTTCCACCCTATTCACCCTTCCATCCACCCCCCACTAGCTCACATTTCCACCCTATTCAACCCCAGGGCTCCATCACACCCTGTTCACTCTCCATAATCACTCCATAATCATTCGCCCCTGCCCCCATCCCCATCCCTCCAGGTCACCCTCTCAGTCTCCCTCACAACATTCGGCTGTCTCATAGCAGCTGGGCGATTTCTCGCTGGACCCTATGCGTACGCGCTGGCCCTCACGTCCGTGCTCTGCCAGACCTTCTACCTGCTGCTTGTGGAGCGCTCGGGGGCAGAGGAGGGTGAATGAACGCGCACTCTCACTCACCCCCGTTCCATTTCCATTAACAACCCCCCGCCCGCCACCGCTCCTTCCACTCCTCCCCATTTCACTCTACTCCACCCTCTTCCAGGTGACTCTCTCCGTCTCCCTCACCACATTCGGCTGTCTCATAGCAGCGTTGGGCGATTTCTCTCTGGACCCCTACGCGTACGCGCTCGCCCTCACCTCAGTGCTCTGCCAGACCTTCTACCTGCTGCTCGTGGAGCGCTCGGGAGCAGAGCAGGGCATCTCGTCCTTTGAGCTCATGTTCTACAACGCGCTGCTCTCCCTGCCATTCCTGGGAGCCATTCTGCTCTGCACCAACGAGCTCCCGACCTCTGTGCCACTGCTCTTCACCATGGTACAACAGCAATCCTTTTCTCTCTTCTGTCTTGCACCAAGGTGGTTGATTTTTCCGTCTTTCCTCCTTTGAGCTCATGTTCTACAACGCGCTGCTCTCCCTGCCATTCCTGGGAGCCTTTTTGCTCTGCACCAATGAATTGCCTACATCCGTGCCACTTCTGTTCACCATGGTATGGTACAAAACCCCCCTTCTCTCTCCTCGTGCACCGAGCTGGTTTCCTGCCACGGAATCGAGTCACCGGCTTTCTCCTCTTGTCTCTCCTCCTTTTGAGCTCATGTTCTACAACGCGCTGCTCCCCCTGCCATTCCTGGCTGGGAGCTATACTTCTCTGCACCAACGAGCTCCCGACCTCCGTGCCACTGCTCCTCACCATGGTATAACAACAACGTTCCCCCCTTCTCTCTTGCTTGCTCCATGGTGGTTTGGTTTCTCTACCATCGAGTCATATCACCCTTTGTCTCTCCTCCTTTGAGCTCATGTTTCTTAAAGCGCTGCTCTTGCTGTCGTTCCTCACAGGTTTGTCGTTCGTTCCTGGGAGTCATCCTGCTCTTTACGTACCAATGAGCTGCCTCACTCCGTACTGCTGCTGCTTCTCACCAAGTGCCTTCCGTCTCATTACACTCCTCTCAAGAGCGTCCTCATTCCTCAACCAAAATGATGGGCACTCGGGCACTCGCCCTCAAGCATTCCATGCTGCTCTCTTTACCATACGTGAACTCTTCCCTCCCATCCCCTCTCCTCCCCTTGCCTCTCCTCCCCTCCCCTCTCCTCCCCTTGCCTCTCCTCCCCTCCTCTCTCCTCCCCTTGCCTCTCCTCCCCTCCCCAGAGTGCCTGTGTGCTGCTACGGGACGGCCTTGGTCCTCAACCACACCATGTTCCTCTGCACCATTCTTAAAACCCCCGTTTTCTTCCCCCTTCCCTCCCATCCCTCCCCTACTCCCTCCCTTCTCCCCCCTACCAGTGTGCTGAGTCATGGACATTCACAGTGGCGGTAACTGCCTCACTGGTCATGGCGCTGGTCCTAAACTACACCATGTTCCTCTGCACCATCGTCAACTCCGCACTCACCACTACCATCGTGGGGGTGCTCAAGGGCGTGTTCACAACGGTATGTCAATATTTGTACATGCTGTCCTGAACTATCCTAAACTACACCATGTTTCTCTGCACCATCGTCAACTCTGCCCTCACCACCACCATCGTTGGTGTGCTCAAGGGCGTGTTCACCACGGTATGTTCTATGTGCTTCAGCTTCACAATTGTTCCTACATTTCATTCTCAATCAACTACACCACCGTTGGTGTGCTCAAGGGTGTTTTCACAACGGTAAGTCCTCTCCTCTGCACGTAGCGCATCACTGCCATTACTGCATTTCATCCTCAACTCAACTACACCATGTTCCTCCACATTCATTATTTTACACTGCTCCTACTACCACCTCCGTGTGTGCGCTCTAGGGTGTTTTCACCACGATGTGGCCTGTCCTGTCCTGTAAACTTGGATTCATCAAGATTCTCACACACCATTTTCCTCTGCACCGTCGTAAATTTTGCACTCACCACCTCCGTTGTTGTTCACAGCCAATTTTGCCATGCAAGTTGCTCTAAATCTTGGCCTTGGACTAAGCTACCCACGCCCTAGGTGGCACTACTGTACCTTTTCCCACCCATCCCATGCTATCCAGCAGTTTCCTCCCACCCGCATTTCTCCTGAAGTACCTAAGTTGCACTTTTCATGTCTCCAAATATTTTTTTCCCGCTCTGTCCCCTTTCCCCTCAGATCTTCGGGTTTTTCTTCCTTGGAGGTGTGAAATTCCAGTTACTCAACGTAACGGGTTTGGTTATCAACTCAGCCGGAGGAGTGTGGTACTCGATAGCCAAGTATCGGCAGAAACAAGCAAAGGTCCCCTCCTCGCCCGTTCTCCCCACCACTCGAGATCAATTCCTTGGTTCTGACTCGCTAGAGACAGATCGTCTTATTGAAGCTTCTGAGAAGGTGGTTGATGATATTCCAAGCCGAGAGGACCCTGCTGCTGCTTCATTTGTTGAGCCGCCGAAGCCATTGTAGTGAGGGATTTTTGGAGAAGACTAGTGGACAAGGGGAATTGGTGTTGTTGTACAGACAAATAACTAACAGCCTGAGATCAAAGAATCAATGTTTGACATGCGATGGGAAGAGTCCTTGCTAACCCGGGGGTTACTGGGCTGGACTCTCGCATCCATAATCATATTGGTAAAATAGCAAGTATTTATTGACGGGGAAATATGCAACACATAGTGGCAGTTGGCTTCTTGTACCCGCTACAAGGTCCTATTCACCCCCTGCTCCTTATTCCCACACTCACACCAACACGAGCAACCGCAGCATCTTGATTCCCTACTAGCTGAAAGTCCTTGAGCTCAAGGACTGACCACGTGTCCCTACTCCTTTGAGAACTGACCACGCACGGCGCCATCAGGGTACCTCTTGGTGTGAACATTGCCGTAATGCGCACTGGGGTTCTTCACAATCTCCTTAAGAGCCGACAGCAGCGTATCTGACCGATCTTCCTTGTTCTTCCCGAGAGATCCCTCGCATCGCCACTGCTCGCTGGCCTTCTTCTCGTACTGGCACGGCAGGTCAAGAAGAACGGCGTCGTTCTTCCCCTTCTCCCCCTTGTGCACGTGCGTCTTGGTCGGCGGCATCTCGCCTTTCAGCCGGCTTGTTTTCACCGTGTATTTCACCCACTTGGGTCTGTCGTCGTCCCTGCAAATGGTAGCAGCGGGTTTCAGACAATTGAAATGGATACACGCACGGGGGTTGTGAGATCAGAGGAACGCCGCACGAGAGGATTTGTGACGTTTGAGCGAGAGGTGGTCGAGGTACAGAGTAACAAATCGATGTGTCGATCATGTGTTTTCTACACTTTTTGCAATAGCATGCTTTCCCTTTTTTTTCCTTTTCGCGTGTAACTCACATGTAGATGTTCAACTTCATGTAGGCGACGCCGCGTTGGTCGCCGACAGCGTTCTTCGCAGCGTGGGAGTCGTTCTTGGGAACCTCGTTCGCTCCTAACAGCTTCGCCGAGAAGGTGTCTGTGAAGGCATGGACGACCAGGGGAGCGAGGGTAAGAGAGTGAGGAGAGGTGGTGCGGCGGCGTGAGTTGAACGCGGTGAAATATAGTGAATACAGAATTGATGCTGACGGGATGACAGGATAAATCAATTGCTTAACGTGACGAATCAGACCCTGAGACCTGGCGATCGAGCAAAAGAAATGTGGGGAGGAAGGGAGCAAGGAGTCTCACCGACGTGCTCGTGACTGTGTGCGACTGCGAGCATCGCCGCGAGGAAAGCTGCACACAAACACATTCGACAAGAAATGAAGATAAATTATTGTGGCGTTTCCAAATATTGCTAATAATAACCAATATCGTGAACCACATTGCGAGTAGTCTAGCAAGCACTTGAGAGAATCTGCAAGGTTTTATCGTTCACGCGTAGTACCTAAGAGTAAGGCGCGAGCTGGAGTGAAGGCCATGGTGCCGAAAACAGAGACTCGTCGCAGCGATTATTTGACGGCAGAAAATATTGATGCTTGAAGTCTGAGAGGCAGTTGATTGGGAGGCGGATGACTTCGAAATACATTGAATGTTGAGGGAGACCGCAGTGATACATATAGTCCATCTTAGCCTTGGATTGTTTGACCTAGAGGGCGCCGCGGAAAATTCATGACAGCTCTTGAGAATCACGTGACGAAAACGCGAAGACTAGTCGCCGGGGCGATCTGGTCCGAGTCTGCGTCTCACGCGGCGCCATCTCACTCTGACCCTGATGCACCTCATATAATTGCGTCGCTTCTTTCAGTAAGGTTCTCGTTTCGGCTCAGGCAAGAAATGCTCGGGCTATAATTCTAAAGCTGGGCCCGGCGCGAGTTGCGGTGAAGGTGGAGAGAGAGCTGTGCTACGGGGCTGGGAAAGTTTGGGAAGACGCGGTGGGGCGGGAGAACCAGTGCTGTCAAATGTCACTTGTCCGTGACGGGCAATAATCACGTGACCCCGCATCGGGGACTGCAACTAGATGTCATTTGAATTTCGTGTCTCCCAACTACCAGACGTCACCGTTCTAGTGCTTTTTAAAACCGTTCTGAATTTCAAAGCAGCTCGTGTTATCGCACTGAAGATTGGTCCAATAATGGTGAGGGTCCCAAGAGGACGATCACTGCGCTCCGTGACTGCGACTCGAGATGTTTCTGAGGATCCGATAATCGATTTTCCAATGGAACTTTGTCAGCTGAATGCATCTGTAGGAATATCTTACAACAAATTACCTATAGTAGAGAACTTGAGAATATATTCCTACAAAACTCAGTCACTGCATGCCTTAGGGAAGTGAAGAAATGTCCCATAGGGAAGTGTCAGAGGTCCACTGGAGATCCCCGATGATCCTAGGGAAGGGTTACAGGCACATCGGCCTGGGGGGTTATGGGCGCACTTACCCGCCATACAAACAAGCCCTTTTATCCCAGTGGTTAGTGGCTGGGATTCTGACATGGTATCAGAGCAAAGGTCTCGGGTTCGAATCCCGGTGTGTGCACCTCGGGCATCCCAGTGCGGGGGGGTGTCAGAGGTCCACTGGAGATCCCCGATGATCCTAGGGAAGGGTTACAGGCACATCGGCCTGGGGGGTTATGGGCGCACTTACCCGCCATACAAACAAGCCCTTTTATCCCAGTGGTTAGTGGCTGGGATTCTGACCGGAAGATTGCCGCTCTGGATCATAGTTGGCTTCTTTTGAGCCATTCGTGTATATCGGCATACCCCCGTAAGGTGTCGAGCAGTAGTAACTCTGGATGACGGAAGATGTGTCCTGAGTCACTCGTTTGTTTCCTGAGGGTTCCCCTCCAAAGCCTTCACCAGAGCTGCTACAGCTCCGAACGCCTCCTCTGTGGTCATATTGTCCAGAGGCAGCTACCATTCCCTCCTAGATGCTCCTCTCCATCCCGTTTACGCAGTCCACATCCACTAGCACCACCAGCCACACTAGCCGCACCTGCAGCAGAGGCACTCGGGATCAAGCCCTTGGCTGTGACCCATTTGGGACAGGAATTTATGGTTGGGCAAAGAACATGGGCATTTTCGCAACATAAGCAATAAATAACACCTTGGGATTATCAACATCGTTGTTAACCTGAAAAAGTTATGGCATTACTGGGGAGGTTGCCTCTTCCTGCTATCTTGGTAAATAACATCGTTAAAACACCAGGTGTAATAATAGAAACTACCAGGCGATCCCTGCACCCGTTACAGTGTAACGGGTGCCTAATCACCACCAGTTTCCATCGATAGGCGCAACATTATTGCCTCTCTTATTCTTACACTAACACCACCACAAGCAGTGCCAGGGCAGTTCTCACTAATCCGCACGCTCTTCGAAATTACCCTACTCCTTCGACAACTGACCACGCACGGCGCCATCAGGGTACCGCTTAGTCTGAATATTACCGTAATGTCCGCAAGGTTTCTTAACAATCTCCTTAAGAGCCGACAGCAGGGTGTCAGAGCGATCCTCTTTGTTCTTCCCGAGGGATCCCTCGCAGCTCCATTGCTCGTCGCCCTTCTTCTCGTACTTGCACGGCAGGTCGAGAAGGAGCGCGTCGTTCTTCCCCTTCTCGCCCTTGTGCACGTGTGTCTTGGTCGGCGGCATCTCGCCTTTCAGCCGGGAGGTTTTCACCGTGTACTTGACCCACTTGGGTCTGTCGTCGTCCCTGATTTCATCATGGCACCACACGGTGGCATCAATGGAACGCCGCACGACGACAGAATTTTGAGATTCGAGCGACGAAGGTCGAAGAACACAGGGATTAGAAGGGCGTGAATCTATCATGAATGAGCGTGTTTCTACTCACATGTAGATGTTCAGTTTCAAGTAGACCACGCCGCGTTCGTCCCCGACGGCGTTCTTGGCAGCTTTGGAGTCGTTCTTGGAAACCTCGTTCGCTCCCAACAGCTTGGCTGAGAAGGTGTCTGTGAAGGCGAGAGCGAGCGAGGGAGCAAGGATAAGAGGGTGAGAGTGAGTAGATGAGGAGTTGCGAAGAGAGTAGAACGAGGTGAAATCTAGGGAGGACATGAGTTGATGCTGAAGGGAAGACAAGATCATTAGATAGAAATGATGACAAAGGATGACGTGACGACTCAGACCCTGAGTCCTGGCGATCGTGCAAGAAATTTGGGGAGGAAGGGAGCAAGGTGTCTCACCGACATGCTCGTGACTGCAGTGTGCGATTACGAGCATCGCCGCGAGGAAAGCTGCACACAAACACACGCGAGACGAAACTGAGTTAATATATTTGGATGGCAACGCTGTTTTCTTCATCGCCGTAAAGCATCTTCTAATGACGATGATCATCAACATTGCGAAACACATGCCGAAAAGCAGTAGAAAATTTTGCAAGAAACTTTTGTCGTTCACGCATAGTAGTACCTAAGAGTAAGGCACGAGCCGGAGTGAAGGCCATGATGCCGGCTGGGAGAATCGTCGATACGATTATCAGACGGCGGTGGATGAAATTGATGCTGGAAGTCTGAGAAGCAGATGAATGGGCGGCGGACGGCCACAAAATGAATTGACTGTTGAGTGAGAATGCACAGGAATATATAGTCCATCCGTAAGTCTTGGATGGGGGGACCTAGAGGACGCGCCGCGGCAAGATCAAGTTAGCTCTTGAGAATTGCGTGACGAAGACGCGAAGTCTAGCCTCACGCGGCGCCATCTCACTCTGACCCTGATGCACCTCATATAATTGCGTCACTTCTTTCGGTAAGTTTCTCGGCTCGGCTCGAGCAAGGAAAGCTGGGAGAAAAATTGCACAGCTGAGTTGAGCGTTCTTTCGGTGGAGGAAGGGGAGCTTCTGGCTGCTTGCGTAGGAAATCTGCTGGGGAGTCAGTCTGGGGCGGGGTGACCACTGCTTCCAACCAAGGCCGGGTTTGGCAGGCATAAAAAAAGGGGGCGAGGGGGATGGGCTACAGTGAACCGACCACCCTGGAACCTTCTCTGATAAGCGCGTGAAAGGCTATCAAGGCTCGATATAAGCGGACTACGCCGAACCTAACAATAATGGAATGCCAACCAAACACCCCTTTTTTTGGAGGCGTTTTCAACCGCCGGAATCTACACCCAACCCATTTTCTCTGGCAAAGTGCCCATTTTCCTATCCCCCGCACCATGCGGACTCGAGGCCCCGAACTATGCGGGGAATCAGTGATTCGGGGCAATTAAAAGTGACTGGTCAAATATGCCAGCCAATCACGTGATCACGAGATCGATCATAGCAACTGCCTCCCATCTTCTGCGAAACCCTAAATGTCGATTGATGCCATCAATCTACACCCAAATAATGCCAACCAAACCCTAAACCCCTTTTTTTCCGAATGTGCTCTGCAGCTACGATTTGACTTCGAAGCTGTTTCGTGAAATGCCCAGGCGGCATTTTTTGGGGGCCCGTTAAAAATGCCCATTATGGCCATAATGGCCATAATGCCTGCCAAACCCGGCCCAAATGTCTCTCCGCGACGGGCAATAATCGTCGTGGTACGCAGCCTGACAGTGGTATGTCAAGAAACGTTGTGAAAACAGACGTCATCGTTCTATGATTTTACGAAACCGTTTTCAATCAAATCGCAACTCGTGTGATTGCACTGAAGTCCTATGACCTGTGCCGATACTGTTAGGGCGTGGCCAGCGCGTTCATTTCAGACAATGGTACAGTTCATCCTGAGCGGTTAATCTCGTTTCGTCACGGTCTAAAACGGTTGATCTAAGAAACCGCTGTAAACCGATTGGAAACTTTCTGCACCACGACAGATGAACTGTACAATCGTGAAAAACGAACGCGCTGGCCCCGCCCTAAAATGTAATCATCTGGGATTCTGAAAATTGTTCACCGTCCAATAATGGTGCGACTCGAGATGTTCAGATGGATCTGGTAAACCGATACCAAACAATGAACAAACGTAAGAGTGCAAATCTAGATATATTACATGAAAAGAACTATCAACAACTCCACTAAATTCATGAAAGAGAACATGAATCAGCTCGCTCACTTGTGCAGCACCACAGCTGCCAATACCTCCCTTGCTTTCATCACAACCATGGCCCTCAAGCAGCTCTGGATGAAAGAAGCTGGCTTCTGAGCCACTCGTTTCCCTCCGCATCCCCCTCCAAAGCCTTCACCTGCGCTGCCACAGTCCACAATGCCTCCTCTGCAGTCATTTTGTCGAGAGGCAGCGATGCAAACTCCCGAAGGAACTGTCGTGCTCGCCCCACTCCCTCCCTCTGCTCCTCCCCTCCATCCCGCTTACGCTTCTCTCCACCACCAGCACCACCAGCGGCACCACCAGCAGCAGCATCAGCACCAGCAGCAGTAGAAGCGCCATGAGCAGCAGGAGGGGCAAAGTCTTCGAGCTCCTGTGCCTTGGCGCGTGCCATGGCCACCACCTCGGGAGGGAAGTGCGCAAACTCCGCCACGTGAATGCCAAAACTCTGATCACACAGGCCCGGTTGCACCTGGGGGGGGAGGGATGGAGGGGGAGGAGAGGAGGGGAAAACAATTATGTATTGCTTACACATATACCGTAATCCCCCACATAGTACACCCTAGGGTGTACTTATAAATACCCCCCTTTGGGGGGGTGTTTAATTATGGGGGGGGTGTAAGCCTACACCCATGGGTGTTATGTAAAGACATTCTTTTAACTGATAAAGCACATGTCTTCTGTACTCAGCTCACTTTCACTTATCGGTTCGAACTCAAACAGTCGTTGCACTGCGCGTGGTGCGTGAGCCACGTCATGCAGGCTCATCGCACGTGCCAAAAAGTTCCGAGCCCAGTCCTCCAGCCCTGCTCGATTGCCTTTCAAGGGCGATGCGCCCTTCCCAAATAGAAAAATTCGTTAGAAATCGCCCCTCGGCAGGCGTTAAAACAGGGTGGGGGTGTACTCATAATTTCAAAAAAATTGGGGGGTGTTATAACTGGTGTATTTTTTAGTACACCCACCGTAATTGAACACCCATGGGTGTTGAATTTTGGGGGGTGTATTATGCGGGGGATTACGGTAGCAAGTATACAAATAGTAATCAAAGTAGAAAAAGAACACTCTACCGCATGAAGGAAATGATTATGGAAATGCGTAAGAAAGAAAGGACAATGAGAAATGACCAGCAGTGGTAGAAGCAGTCCAACACATTACCTTGTAGAGCATGGTGAGCTTCCTGGAAGCTTCATCAATGTGCGCGCTGACATGGAAGTTGGCAACACCACTGGAAGCATCGCGGGTCTCGAGGGCCGTGAGCTCGTGAAAGTGCGTAGCGAAGAGTGTGGGCGCTCTTGTTACGTCCACTAGATGTTCACAGATGGCCCAAGCAAGACCTGATGGCGGGATGGAGATGTGAGCAAGAGAGTGAAACCGCCGGTAGGGAGCTCGTGAAAGCACGAGCTTTTGAGGCGCCTCAAAAGTCGGTAGGGAGCTAGTGAAAGCACGAGCTTTTAAGGCGCCTCAAAAGTCGGTAGGGAGCTAGTGAAAGCAGGAGCTGAAGGAGGGTAGGCTCAACATCCACGACCAACTGATGCTTGCACCCACGCTCCTGGCTCACTCTATTTCTTCTACCCTCGTTCATTCACTACTTTTTGGCCTGGTACAATCTTGCATGTTCTCCCATCCCAGGGATGGCACGTACCAAAGCCATCGTATGTAGACGTGCCCCTGCCCAGCTCGTCAATAATGACCAGGGATTGCGGCGTCGCGGCATGCAGGATGGCTGCTGTCTCCATCGAGCACGGAGCAAAGGCAGCATGTATCGAAGGCTTGCACTCACCAAAGCCATCATAAGTGGACGTTCCCCTCCCCAGCTCGTCAATAATGACCAGCGAGTGTGGAGTGGCAGCATGCAGAATGGCGGCTGTCTCGAGCATCTCTGCCATGAACGTGCTCACTCCCCTCAACTGCCAGGAGAAACATGGCGTGACATGAAAAGACAGGGTATAAAGGCAGGAAAATCCGAACAAGGAAGAAGTGGGGGGTGTGGAATCCAAAGAGAAGGCAATCGATGATGAGACGAGATGCAACCAAGCACCATCTTCCTCCCCTCCACCTTCCAAATTCCAACTACCCCCTTCTTCCACACACCAGCCAAACCAACTGTTTCTCATCCCCTCCTTCCCTCTCCCCTCCCCGCCCTCACCTGGCAATCGCCAGCGCCCACGCGGGCAAAGATGGCATCTCGAATGCTCACATGTGCGCGGGAGCAAGGTACGAACGAGCCCACCTGCGCCATCAGCACCACCACTCCCACCTGCGGCACACATGCAGGGGGTAGGGAAAGGACAGGAGGATATGTTTGAGGAGTTTAGAGATGTGGTTTGTTCACGTGTTCTCGGGAGAGCAATGGACAGTGGGTGATGAACAAACCATGTGAACACACCTGGTCGATGAATGCACCTGGCTTATGGTGGTGAGGTGACGGGCGATGGGACAGTGGGAATGGATGGGTGATACCTGGCTTAAAAGAACACACCTGGTCGATGAATGCACCTGGCTTAAAAAAACACACCTGGTCGATGAATGCACCTGGCTTAAAAGAACACACCTGGTGAATGAACGTTGACTTGCCACCCATGTTGGGGCCTGTGATGATTTGAAACCAAGTGCGACCCCTCTCCGCTTATAGAGATGAGGTGACGGGCGATGGGTGATGTGTGGTGTGTGGGATGGGATGGCATGGGTGGGATGGGATGGGTGGGATGGGATGGGTGGGATGGGTGATACCTGGTGTGGGAAACACACCTGGCGAATGAAGGTTGACTTGCCACCCATGTTGGGGCCTGTGATGATTTGAAACCAGCTGCGATGGAACCACCTTGCGTGAAAAACATACCTGACCGATGAACGCACCTGGCTAGAAGAACACACCTGGCGAATGAACGTTGACTTGCCGCCCATGTTGGGGCCTGTGATGATTTGAAACCAGCTGCGATGGAACCACCTTGCGTGAAAAACATACCTGACCGATGAACGCACCTGGCTAGAAGAACACACCTGGCGAATGGACGTTGACTTGCCACCCATGTTGGGGCCTGTGATGATTTGAAACCAGCTGCGATGGAACCACCTTGTGTGAAAAACATACCTGACCGATGAACGCACCTGGCTAGAAGAACACACCTGGCGAATGAACGTTGACTTGCCACCCATGTTGGGGCCTGTGATGATTTGAAACCAGCTGCGATGGAACCACCTTGCGTGAAAAACATACCTGACCGATGAACGCACCTGGCTAGAAGAACACACCTGGCGAATGAACGTTGACTTGCCGCCCATGTTGGGGCCTGTGATGATTTGAAACCAGCTGCGATGGAACCACCTTGCGTGAAAAACATACCTGACCGATGAACGCACCTGGCTAGAAGAACACACCTGGCGAATGAAACGTTGACTTGCCACCCATGTTGGGGCCTGTGATGATTTGAAACCAGCTGCGATGGAACCACCTTGCGTGAAAAACATACCTGACCGATGAACACACCTGGCGAATGAACGTTGACTTGCCATCCATGTTGGGGCCTGTGATGATTTGAAACCAGCTGCGATGGAACCACCTTGCGTGAAAAACATACCTGACCGATGAACGCACCTGGCTAGAAGAACACACCTGGCGAATGAAACGTTGACTTGCCACCCATGTTGGGGCCTGTGATGATTTGAAACCAGCTGCGATGGAACCACCTTGCGTGAAAAACATACCTGACCGATGAACACACCTGGCGAATGAACGTTGACTTGCCATCCATGTTGGGGCCTGTGATGATTTGAAACCAGCTGCGATGGAACCACCTTGCGTGAAAAACATACCTGACCGATGAACGCACCTGGCTAGAAGAACACACCTGGCGAATGGACGTTGACTTGCCACCCATGTTGGGGCCTGTGATGATTTGAAACCAGCTGCGATGGAACCACCTTGTGTGAAAAACATACCTGACCGATGAACGCACCTGGCTAGAAGAACACACCTGGCGAATGAACGTTGACTTGCCACCCATGTTGGGGCCTGTGATGATTTGAAACCAGCTGCGATGGAACCACCTTGCGTGAAAAACATACCTGACCGATGAACACACCTGGCGAATGAACGTTGACTTGCCATCCATGTTGGGGCCTGTGATGATTTGAAACCAGCTGCGATGGAACCACCTTGCGTGAAAAACATACCTGACCAATGAACGCACCTGGCTAGAAGAACACACCTGGCGAATGAAACGTTGACTTGCCACCCATGTTGGGGCCTGTGATGATTTGAAACCAGCTGCGATGGAACCACCTTGCGTGAAAAACATACCTGACCGATGAACACACCTGGCGAATGAACGTTGACTTGCCATCCATGTTGGGGCCTGTGATGATTTGAAACCAGCTGCGATGGAACCACCTTGCGTGAAAAACATACCTGACCGATGAACGCACCTGGCTAGAAGAACACACCTGGCGAATGAACGTTGACTTGCCACCCATGTTGGGGCCTGTGATGATTTGAAACCAGCTGCGCCCCCTCTCCTGGTGGGGTGGGGCGGGCAATGGTGGGTGGAATGCAGTACATGAGAAGCAGTACAAAGGGGTACCGTCAGGTACTGTCTGGTGCTATGAGGTGATGGGTGGCAGATGGGGACAGATGGGTGAACCACCACCGACGGGAATGGGAGCACACCAGGCGACAATGGTTGGTGATGCATCTTGCACAAGTGGGTGCATCATCAGGCACCCATGGCTGATCATCAGGCACCCATCTTGCACCTCCGCACATGGGTGGGAGATGATCAGCACGAGTCATGAGACGATTTTGGGGGATGCTGATCATCATCAGCAGAATGACGCTTTTCAGAAGTCTCTGTTGAGACTTATGAGAATTCTCAAGAGCAGCAGAGAAGAGGATCATGTGAAAAGACACACACCAGGCGGCAGTGGTTGGGGATGAAGCTGACGTCATCCTGCACCTCCACACATGGATGGCGGCTGTCCTCCAGGACTATGTCGCCCTCCTCCTGATGCCATGCCATGCATGTCATGTATGCCATGTGCCATGTGTCATGGGGGGATGAGAGCAGGGCAAGGGACAAGAAAGCATCAGATCACGTGATGCGCCACCACACATGGGTGCCGGCTGTCCTCCAGGACTATGTCGCCCTCCTCCTGATGCCATCAGTTGTTCCATGCCATGCCCATGCAAGGGAGGAGTGCAGAGGAAGGGGAAGATGGGGGAATGAGAACGGAGCAGGGTACATGGGTGCCGGCTGTCCTCCAACACTATGTCACCCTCCTCCTGATGCCATGCCCATGCCATGTATGCCATGCTATGCCATGTGCCACGTGAGGAGGGCGGAGGAAGGGGGAGAAGGGGAAACGTGAGCGGGGTAGAATATAGAAAGACATGGGTGCCGGCTGGACCTCCTCTTGATGCCATGCCATGCCATGTGAGGGGGGATGGGGGAGAATGGGGAATGAGAGCGGCTGGACCCCAACACTAGGTCGCCCTCCTCTTGCCATGTCGTGCCATCACCCCATGTCGTGCCATCACCCCATGTCGTGCCATCACCCCATGTCGTGCCATCACTGATGCGATGCGACACCATGCCACGTGATGTGTCATGAGATGGGAGAAAGGTGGAAGAGGATGGAGGAGAGGAGAGGATGGGGCAGGAGGATTAACCGAAGCAGGGCTGAGATGGAAGCAACAGGCCACTGGCCACATTTAAAACGCACACATTCTGTGCTCCGAGGAACAATTCCACTTTACGCAAAAATTGCTACAAACCCGAGCTTGAGGTTCGTACCGGGCCTGAGATTGAGGGTCGGACGTAGGGAGTGGGTGCCGAAGCTGCAAGCTCGGCAAAGCCCTGAAGCACGTCCATCTCGGCAATCAGCGCTGCCACGCCCTCAAACACCTGTTGGCATGCGAGGTAACGAGAGGGAATGTGCATGATGTGAGTGTTGGGTGTTGGGAGAACTTCAGAGCCAAAGCCCTAAAGCACGTCAATCTCAGCGATCAGCGCTTCCAGCCCCTCAAACACGTGTTGGCATGAGGGGTGGGGAGGGCAGAGCGCATAGGCTGGAGGTTGAGTGATGTGCATGATGTGTGTGTGTGCAAAGCCAAAGCCTTGAACCACGTCCATCTCGGGCATCTCGGGGATGAGCGCTGTCAGCCCCTCAAACACGTGTTGGCATGAGGGGAAGATGAAATGCAATGAAGGCAATGATAGGCCTAAAGCTTGAATCTCCAATGCCTGACTCCAGAACCCCTAAACTCCAACACCCTGAACCCTGAAGTCCCGAACTCTTCTCTCACCTCCAAGAACGTCTGAGCCACTTCCACCACTTTGTTCACCAGCTCCCGCTGAGCCGCCATGTACGAATCAGTGAGCGCCACGTGGCGCTCGCTCAGCCTCCTAAGCTTCGCATTAGTGAACTTAACTCCGTCCTTCCTCGTCTCGAGAGTCACATACGACGAATTCAGCTTCTTCCTAACGTTCGTCTCCTCTTTCTTTGTTATCCTGTAGCAATACCCTGCCTGCGCCGTCTTATCTAATTTAATCGTCTTATCCACTATAAGGCCTAAGTCGTTTGCTGCTTGCTGCAACGCTCTCTGCACTTCTGCTTCAACCCCCTCCCTCTCCTCCTTAATCTCTCCTAAACTTGGGTCGTAACCAGGAGCTATTAAGTACTCTCCGTTTGACTGCAGAGCGTCTAAGTCCACTGCTGCTTCCACCAGCCCCTCGTACTTAGCTAAGTGTTCCGCCCCGCACCACTCGAGCAGGCTCGCACCGAACCTCTCGTGCAGCATTGGCCGAAACGAGCCTCCGTGGGTTTCAAGCACCTCCCGGATGAATGGAAGGCGAATGCTGGCCTGAAAATAAGAAATGTGGGGAGAAAGGGAGGAGGAGAGGATGGGAGGAGGGGGGGAATGGGGGAGGGCAGTAGCGAGTGGAGAGGTTTGTGTCAAGGCAAGAGGCACAAACGTTTCAATGGGTTAGCCAGAGCAACGGGGGGTGGAGAGACAGGGTAACAGATGCTATTACTGTCTCAGATGCACTATGGTGCGCTCGCTCCACCCACACTGGTTATCCACACTCGTTACAGTCACATACTCGTCACATACTCACCTGGTACAGCTTAACCACGTCCTGCAGACCAGCTCGTCTCATCTCCAACCTTCTCGTCAGCCTTTCTATATCCGGCGTGCGTCTCAAATGCCCCCGCACCTCCTGCCTCCTTACATTCCCTCATGCCCACTATGGTACCACTCGTTATAGTGTCTCACTCGTAACAGTCACACTCGTTACAGTCTCACCTGGTACAGCTTAACCACGTCCTGCAGCCCAGCTCGTCTCATCTCGAGCCGTCTCGTCAGCCTCTCTATATCCAGCATGCGTCTCGAATGCCTCCGCACCTCCTGCCTCAACCCCTACATTCCCTATACTCACTATAGTACCACTCGTTACAGTTTCTCACTCGTTACAGTCATACTGGTCTCACCTGATACAGCTTAACCACGTCTTGCAGCCCAGCTCGTCTCATCTCCAACCTTCTCGTCAGCCTTTCTATATCCGGCATGCGTCTCAAATGCCCCCGCACCTCCTGCCTCATCCCACCACTCTCCACAAACGCTTGCACCACATCCAACCGAAACTTAATCTCCTCCTCATCCACTAACGGCTGCTTCAGCCACCGGTTTAATAACCTTTTCCCCATGCCCGCCGTGCACGTGCGGTTCATCAGTCCCATTAAGGAAAAGTTTCTATTTCCGTCCGTTTTGGATTCGGTGACGTTGAGAGCGCGGAGGGCGGTCGCGTCGAGGCGCATGTGCGTGTGGAGGCTATAAGGGAGGAGAGTGTAGCGACCGTAGTTACTATCGTCTGCTAACAGATCAGCATAAGCGAGTACAGCAGCCATCGCAGCCCCTGCGATTTCAGAGTCTACAGTAACTTTCTGGCTTCCTCCCCCTCGTCCCCCTCCTCCCGCTGCTCCCGTCATCCTCCCTCCGCCTCCCCCTCCCCCTCCGCCTCCGCTTCCGCCTCCGCCTGCGCCCCTTCCCCCTGCGCTGCTCGTCCCCCTAAGGAGCCTCCCCAGGTCTTGCTCCACGTCGCGCGGTTTAAATTCCGCCCGTTTCCGCTCAACTATAAGCACGTTGCATCGCGACATCACGTCTCTTAATCTCCGCGCCTCGAGCGACTTGACCCCCTTCTTCTCCGCTCCCCCGCCTCCGCCTCCCCCTCCGCTCCCCCCGCCCCCTTCCTGCGGAACAACGCACTCCCGACAGCTCAGTGCCACTAGCGCGGATTCCAGACACGTGTACTGCTCGTCGTCCAGAAAATCCGTCATTCCCAACGCGCGCTTCGTCAGATCCACGAACGCTAGCCCCACGCGCCGCTCGCCGTCCTTCGCGCCGCCTCCTCCGCCGCCGCTCGTGGCGACGATCACGGCGCATACCGTCGGCGAGTCGCCCATATCGCGCGTCGCGAACAGCACGTCCTCGAAGGCCGTCAGCCGCCCCGGCGTGGCGGCCCGCGCGAGCCGCCAGCTCGCACCGCCGCCCTCGTAAAGCTCCACAGTTGAATACCCGGTGGAAACGGCGCTGTTACCCCCGCCGTCTCCGCCACTACCTTCCCCGCCTGTTCCCCCCGCTCCGCCTCCGCTGGTTCCGCCTTCCTCTAGCAGCAAGTGGCGGAGGATCGACTCAAACATGCTGCGGTTGACGCTCACGCTGGGGAGCGCGGCGGAATCGCCGGCGCCCGCTGAGCTTCCCGCCGCGCTTGCTCCGCCCGCGGAGAGGTAGCGCACGGCGGAGAGCGTCTTGTAGAAGGCGCGCGCGACGAAGAGCGCGGCGGGACCGTGCACGGTGTAGTAGTCGCGGCGGTCGAAGAAGCGGATCGTGTGCGGAGCCTGGGGACGGGGTACGCGGAGAGGGAAGAGGAGCGCAAGGTAGACACGTAGACGGGCAATGTAAAGGGTGACGGCTGACAGAAACGGTGTAGTAATAGTCGTGGCGGTCGAATAGACGATAACAACGAAAGGAGCATCAGCGTTCATGTATCATGGGTGGAAGGGAAGGGAAGAAGGACAGGAAACCCGGGATTGCCGCGCGTGTCCAACGATTATGCGACATATTTCTCAGACACAAAAGTTCACGTACGGGTGGAAGCGAGCGAAAGAAGGAGAGGAACCCTTGAGCTTGCCGCGCATCTATTGAACGACAAGGGAATGTGGGAGGGCATAGGAGAGGGGAGAATCCATTACGTGGAACAAGAAAACATATATCAGGAATGTCACTTCCTTGAGTGACAATTGAGTGACGCAAAAGAAATCAAGAGACAAAACACTACCAGGGAGGTAATCATTCTACAAGTTTGTCTGTTGCTGCGGACACTTGTTCTGAGGCGCCTCAAAACTACACTACAGGGAGGTTATAGTTCTACAAGTGTCTGTTGCTGCGGAAAGGTCGGTCTATGACGCACCGAGTTTGAGCTCCGGCAACTTCGCCTCCCCGCCATCCATGTCCGCCATATTGGCTTGCTCGTTATCGTACGAAAAGGATACCACTGCGCGTAAAGGTTATTGCTGCGCGAAAAGGCTACCACCAGACGGTGTGATGTTGCGCGTATGACACCGTGGTACTTGGTGACCGAGAATCAAGGCTGGTGCGCACAAGCCACGCGACGCAGACGAACGAGGGACGTTAAAACACCGTGAGACTCAGTAACCAAGAATCAAGACCGAGCTACTAGACTGTGCGTTCACTCCAAACGAGCAGAGAAGCACAGAAATGAGAGCAGAGGTCGCATGTGGAATGATGAGGAACAACACAAGCACACCACGAAAGAATCGAGGGAAGAAGAGTCACCGAGACGGCTAAAGAGGCGGGAAACATTCAAACTCTGAAACTGGGAACCCCTACAATGGGATCTCACTATCACTTACTATCATTCGTATCAATCCAATATATAGCTATATTAATATGTTGTAAGATGAGGGGAAAAAACAACAACAAGGTAGGTATAGTTTTTTTTGAAAATAACTCTAATAACACACAGCCTACACAGAATCATTGGTATGACGGTAATATGCTAACACCATATATTATAGCATCATATGCCCAGGCAAAAAAAATCGTTACACTGAATCCTCGGGATTAGCGGGCCTTTTTCAAAACAATCCACTGCCAGAACAGCGAGTCTCCTCCGTACTGTACATGCCCGCGCTTCGGCAGCGTAGTCTTGGGATTTGATCAGGTCACTCGCTAGTTGCTGATCTGGTTCCTGTGGTCTTTGAGCCTCGCGGGATTTGGGTTTGACAAAAAATCGCAAGAGCGCGAAATTCTCACCAGCTCCGATCACTGTTGTTGAGACATCTGGAAACTCCTCTTTAGGGAGTATTTTACAAGTCCGACCACCAGTTAGAAACGTCCCGAAACGCAATATTATATATTTTCTCAAAAAGACGCTACCCCGTCACCACATCCCCCAATGTCGCCAGCGACTAGCCTTTTGCGACAGGCCGCTCGTCCCGTGGTCGCTCGGCCGCTGGATGCCACGTCAGCATTGCGTGGCATCGCCAGCGCCATTGTGATGGGTCCGGGAAGTGTTCTGGGCGAAGGGGGGGCGGCAGGAGGCGCAGCGCCTTCGACAGCAGCGCCTTCGACAGCAGCGCCTGAAGCGTCGGCGCGTGTAGCATCCGCGCCGTTGGCGGAGGGGGAAAAGTTCAAGGTATGGAGACTGGAAGAATGGGAACAGGGGAAGGGGGAGGGGCAGGGGGAAGGAGGAGGAATGAGTTGAAGGGATGGAAAACGGAGAGCGGAGGAGCGGGGTTGCGATCAAAAAGTGGGTTAAGCGCGGTGCAGAGAGCTCCATGGAAAAAGTGGGCATCGCTTTTGAGAATTCTCAAAAGCGACGCCCAAAATGGGGGGGCGGAGGAGCGGGGCTGCGATCTAAGAGTCACGAGGGTTTTGGAAATGGGATGAGTGGAGAGCGGTGGGGAGGGGTACAATGCAGCGCTCGGATTCAATGGGAATGGGAGCCTGGCAAGGAATGCAGTGCTCTGTTGGAGCTACACTCCCTGGAACCGCACTCCCTTGCACTACACTCGCTTGAACCGCACTCTCTTGCACTACACACCCTTGAAGCTCACTTCTGACCTGTTTTTTTTTATTGAAATGTGTATGCTATTTCTCAGCTTCTGTTCCCCATCAATGCTGAATGCACGTGTTTATCTCTGTGGACGCCTTGTACCCGTTATAAGGTGCTCTTCTGTGGAGACGAGTTCCCCGAAGCCTACACCTACTCCGCCGAGCTTCTACACAAAGAGCCCAACATGGAAGTTTCCTGGCACCCGCGGGCCGAAATCCCTCGGCGAATCAGGGACTGCCACGTCGTCGTGCCACGGATGACCCGGCTGGACGCTGGAACCATCGCGGAAGCTTCCAAGCTGAGGCTGATAGTGCAGTTCGGGGTGGGATTAGAGGGGGTTGACGTGGCAGCAGCAACAGCAAGGGGGATTAGGGTGGGGAGAATCCCGAGCGCTGATACAGGGAATGCTGTCTCCTGTGCCGAGCATGCCATCTACCTCGCTCTGGCGCTCCTAAGAAAGCAGGTGCGGTTTAGAGTGGTGTTGTGGGTTGAACTGGGCTGGTGGGGTTGGAGGGGGTGGATGTGGCAGCAGCATCGGCGAGGGGGATCAGGGTGGGGCGAATCCCAAGTGCCGATACAGGGAATGCTGTGTCCTGTGCTGAGCATGCCATCTACCTTGCTCTGGCGCTCCTAAGAAAGCAGGTGGGCGTGGGAGTCTTGTTTTGCATAGAAATTCTGTGCCAAGTGCCAGCGTGGGGAATGCTGTGTCTTGGAGGGGGTGGACGCGAGGGGGATCTTGGTGGGGCGAATCCCGAGTGCCCACACGGGGAATGCTGTGTCCTGTGCTGAGCATGCCATCTACCTTGCTCTGGCGGTCCTGAAAAAGCAGGTGCGGTTCTGGTGCTGCAAAGGGCTGATTTGGGCTGGTAGTGCGGTTTAGAGTGGTGCAGGGTGGGACAGGCTGGTTGAAGGGGGTGCGTATGACAGCAGTGATGAGAGCGCAGCAGGAGTGCGTCCAGCAACAGCGGCTGGGGCAACCCATCTTGAATCATCTTTTCTTCGTTACCCTCACTTCCCCACTCCATTCCCCTTCTCCCCTCCTCCCTCCCTTCTTCTGTTTGTCCTCTTTCCCCTTTCACCCCACCTTAGAAGCGCAGCGGCGCCTGAGGCAACCCATCTTGTATCGACTCTACTTCCTCACCCTCCGCCCCTCCTGCCCTCCTGCCCCCCTTCTCATTCACAAAAGAAACGAATGCAGGAGTCCATTCAGCAGCGGCGCCTGGGGCAACCCATCGGCCAAACCATCTTTGGCAAGTCGGTGGGTTCTGGGTGGGTGTTGGTGTTTTTGTTTCCTTTTAGAAACATCTGACCTCGGGTTTCGTGTTCATATGTGTGAGTTTGCTCACACGAGTGAGGTTTGAATTTGGGAACTCTTTCCTTGTTGCGTCGTCATGTGTCCTGGCATTGTCTCTCTTCCCCTTGCAGGCAGGTTTTTTGAAAACTCTCAGTAACCAGCATTTTGAGAATTCTCAAAAACTTGTGTCGTCATGTGTCCTGGCATTGCCTCACTTCCCCTTGCAGGCTCTGATTGTGGGGTATGGAGGGATAGGGAAGGCGCTCGCTGCAAGGCTGAGGGCGTTTGGAGTGGCATGGATGGGTGGAGTGCGGAAGGGATGGGCAGGCGTGCATGGGAGGAGAGGTGAAAGCGAAGACGAGACAGGTGTGTGGATGAGCAGGCCGGTTGAGAGCGGTGTGGTATGGGATCACTGTACTTGTAAACTATGCAAAATTCACAATTCTCAATACCATATTAACTGTACACTGCTCGCTCGTCGATGCAGATGGGATGCTGGACGAGTGGGGAGGTCCCGAGATCCTCGACAAGATGCTTCCGGTGGCGGATCTTGTCTTCTTGTGCTGCCAGCAAACCACTGAGACGGTACTATGGGCGGAGAGAGAGTGCAATCAAGGATGTGCGTGTGACTGTAACGAGAGTATATGTCAGTCAGGGTGTGGCTGTGCTGAGGGGTGTGAGTGCTGCATGGATGCTCGTAGCATGTGGTGCTGGGCCAAACGCCTAAAGCTCTGTATTTACTCTGAATTGGCTCGTTCTGACTAGTTCAGGTTATGTTCTGACTTTGCTCGGCTCTTTTTCCCTCTGATTCTTTCCTCTTTTTTTTTTTTTTTTTTGGGTATTCCTTCGCAGATTGGGATGGTCGACGCCAGCTTCCTTGCAGCAATGAAAAAGGCAAGTCATGGAAGGTTAGGACGATGGTCACTGACAGGCACGCACACAATCTTAAGGCACAAACCCCCTGCACCAATCACTTGCACAGCCTCCCTTCTGAACTCACTCGCAGGGCCCTGCAATTGAGGGGGTCTCTTGCACTACCCCTCTATTAACCATGCACTTGAATCTGCATCACTCGCGGGCCTTGGGATTGACGTGGCGTGGCACGAACCCATCGACCCCTCAGAGTCCTTCCCTCCACTTCCCCTTTTTGGCCTCCCCTTCTTCCATAACCCTTCCCTCCTGTGTAACCACCCCCCAACTCCCTCCTCCTCCCCTATCCTCTAACCCTCTCTTTAACAGTCAGCCATTCTGATCAACGTGGCGAGAGGAGGGCTTCTGCACTACCCCGCCATAAACCAAGCGCTCGAATCTGCTTCCCTGGCGGGCCTTGGGATTGACGTGGCGTGGCAAGAACCCATCGACCCCTCAGAGCCCCTTTTGAAGCACCCTGGCGTTATAGTCACACCACACGTTGCGGGCGTTACAGAGGTGTCTTACCGACGAATGGCAGAGGTGCGTGCATGGGAAGGGAAGTGTGGGTGTAAGGGCAGTTCCTTTTGAGGCGCCTCAAAAGGGAAGTGTGGGTGTAAGGGCATTTCCTTTTTGAAGACTTTTGAGGCGCCTCAAAAGGAAGTGTGGGTGTAAGGGCATTTCCTTTTTGAAGCACCCTGACGTTATAGTCACACCGCGCATTGCGGGGTTTACCTAGGTGTCTTACCGGCGAGTGACAGAGGTGCGTGCATGGGGAGGTGTCGGGGGGGTGGGGGGGGGGGAGGGAGCGGGGGGCGGGATGGGAGGGGGCGGGATGGGAGTGCATAAGCACGTACCCCGTTAGTAGCACCCGATGGATATAGTCACGCTGCATGTTGCGGGTGTTACAGAGGTGTCTTACCGACGAATGGCAGAGGTGCGTGCATGGGAAGGGGTGGCAGGCAGGGGGGGAGTGTGGGTATAAGTGCATACTCTTTTTGAACCATCCGAGGGTTATAGTCACATCACATGTTACTGAGGTCCCTTGTCTGAGATGCATGTTCATTGGGGTAGGGAGGGAGGGTCCGCTCGCGTGTGTACATGCGAAGAGCGGGTGGAGAGGGAGAGGGGGGCGTGGAGGGGGAAAGGGGAGGGGAGGAGTACATGGGGGGGTGAGAGTAGAGAGGGCGTTAACGCATGCGTGTGTGGGGAGGTGTGGGGGGTGGGGGGGGGGAGGGGGGGAAGAGGAGGGGTTGCATAAGCACAGCACGTATCCCGTTTGTAGCACCCGATGGATATAGTCACACCGCATGTTGCGGGTGTTACAGAGGTGTCTTACCGACGAATGGCAGAGGTGAGCATGGGAAGGGGTGGCAGGGGGGAAGTCTGGGTAGAAGTGCATACTCTTTTTGAACCAAACGAGGGTTATAATCACATCACATGTTACTGAGGTGCCTTGCCTGAGATGCATGTCCATTGGGATAGGAAGGGAGGGGCTGCTCGCGTGTGTACATGCGAAGAGCGGGTGGAGAGGGAGAGGAGGGTGTGGAGGGGGGAAGGGGAGGGGAGGAGTACATGGGGGGGTGAGAGTAGAGAGGGCGTTAACACATGCGTGTGTGGGTATGTGTTGAATGAGGTGCACACATTTGCATGTGCATCAATAACAATCTTTGGTTCCCAGCAGTCTCACGTATGTATTATGAGGTTCTCGTGGTTTACTGATACGAGTTGGCCAGATAACACCAAGGTTATGACGTTTTATTTCTCTATATTGCAATGCGTTTTTTTCTGCAGATTATTTACCAAACCGTAATTCAAGTCAGAGATGAGGAGACACTTACTCACGTGGAGCTAGCCAACTAGGTCCATGGGTAGGAAGCCACACATAGTAAATGCAATTTAATTTATTGATTTTAAAATATTATGCCATTTAAGCCCTGTAACTGCTTCGCAAGGGCATTTCCATTCATGTCTCGCAACCGAATTCAATTGCAGCGGTTCTGCTTTGTGTGGCTGCTCGGCTCCCACGTCAAGCAAGCCACACTGCCTTTTTGCTGGTAACGTCGCTGCTTTTCAGCAAGGTGGAATTTCGCACCTGCTACAATGGCTCTTTCGCAAACGCCAGATGCACGCCTCTGCCCTGCCATTTGGGTCGCTAGAAACCTCCATATCCCTCGGGAATACCGGCCCCGGGAGTCGCGCAGACGCGGCACGCTTCGGCACCGCCATTCCCGAGACACGCGGCCTTTTCGTCTGCACCCGCCTACGTGTAACCGCCAGCTCTTCTTGTACGTAACGCCGCCAGTGGTCTTTTGAGCGGTTGCGTGTGCGACAGCTCGAAAAGTGCATTCGAAGTGCCGTGACGAGCATCGAAACGACGTGGCTCGTTCTTACGCTTTACGGTGAAAGCGTGTCCGGCGGTGACGCGTTTCCTGCAAGAATAATGGAATCACGGACTCGAAGATCCAGAATCAGCAACGCTGGTCGGCGGTTTTTCCCATATCATTGTATGTCGGCTGGACCACACAAGGCAGCCAGACACAAGGCTCCCTTCCAGCTGTCCATCGAGCTGTACATATATCTGCCTAATTCCGATAGATTTCGAACAGCTGTGAATCTCAAGCAACATCAAGCTCTCTTCAGAAGGATTCAGGATTCCCACGATTCCCTTCGCTATCCAGCTGTCTGAGACGAGCTGATTACCCTAGTATCTTTCTCGCAAAAGTCCCCGCTTCTCGATCCGACCCATAAATTAAGAAACCGTGAGTGTCCGAGTGCCTGACGCGCTCAGTCCGGGACACGAGATGACGCAAGCCGCGCTCCTCCTACTCCCGGACGGCGGGGTGAAGCTAATTACCGAAAGAACCCGCGTTTCTGACATAATGAAAGAGCACCCAGGCTTCGCTGTCGGCTCGTTTACATCGAACCGCGAAGTCCTCCCCGCGGAGAAGCTTCTGCGATCAGGCAGCAGTTACTACCTCCATCGGGTTACCAACTCGAATAGGAGCTCCGACCTTGGGATCGCCGACGAAGGATCGTTCAGCGGCTTTCCGCGCACGAGATCCTCCGCCAGTGCGCCGTCGATTCGCGGCGACACCCCCAGCCCCGAACACCTTTCGCCAGATCTTCGCCAGGCGTCGCAATTGCAGACTCGAAGTGACAATTTCCGTGATTTTGCTGGCTCGCTGAGCTTCGTAAGGTCGTCGACCATGTCCCGCCGCGCGTCGCTGGCGATTGATGCGTCCACTCGAGGGGTCTCAGAAGCGCCAGCGCCGCGCCGTCAGCAGCGACAGCCGAGGCAGCGCTGCAAGCAGGAGCAGCAGACGTATCGTCACGACGCGAGAAGCCCTAAATCCCCAGTAACTCCCAGGTCACCCAGTGTTATCGGTACTAGCACCCCATCGTTCTCATCCTCTTCGTCCATCTCGCCATCCCCTCGACAACTTTCGCCACGTGGAAACACTAGCGACCTGCTGAGTCCGCGTTACCAGGACTTTGCGGCGTGGTCGTCAAGTACCGCATCAAGCAACAACGGAGACCTGCCCAGGGTACATTCAGAAACCACCCTCCGCTCACATACCTACTCCATCAACCACCCATCTCGGGAGGCTGCTAACGTTGGCGATTCCCCTGCAACGTCTGCAGCTCCAGTTTGCCAAAGCGGGGTTCAGGGACGTATACTCAAGTGGAAAATAAGGGACGACACGACGGCTGCTCCCAAGGGAGGCCGCCTCTCAACCTGCGCAGAGGATCTAATGGCTACGCGGACGCGGCTATTGCTGGCGGGATCCTACGGCAACAATAATTCTAGGGCTAGCATTAGCGGAGTCCATCCGTTGCATATGAGAAACGGCTTTTAGCATGGCTTGGGTGGAAGCAGCTGGTGGTTCGTGTAATGTGTGCTGGGATTTGCCGCATGATAGATTTCTATACTCGTTTATCTATATGGGAATGCGTTAATAATGCTGAATGAATATGTTTATTCTCACCTTGTGGTCTGAAACTGCAATTGCAAATGTGCATAAATTTCATGTATTCACGTATTGTAAGAATTCTCAACCGGTACAATTGCACTTGTAATCTAGAAATATATTTCGAGGAGTGGTAATCGAGTACATGACGACGGGCTCGTGTTTTCTATCCGTATCGACTCGAATGCCCAGCTTCGCTCATCACAGGCTGCAGGTCCCATTCTGTATGGCGGCTACTGCTCGCAATCACCTTCAAAGGTCGCGCTCAAGCCAAGCCGCATATTTGCTTCGTACGCATGTCTCTTAAAGCGCTGCATGCATGTCCGTTTTAGGTAATCCGCAACAGCTGTGAGAATCTTAGGACGCCGCACCCTAGACTTACCCAAGTTCCTCGCGAAAATTAGTCCGCCAGAGACTTCCATTTTCTTGAACACTAACCGCTTCTAATGTCCATCCCGTCGAGTTTCGTGACATTCCTATGAATCCCACGAACACTGGTAACGGCTTTTCGCGACATTGCTGACGGCATTCTGCCAGTCCTGTTGACCAGTTCCGGTCGACGTTCGCCTCCTGCCAGATTCCGGCTGCACGTGTCTGTCCGTCAACGAGAGCTGTGTCATGGCTTCAAAGCGTCCATCGGAGCCTGAAGCCGCGCCGGGCCTATCGTCCATGGAGAATTTACAGCGAGTGGAGCAGGTATGACGAGAGAATGAGGAGGAATCAGGGAACTTCGTTGCGCGTAGAACAGGTCGTGAGATCATCAAGAAAATCTACAGCACGTGAATTACATGGTTTGACAAACGTCTGAAAAAGGAAAAGAACAGTTACTCACGTTGACTCTTAGCGTGCACCTTGCCCATGCTCTGGCGTCTCTCCTTGTCTCTCCATGTCCCCCCATATCTCCATGTCCGCCCATGCCTCCCCCGCGTGTCTCTTCGTGACCCCCCATGTCTCCCCATGTCGCGCCATGTCCCCCCGCTTCTCCCTTGTAACCCATGTCTCACCTACAGATTCTTAAACTCATCAACACAAGTGTACGACCAGCACAATCCATGCTGTCACCCTGATCCCTTTCTGTATGGTTCACACTTACACTCTAACTGAATATTCACCCATTCCGGAACTACCGCAGCGAATAATTGACGCTGTCAAATGCGCAGGCAACGTCATGCAGCTGCTCGGCCAATCAGGACCGTCCACACCAGCAGTAGGATGCGGAGGAGGAGGGGGAGGCGGGCCTTCACATCCCCACCTCCCAGGGAACGTTCTTGGAAGCATCGCTGGAGGGGGAGGCCCGGGAGGGGCAAACAGGAAACCAGAAATGGTGGCTGGGATGTGTCAAGATTTCATGCTGGCAATGCGGGTGAGCTAATCCGATTCCTTTTCCACGTAATGTTCCAACCAGCAAGTGACAATTGAAAATCTACACCTCCATTCCTGCGTATTTGTGTCCCTCTCACTTGTGCCTCCTTATGTGAATTTATGGTTCTTGCAGGATGTTCAAGTGATCATGCGCAATGAGATTCGCATAATGTGTGAATACCGTTCTTATGAGAACAGTGACTATATGGAGCGGTTGCTGGCAGAGCTGAGTGCTGAGAAACTGGACTGCTTGGGAAACCGCATTCAGCATCTTCAGCAGATCTTGGGCAATGATGGTGATGATGATGAGGAGAATGACAAAGAAATTGATGTTGATGCAGGTGGTGACAAGGCGGGTGGTGGTGATGATGGCGTTGCAGAAAAACCAGGCACTAAGGATGATACGGGGATGGATGAAATGCCTACTGCTAGTGGTGAGGGGCAGGAGAAGGCAGGAGAGAAAGGAGAGGAGGATGATCAAGAAGGGGGGCGATTAGAAGACGATATTGGCTTGCCCTCAATGTTCCTATCCATGCTCCCTGTAGCTAGAGAAGAGTCACCAGAATAAGGCTAGCATTATAATGATTATGAAATGCATGTTTCGAAGTTAGGCACGTAGGGTACAACATGGTGAGGTGGCTCGTATTGAATCAACTCAATATTGAACATCCCGATAGAGCCTATGGTATGCGCCAAAGCCATTGCCCATCCTTAGCTTTTCTGGAAACTTGAAATTCCAACCCTATGCCCACTGCACAGCTGATCTTGCAACCAGGCTGCTCAGTGACACTCCCTCGGGTCTTCATTTGGTCTGCGACAGAAGCAAGCAACCCTAGAATCAAGTTTCCACATTGCCCACCAAGAAGTCTTCTAATTACGTCCTTCCGACATTTCGTAGTCGCTAACAGGTAGCCATTTCCCAGTACTGCTTCCGTTTCCCAGAAATTTGCACCCATGGACGACGAGGAGGCAGCGGAAATAGCTCAGCTGCGACAGCAGCGGTCACGGCTTAAGGAGCGGCTAGAAAGTCGCAAGAAAGCCACCGCGTCTCTCGTAAACGACTTGCTGACGTCAGCTCCTAACACCGGCGCAAGCGGCGGAATATCCGCTGCGCGCCGCTCGCCTTCAATTGACGAGCTTCCGCCTGTCGCGGCGACGAACGCGCCGTTGACGGCGACGGGGTTAACCAACAGCGCGAATGCCGGCGGCGGCGGCGGAGGCGGAGGAAAATCTGACGTGTCAGGCAGCGAAGGTCGCGACGACGGAGGCGACTCGAACGTCAGCTCGGGCGCTGCGGGAGCCACCGAGGCAACAGCTGGCGTTAGCGGCGGCGGTAGCGGACCGTTAACGAAACGGCCGCGGAAAAAAGGCTCCCTTCAGAACATTCTAGAAGGTTTAGAAGACGAAAAAGCGGGCCGCGGCGGCGCGGGAAAGCCCAGTGGCTTAGTAGCAAGAGGAGGAGCAGCAGCAGCGGCAGCAGGAGGATTCCCAATACCCTCTCGCACTGAAAGTCCGAACCTTTTCGCGGGTCAGCAAACCCCCACGCCTCCGCCAATCGCGGACGCGTTTCCGCGAGAGGAGGATATAGTAGACGAGTCGCGCCGGCCGCTGACGTCACTGGAGCGCGTGGAGCGGCTCGTGGCTGCCGTCCTGCTGGCGGCCGGCACGGCGGTGCCTTTGGACTCTAGCGCGATAAATAGGAGATTAAAGAAGGAGTTAAACCCCGAAAGCGTAGACCAGGCTGCGATTCTAGAGGTCGGCGGGGAGGATGGGCCAATAGGAGCGCTGGAAACGGCGCTTAGGGTTCTTGCGGGGATGACTGTTGGGGGGGCCGCGGAAGGGGGAGGCGGAGGGGGGAAGGCCGGGGGAAAGCGGAGCTGGAAGGGCGGAGCAGGGGGGAGCGTGAGCGGAGCGCCTTTAGTGGAGATAGAAGAATTTGCAGTGGCTGGAGTGGCTAGGCTGATGGTTTTAGGGTTTGACAGGCTGGCGCTTTCGCGGATGTTTCCTGGGGCGACGATTCCGTCCGCAGAAGCTTCTCGGAAGCAGCAGGAGAGGGAGGAGGAAGAGGAGGTGGGTTTGTTGCTAGGTAGGAGGGGAAGGGGCGGTTTTGGGCGGGAGAATCGAAGGTTTGGGGTTGGAAGAGGGGGGATGGGGGGGGATGGGGGAAGAATGGGGGGAGAAGGGGGCAGGGAGGGTAGGGACTTGGGGGATAGGGAAGGACCCGCGCAATTCCCCCCTATGGGTCCGCATGGTTTTGAACCCACAGGGGCGATGGGTGGGGTAAATTACCCTGGAGGAGGCAGGGGGTATTTTCCTGGTGGGGGTGGGCCAGGAGGTATGGGGGGGAATTTCCCCCCTGGGGGTGGACCGGGGCCGATGGGTATCCATGGGGGGGGAGGGCCGGGTATGGGGGGGATGGGGGGAATGGGGGGAAGGCCCCCGTATGGGCAAGGGGGAATGGGCGGAGGGTTTGGGCCAGGAGGGGGAAGGGGGGGAATGATGCCGTATAATGAAAACGTGGGCATGGGGATGGGGATGGGTATGGGCATGGGTATGGGCATGGGTATGGGAATGGGCATGGGCATGGGTATGGGTATGGATCCGAGAATGCAGGGCCTTCCCCCTCCCTTCCGCCCCCACCCAAGTCTCCCCCCTCCCCACTCCTTGGGCATGGGCGGAGGGGGAAGAGGCGGAGGGGGAGGGCCAGGCGGAGGGGGGCAGGATGCAGGGGGGAGATGGGGGAGGGGGATGGGGGCAGAGGCGGGGGAGGGTAGAGGCGGTGGGGGCGAAAGTGGAAGGGAGGGGGAGAAGGAGGGGGAGAAGAAAGTTGACAAGAAGGGGGAGAAGAAGGGGGAGGGGGAGACAGGAGGGGGCGACGGGGAAGAGGAGGAGGGGGAGGAGGAGGAGATGAGGGTGGAGGAGATTTTATCAAAGAAGTCGTTCAAAGAAATGCAGCAGTCCAAGCGGGGGGAGGAGCTGCTGGAGCTGCTGCAGAAACCAACTGCTAAGGAGACAGCCGTTGCAGCACGGGTACGTATGGAGTTCATCGTTTTTTTGACAATTTACCGTAAAAAACGGTACCGTAAAATACGGACCGTAAAAAACGGTAAAAAACGGTTCCAGAAGGTGATTTTCGTTGAAAGAAAAAATTGGCAATTTTATGTGACCAATTTGATGGCGAAAATCACCAGGATGAAGAGGAGGAACCCCTCCTTGCATGTGTGCATGCGTCGGCATGATTGAACATGTATCCGATCTTGTTTTTGCCGTTTTTTCCTTGGTGAAATGAGTTCTCTAACAAAAAAACGTCGTATTTTTGAAAATTTATCGTAAAAAACGGACCGTAAAAAACGGATCGTAATTTACGGAAACCGTATTTTTGCACTTTAGGGCATAGCTGTCAGGGTTTAAGTGTGGAAGAGTTGAGGGTGGAGGAGATATTATTAAAGAAGTCGTTCAAAGAAATGCAGCAGTCAAAGCGGGGTGAGGAGCTGCTGGAGCTGCTGCAGAAGCCCACTGCTAAGGAGACTGCCGTTGCTGCACGGGTACGTATGGTATGGGAGTCAAGGTTCATGGCTTAGGCTTAGGGGTTAGGGTTGAGGTTGGAAGATGTATTATCAAAGAAGTCCGGTAAAGAGATGCAGCAATCTAAGCGGGCGAGGAGCTTTTAGAGCGGCTGCAGAAACCCACTGCCAAGGAGACCGCTGTTGCTGCACGGGTACGTCATGTGTGGGAATACTTGGAAGGGTTAGGGTTCAGGGTTCAGTGCTACTTTTGAGGTCTATCAAGAGCTGCTGGAGCTGCTGCAGAGGCCCACTGCTATGGAGACCGCTGTTTCTGCAAGGTTGAGCTTGGAGAGATGCTTGGTCCACAGGTTTTGGGCATTTGTGTGCGAAATCCGAGAGGAAAGAATGACACTGTACATCTGCAAGTCATTTTCAAATCTGTTGTTTCCTCTTTTTTTTTTTTTTTTTCTTCAAAGGAATTGTGCCCCTTCAACTTCTTCATAAGCCCTTATTTGTCTATGCCCCTTCCAGTTCAAGACCAAGGGCGGGTCCATGGTGCGAGAGTACTGCAACCGGCTCACTAAAGATGACTGTCGCCGCCACCGCAACTCGTACACTGCGTGTGACAAGGTGGGCGGCATTGCATGCACTGGTTGTGTGTGATTAACAAGCAAGCAAGCAAGCAAGCAAGCAAGCAAGCAAGCAAGCAAGCAAGCAAGCAAGCAAGCAAGCAAGCAAGCAAGCAAGCAAGCAAGCAAGCAAGCAAGCAAGCAAGCAAGCAAGCAAGCAAGCAAGCAAGCAAGCAAGCAAGCAAGCAAGCAAGCAAGCAAGCAAGCAAGCAAGCAAGCAAGCAAGCAAGCAAGCAAGCAAGCAAACAAACAAACAAACAAAACAAGCAAACAAACAAACAAACAAACAAACAAACAAACAAACAAACAAAACAAGCAAACAAATGTCTTAATGCTCTTGCCAGTATAACCACAAAGAAAGATGTGTGTGTCTGTATGCTCTTCCCCTCTCTTGTGCCTCGCCCCTCCCTCTCCCGTCCTTTTCATTGCTCCCTTCATCCCTCGGTCCCTCCCAAGTGCATTTCCGCCGCATCATATTGCCGCACACCGACATGAACTGCTATGCATGTTCCCCATCTCCCTCCTTTCGCTGCCCCCCTGTGTTCTCATCCTTCCATCCATCGCACACCAGGTGCATTTCCGCCGCATCATATCCCCGCACACCGACATGAACCTGGGAGATTGCTCTTTCCTCGACACCTGCCGACACATGAAGGTAAACAAGCAAGTTTCCAGCTCTAGTTTTGGGACGTCTCAACAATGAGGTGTTAGGTGCGTAATGGGCGCACTGCATGCATGCTGCAACTTCAAAGGGTTACAAGTTTATTTTCTCTAGAGGGACTATCGTCTTTTGCCTAAGTCATCCCCTCCTACTGCTGCTCTTCTTCATGACAAGCACAGCGTGCATGCTGTGCGCCCATTACGCACTGACAATGAGGTGTTTGGTGCGTAATGGGCGCACTGCATGCACGCTGTTGAGCTGCGAGGTGGCTAGTTAGAGCATGCGTTTGGTGTGTGTGCGTCTGGGTGTATTTTGAGTCGACTCAAAATACACCTGGACGCTTCTGAGAGGTGGTTAGTTAGAGCACACGTTTGGTGTGTGCGTGTCTGAGAAGCGGTTCGAGTCCACTGCAACTTGATTGGTCGGGTTGAGTAACAGTAACAGCAGTAACAGTAGAGATGTTATTCAATGTCTTAAGCCGACAATCCGTCGCCACTTGCATCAGTGAGGTCCATTTCATCGCTGCTGCTGCCGCCGCCATGGGCGTTTTCAATCCCCATGGGAGAAGATGCACCCATTCCTTCTCCAAACACCCAAATCTCCCTCGTGTTCTCCCCATCAACCATCCTCCAGCCGTGCAAGTACGTGCACTACGAGTTGGACCCCCCTGTCCCAGACGGAGCGCCCTAGAGGGCCATGCCACACATCCTCCCTGCGCCATCCCCCTCACTGCTGTAGCCCCTCTCCCATCCCCCTTCGTGCCCTCTCCCCATCAACCACCCCATCAAGTACGTGCACTACGAGTTGGACCCGGTGCCAGACGGAGCACCCTACGGCGCCATGATCCCCCCAGGGGCCGCTCTCCCCCCCTGTCGCCGCTGCTGCAGGGCGGCCCCTGGAGGGATCATGGCCCTCGTAGGGTGCTCCGTCTGGGAGGGATCAGGGGCCGCCCTGTCACAATCGGAGTACCCTACGGTTTGTCTGTGGTACTGCCACAAGCAAACTCAATGTTCCAACCCCCTCCCTCGTCCCCCCCCCCTCTCCCCACTCTCTCAAACCCCCCCCCCCCCCAGACATGCAAGTACGTGCACTACGAGCTCGATCCAGTCCCAGATGGAGCACCTTACGGTGCCATGATCCCCCCAGGGGCCGCCCTGCCTGTACTGCCACAAACATACCCTCAATTTTCCTTCTCTCCACCACCCTCCCTCGCACACCCCCTCCCCCCAGACATGCAAGTACGTGCACTACGAGCTTGACCCAGTGCCAGACGGAGCACCCTACGGTGCCATGATCCCCCCAGGGGCCGCCCTCCCCCCCGCCGCCGCTGCTGCAGCCGCCATGGGCATATTCGGCCCGCATGGGGGGCCAATGGGACCGCACGGCATGCATGGGGCAGGCATGCCCCCTGTGGTGCAGATTAATTCCTTCGGCCAGTACATTCCCTCAACTATTCCAAGACCCTTTGATAGGCCACCACGACCTGAATACTGCTCTCAGGTAGGCTGCTGCGCATGGGCATGGGTATGGGTATGGGTGTGTGTATAGGTGTGGCAATGGGCATGGGGCGGGCATGCCCCCTGTGGTGCAGATCAACTCGTTCGGCCAGTACATTCCCTCCACCATTCCACGCCCGTTCGACAGACCACCTCGACCCGAGTACTGTTCCCAGGTGGGTTGGTGTGGGACGTGTGGGGTGTGTGAGAATCATGTGCATGGGCACGGGGCGGGCATGCCCCCTGTGGTGCAGATCAACTCGTTCGGCCAGTACATTCCATCGACTATTCCCCGCCCGTTCGACCGCCCTCCCGGGCCGGAATACTGCTCCCAAGTGTGGGCGTTTGGGGTGTGTGAGAATCATGCGCATGGGCATGGGGGTTCAAAGTCTTCTGTAGGCGCCTCAGAAGTCCTGTCTCTCCACTTTTGTTTTAAGCAGGTTGAGCTCGGGGAGGCACAGTGGGTGAACTGTGACATTCGCAACTTCCGCACGGACATCCTGGGGCAGTTTGGGTCATCATGGCATGGTAGAACCCTGGTGGGACGATGGGAGGGACATCCCCGTGAGCTGACTTTTGAACGGCTGTCTCTCTGCTTGTGTTCACATCTCTCTGCTTATGTGCATTGCAGGTGGAGCTAGGGGAAGCACAGTGGGTGAATTGCGACATTCGCAACTTCCGCACGGACATCCTGGGGCAGTTTGGGGTCATCATGGCGGACCCCCCGTGGGAGGAAGGGACGTCCTGTGCGCTGTCTCTGTGTCAGCTTGTGTTTTCTACTCTCTGCCTATATGCATTGACAGGTGGAGCTAGGGGAAGCACAGTGGGTGAACTGTGACATTCGCAACTTCCGCACGGACATCCTGGGGCAGTTTGGAGTCATCATGGCGGACCCACCATGGGACATTCACATGGAGCTGCCTTACGGCACCATGGCGGATGATGAGATGAGAACGCTCAATGTGCCGGTGAGTGATTGTGGTGGTTCAACCCTCTGTCGCAGCATGTCTTACTGCTCTGCTTAGGCACCTTAAAGCTTTCATCACTCCCCGTGGGACATTCACATGGTGTTACCGTACGGCACCATGGCGGATGATGAAATGCGGACCCTCAACGTCCCGGTGAGTGACACCTTAAAGCCCCTTTGTGCCCCCTTATGGTCAGTCACCCCTCTCAACACCCCACCGTGGGACATTCACATGGAGCTGCTGTATGGCAGCATGGCTGATGCTGAGATGCACACCCTCAACGTCCCGGTGAGTGACACCTTAAAGCCTCTTTGTGCACCCTTATGGTTCCCCCTTCCTTCACCCCCCACCATGGGACATTCACATGGAGCTGCCTTATGGCACCATGGTTGATGCTGAGATGCTGAGGACTTTCACCATACCAGCCGCCGCCAGTGATTGTAGCGGAGCAAGGAGCTTCCATACCCTGTTCCTTATTATGCGATATACCCACTTTGAATTCTCCCTCCCCTACCTACCGCGTGTGATGAGTCGATTTTTGAGTCGACTAAAAATTGTGGCGGAGCAAGGAGCTTCCATACCCTGGCCCTGATGATGCGATACGTTCTTTGGATTCTCCCTCCCCTACCCTGTCTTCTTTCCCCCCCCGCCCCCCAACCCCCACCCCCTCCCACTCCCTTGTCTCCTCCTCCCACTTTCTCCCCACCCTTTCTTCCTGCTGCATCACCCAGGGCTTGCAAACAGATGGGCTCTTTCTGTTTTATGCGATTCATGAGTTAAATAATCAATGTCTTTTTTCTCCCATTTTTACTCCCCCTTTCACTGTCTCTCGACCCTCCCACGCTGCATCCCTCAGGGCTTGCAAACGGATGGGCTCATATTCCTCTGGGTGACAGGGCGTGCTATGGAGCTAGGGCGAGAGTGGTGAGTGCGGTGTGTGTGACTACAGCGGGTGGTGAGTGTGACAGAAGCGGGTGGTGTGCTATGGAGCTGGGGCGAGAATGGTGAGTGTGACAATGGCAGGTGGTGAGTGCAACGGTAGAAGGCAGTGTGACAGCCAACCAGGTGATTACAGTCTGCAGCAACACGGGTGGAGTTGGGAATCCGGGCTTTTGGGGAACCTGTCACGTTTTCTGTACTTGTGTTACTGGAACGTGATAGGTTCACACGTAGTCACGGAATCATGATAACGTCATAGGTTCACCCAACTCAAAGCTGAATACATGCGTATATATCAATGTACTGTACCTATATGTGTGCATACTTGAATGTGTTAATTTACATGAATATGCTTGTGTGTACATGAACTTAGACAGATATTTGTATGCAAATACACCCTTGCTGACATACATATGTATAACTGTCTTTTCCTATCTGCTTGCTTCTCTTCATGACTACAGTTTGGAGCTCTGGGGGTATCGGCGGGTTGAAGAGATCATCTGGGTGAAGACGAACCAGCTGCAGCGCATCATTCGCACGGGGCGCACGGGGCACTGGCTGAACCACAGCAAGGAGCACTGCTTGGTGGGCATCAAGGGAGCTCCCCTCGTCCATGGAGCACTGACTGTGGGTCACAGCCCTTGCAACCAACCACCCTTGCCTCGATCCCACAACCCCTCCTTCCTGTTCCTTCTGCAGCCTGGAGTTGTGGGGGTATCGACGGGTGGAAGAACTCATCTGGGTGAAGACGAATCAGCTGCAGCGGATTATCCGCACGGGGCGCACGGGGCACTGGCTGAACCACAGCAAGGAGCACTGCTTGGTGGGCATCAAGGGAGCTCCCCTCGTGAACCGCAACATCGACACCGATGTGATCGTGGCTGAAGTCAGAGAGACCAGCCGCAAGCCCGATGAGGTGAGGGAGGGCAAGTGGTATGAGCGTACTTTGGGCTCACATCGGGCCTACGTTGAGACAGCATCGACACCGATGTGATCGTGGCTGAAGACAGAGAGACCAGCAGAAAGCCCGATGAGGTGAGACTCGAAAAAGATTGGATGAGGTGATGCGAAGGAAGTGGGGCGAGGTGAGACGTGACCTCCCCTCCCTCCAACCCTCTCTCCACCTCCGCTCCCACCCACCCGCCCATCTCTCTCGCAATATATATTCCATTCTTGAGCGCATCAGTCCGTGGCCCGTGAGACGGTTTTTTTTAGACGTCTCAAAAGTCTTACTTGACCTCACCTGTTCCCCCCTCACTCATCCCATTTCCATCAGATGTATTCAATGCTTGAGCGCATCAGCCCAAGGACAAGGAAGCTGTTCTCTGTGTGTAGGGCCCTCTTCCCTTTCCGCCTCATCTGTCTTTCTCCTGCCTTCCTCCCCCCCTTCTCACCACTCCCCATCAGATGTATTCTATGCTTGAGCGCATCAGCCCAAGGACAAGGAAGCTGGAGCTGTTTGCACGCATGCACAACACACATGCAGGGTGGGTGGGTGGTGGGTGTGAGTGGGTGAGGTGATTAGGGCGTAACGCACACGAAGGGTGAGTGAGTGGGAGGTTGGTGTGAGTGTGTTTATGGTGCACAACTCGTATGCGGAGAGGGTGACTGGGTGGGGAGAGGGTGACTGGGTGGGGAGTGCGTGAGATGGTTATGATAACAATGTAGGACGCACACACACACACTATGTGGTCAATGCTTTTGACTGCTGCCCTGCTGAGGTTGATCCTCTTTTCTCCCTACGTACTCCCCTTGTTCCCTTTTCTCCCTACATACTCCCCTCGTTCCCTCACTCCAGCTGGATCTCGCTGGGCAATCAACTAGATGGCACACGGCTTGTGGACGCTGACTTGCGCAAGCGGTTCAAAGAGGTACGGCAAGGTTCAAAGAGGTACTAACGGGGGTAGAGAAGAGTGAGACCAGGTTTGAACATATGGTGGTTCATTTTTCAATCATTCTAGCCCTTGTAAGGCTTAACTCGTCTGTTCCGCTCCCTCCCCATCCTGCTTTCTGATCCCAACCTCTCTTCGTGTGACAGGTATACCCAGATATTGAAATCCAGCCACCAGACCCCCCAGCTGAGGATACGTCTGCTGCCAACACAAAATGACTGATGTGTCTACTCGAACTAACACCGCTATGCGTGCTTTGCCCATGTTACTATTGGGTGTTGTTGGCTGAAAATTTTTCTCCAACAGCTGTAAAGCCACCAGACCAAAGTCAGAAGAATCTTCGCCATCGAGCCTCGCTTAGCAAACTTGCAGTCCGCATTGGGCATTCAAAGCCCTCCACAACCATTAAAAATGTGAGCAGTCACAACTGCGCCCCTCACTGCACCTTGCAGTCATCACGGTGTCACCCATTTCAACCTGCAGTCCCCATTGGGAGGACGGAGCCGAGGGGTTGTATAGCTGTGAGTGTCCAGAGATTTGCCTGTCCAAGCTGTCCTTATTGGGTCAATTGCTGAGCCTTGCAGTCTACGAAGAAGTCAGCATCCGCAGGTACTTACGATGTTGGGAGTGATATAGTTGCCCTTGCATTTTTCCCTGTATATGTTTCCCATTTCTTCAGCACAGTAAGCAATAATGTTAAAGCGGCGGTATACATTTGCCAGGGGAAAGTCCAAAAGTTTATAAAAGGTACATGGTGGTAACCAAATTACAGGGTCCCTCGACTTCAGACACAGCGACAAGTCCAAACCCAACCCCAGTCACCTGACTCACTCGTCAAAAGTTTATACCTAGCCAAAAGTATACTGAAGGACATACCTCCTCGCCACTATGCCCACACCCACGGCGTCCTTACTCAGCACTAAAAAGGTAACTTCCAAAAGCGGTGCAAGCCATTGCGATTATAGCTCTTCTCACGCATAGGTCATACGCCGACAGAGCCATTGTTTATTTTTCGGCGCCTGATACACGGAGCATTCCGCATCAAAGTGAGAACGCCTTAGCCATTCCCTTTCCTGCGGCCCGATTTCCCTTCGCCGACGCAAAGTTCCTCTTTCCCGTCGCCTAATCCCCCTTCCCGGCGCCCGATTTCCCTTTCCCGCCGCCATGAAACCCCAGTCACGCTGCCCGATTCGGAACGCCGCTCGACTCCTTGTTCTCGCCGCCCGATTCCCCGTCATGCCTCGCGATTCTTCTTTCCCGCCGCCCGATTTCCCTTTCCCGTCGCCCTACTCCCCTTCCCGTCGCCCGATTCATGTTCCCGCCGCCCGATTCATGTTCCCGCTGCCCGGTTCCCCTTTCCCGCCGCCCGAATCTCACTCCGCGCCGCCTGAATCCCCTTTCCCGCCCATTGATTCCAGGCGGGCCGCCCGTCCGCCCCTTCCCGCCGTCCGATTCCCGTTCCCGCCGCCCGCTTCCCCTTTCCCGCCGCCCGATGCGCCTTCCCGCCGCCCGCTTCCCCTTTCCCGCCGCCCGATGCGCATTCCCGCCGCCCAATCCCCTTTTCCCCGCCGCCTCCCTTTTCCCCTGTCCGTCGCCCGACCCCCCTTCCCTTCCTTCTCTCCCTTTCATCCCTTCTCTCCCTTCCCTCCCTTCTCTCCCTTCCATCCCTTCTCTCCCTTCCCTCCCTTCTCTCCCTTCCATCCCTTCTCTCCCTTCCCTCCCTTCTCTCCCTTCCATCCCTTCTCTCCCTTCCCTCCCTTCTCTCCCTTCCATCCCTTCTCTCCCTTCCCTCCCTTCTCTCCCTTCCCTCCCTTCTCTCCCTTCCCTCCCTTCCCTCCTTTCCCTCCAATCCCTCCCTTCTCTCCAGTCTCTCCCTTCCCTCCCTGTCTCCCTTCCCTCGCTTCCCTCCCTTCCCTCCCTTCTCTCCCTGCTCTCCCATCTCTCCTTTCCCTCCCTTCTCTCCCATCCCTCGCTTCCCTTCCTTCCCTCCCTTCTCTCCCTTCCCGCCCTTCTCTCCCCCCTTACCTTCTCTCCCTTTTCTCCCTTCCCTCTCATCCCTCCATGCAATCTCCTGTCTCTCCTTTCTCTCCCTTCTCTCCCGTCCCTCCCGTCCCTCCCTTCCCGCCCTTCTCTCCCTTCAATACCTTCGCTCCCTTCCCGCCCTTCTCTCCCTTCAATACCTTCGCTCCCTTCCCGCCCTTCTCCTCCCCCCCACCGTATCTCCGTTACCTTCCATTTCATCCCTACCCTTCCTCGTCTCTCCCTCCCGACATCTCTCCTGCTTCTCCTTTCACTCCCTTTCATCCCTTGCCTCCCTTGACTACCTTCCCTCCCTTCTCTCCCTTCGATAGAAGTCTCTCCGTTCCCTCCTTTTCTCTCCCTTCTCTCCCGTGTCTCCCTTCCTCGCCCTTCACTCCCTTCCCTCCCTTCTCTCCCATGTCTCCCTTCCTCTCCCTTCACTCCCTTCCCTCCCTTCTCTCCTTGCCCTCCCTTCCCTCCCTTCTCTCCCTGCCTTCCTGTCCCCCATCCTTCCTTCCTTACGCACTCCTCCAGCCATTCTCTCCTCTTGCAATCCTCACTGCAATCCTTCCCTTCCGCTAAACCTGTAACCAAGCCCCTTTCGATTCTCTTGTCGTCACCTCCCAAGCAACAGCGGCATTGCCATGGGAAATTTCAACATGCATCTCCCACCTACCCCCACCTACTCCCATCTCACCTCCCCTCCCCCTACCACCTACTCCAATCTCACCTCCCCTTTCCCCCCCTTACCACGGGATTTCAGCCCACCACGCCTCCCCATACCACCTACTCACATCGTTGCTCCCCTCCCCCTACCACATACGACATACTCCCATCTGACCTCCCCTTCCCCTACCACCTACTCCCTTCTCATCTCCCCTCCCCTACCACCTCTCCTGGCCCTATCAGGCACTCTTTGCTCACCTCCCATCCCCCTACCAGGGGCATTCTTCTCACCTCCCCTCCTCTACCTCTTCTTACCCCCTCCTCTACCAAGGGCGCTCTGCTCACACCCTGCCCCTCCAGGTCCCCCACACTTATGTGTTTCTTTCTTAGTTGAATCTGACCTCCTACAGCCCTCACATTGTATTCCCTTGCTCGATTTCTGTGCTTGTGTTGCAGGTGGGGTGCTTTCCTGACTGCACATCCTACGCCTCACAGGGCACATAACAGCCTGCAACCTGGGCTTGGATAGGCTGCGATTGCAATGGGAATGGCAGGGGAGCATGGCAACGGCTACGAGCAAAGCAGCTTCAAGCCTCTCGGTCAATCGGCCTGTCCTTATACGATCCAAGTATTCAATCTTCCGCCTTGAACATTAGCACATAAACACACCCTCTTTTCCCCTTTTAGGTATTTCTTACTGACCCAACACATCGTGCCATCAAACTCATGTTTGTGTTTTTACCAACTGGTTATTGAACGTAGTGCTTTGTGACATCATTACAGGTGACTTCAACACTCTTTGTAGCATGTTCCCTACCATAACACAGTATGTAAACAAAGCAGTAGTCACGAGTAAAAGCAGAGAGGCAATCCATGCATACTAGTAACTAAGCAAAGAGTGCACGCAGCAGGTCGCCTTTCCTGGACACAGCGCCACAAAACCTGAGGGGATGGTGGCAAGGAGGGATGGGGAGAGAAAGGATGCTGAGAGGATAGATGGAGTGTGGAGGGATGCGGAGAGGAAAGGATGGGGTGAGGAAGGATGCGGAGAGGAAAGGATGGGGTGAGGAGGGATGCGGAGAGGAAAGGATGGGGTGAGGAGGGATGCGGAGAGGAAAGGATGGGGTGAGGAGGGATGCGGAGAGGAAAGGATGGGGTGTGGAGGGATGCGGAGAGGAAAGGATGGGGTGAGGAGGGATGCGGAGAGGAAAGGATGGGGTGAGAAGGGATGCAGAGAGGAAAGGATGGGGTGAGGAGGGATGCGGAGAGGAAAGGATGGAGTGAGAAGGGATGCGGAGAGGAAAGGATGGGGTGTGGAGGGATGCGGAGAGGAAAGGATGGGGTGAGGAGGGATGCGGAGAGGAAAGGATGGGGTGAGGAGGGATGCGGAGAGGAAAGGATGGGGTGAGAAGGGATGCGGAGAGGAAAGGATGGGGTGAGAAGGGATGCAGAGAGGAAAGGATGGGGTGAGGAGGGATGCGGAGAGGAAAGGATGGGGTGAGAAGGGATGCGGAGAGGAAAGGATGGGGTGAGGAGGGATGCGGAGAGGAAAGGATGGGGTGAGGAGGGATGCGGAGAGGAAAGGATGGGGTGAGGAGGGATGCGGAGAGGAAAGGATGGGGTGAGAAGGGATGCGGGGAGGAAAGGATGGGGTGAGGAGGGATGCGGAGAGGAAAGGATGGGGTGAGGAGGGATGCGGAGAGGAAAGGATGGGGTGTGGAGGGATGCGGAGAGGAAAGGATGGGGTGAGAAGGGATGCGGAGAGGAAAGGATGGGGTGAGAAGGGATGCAGAGAGGAAAGGATGGGGTGAGGAGGGATGCGGAGAGGAAAGGATGGGGTGAGAAGGGATGCGGAGAGGAAAGGATGGGGTGTGGAGGGATGCGGAGAGGAAAGGATGGGGTGAGGAGGGATGCGGAGAGGAAAGGATGGGGTGAGGAGGGATGCGGAGAGGAAAGGATGGGGTGAGAAGGGATGCGGAGAGGAAAGGATGGGGTGAGAAGGGATGCAGAGAGGAAAGGATGGGGTGAGGAGGGATGCGGAGAGGAAAGGATGGGGTGAGAAGGGATGCGGAGAGGAAAGGATGGGGTGTGGAGGGATGCGGAGAGGAAAGGATGGGGTGAGGAGGGATGCGGAGAGGAAAGGATGGGGTGAGGAGGGATGCGGAGAGGAAAGGATGGGGTGAGAAGGGATGCGGAGAGGAAAGGATGGGGTGAGAAGGGATGCAGAGAGGAAATGAGGGGGTGAGAAGGGATGCGGAGAGGGCATTACTGGGAAACGTGGGTGGTAGTACGATACTGGAGGTGGAAAGTGGAAACAGTAGGTAGGGGGAGGGAGGGAGGGTAAGCAAGGGAAGGGAGCGAAAGGAGGGGATGCAGTGGTGGAAACGGGGGGGAGGAGGGGGGAAAGGAGGGGAAGCACGGGGGGAAAGGCGATGCAGAGAGGGGGGAAAAGGAGGGGAAGCAATGGGGGAAAGGAGAGGAAGCAGTGGGGGAAACGGGGGGAAGGAGGGGAGAGGAAAGGAGGGGAATCAGCGGGGGAAAGCAGGGGAAGTACGGGGGGGAAAGGCGAGGCAGAGAAGTGGAGGAAAGGAGGGGAAGCAGTGGGGGAAAGGAGGGGAAGCAGTGGGGGAAAGGAGGGGAATAAGTGGGGGAAAGGAGGGGAAGCAAGGGGGGAAAGGAGGGGAAGCAGGGGCGGAAATGAGGGGATGCGTGGGGGGAAAGGAGGGGAAGCAGGGGCGGAAATGAGGGGATGCGTGGGGGGAAAGGAGGGGAAGCAGGGGCGGAAATGAGGGGAAGCAGGGGCGGAAATGAGGGGATGCGTGGGGGGAAAGGAGGGGAAGCAGGGGCGGAAATGAGGGGAAGCAGGGGCGGAAATGAGGGGAAGCAGGGGCGGAAATGAGTCCAAACGTGTGGACGCGGCCTTACGCATTTCGTGTATTGGAGAAATCCGTGAGGCGAGCAGCGCGTTACTGGTGGCTGCAGTAGGATGGCTGGCTCGCGCGCGCTTCTAGACTGAATTTCGCTGGAGAGCGCGTGCTTGCAACCGCGTGCTGTTTGCTGGGGCATCTAAGCGTCACATGCGCTCGCTGTGCTGGCGCGCCGCGCGGTATGCAGGTGCCGCTTTGCGGCGCGCGTTTTGCTGGCAAGCGCAGCTCTGCTGAGCGCGCTATGCTAGCGCGCGCGGAATGCCAGCATAGCGCGCACAAGTGCCGCGCGCGGATGCCAGCACAGCGCGCGCAAGTGTTGCGCGCGGAATGATAGCGTAACTGGCGCAAGTCCCGCTAACGGAATGCTATCATTGCTGGCGCCAGTGACGCGCGCGGAATGACACGACACACACGGAGTGCCACCATCGCTGGCGCTAGTGACGCTCGCAGGCGTCGCCTGTTCTGCACACGGCTAAATACTCACCCGCGTCTATGTATGTGGTCGCGCTGCTGGCCTAGCACCCTCCGGCCTGCAGCCTAGTGTCAGAATCCCAGCCACTAACCACTGGGATAAAAGGGCTTGTTTGTGTAGCGGGTGAGTGCGCCCATAACCCCCCAGGCCGCCATGCCTGTAACCCTTCCCTAGGATCAATCGGGGATCACCAGTGGACCTCTGACACCCCCCCGCACTGGGATGCCCGAGGTGCACACACCGGGATTCGAACCCGAGACCTTCGCTCTGATACCATGTCAGAATCCCAGCCACTAACCACTGGGATAAAAGGGCTTGTTTGTGTAGCGGGTGAGTGCGCCCATAACCCCCCAGGCCGCCATGCCTGTAACCCTTCCCTAGGATCAATCGGGGATCACCAGTGGACCTCTGACACCTAGTACCTAAACTAGTAGCTACTAGATGCGTATTCCCCGTAGTGTGTGATGTGGCAAGTTCGGTGACGGGAGGTGTTTCCCATTTTGTGACCCACAACCTACCCAACCCTGCTCCTCTTACAACGGAAGTGCTCCAGTTTTTCGCCAACACTCTCGCTATTCTGTTTACATTTTCGTTGAGGCGAAATCGCCTGGCACACTGTACAGAAACAACAGTGCTGCCAAATGTATACTGCTGCTTTAAGTTGGTGTGAGGTATGTGATTATCAATTAATGCATTATTTGTAAGTGAAACATGTGTGTCACTTAGAATCGTCAGGCCGACTCGTCTAAACTTTCACCATTCCCGCCAAGACGATGAGCCCGAGGGCATGGATGGATGATGAAGATCCATCAACCTCCATCCATTCCCTACACCCTCCAACAGTTACGCATTTCAACGAGAGACAGTAATGGATTCTGGTTTCTAACATACCTCAACACGCCATATCAGTTGTCAGACCACAGCCTGCTCAAAGTTGAGGCATCTATGATCGGGTCGGGTCTGACATGCTTGAACAACAACGAACGCCTCTAGTCTTAGTGCCTGAAGGCCAGAATCTCGAGTGCCGGTTCAACTAACTCGTTAGTGCATCTTGGAGTCTTAAAGAAGGGTGAACCCACTCACAAGGGTGTCTGACGGCAAAACTGTTGACGCCGTTCAGCCGCCACGTTCGGTGAGGCGCGTCGAAAGTATATGTCACTATTCCGTGCGTCGATACTATTCTAAGCGATATTCGTAGAGGCTTGGAAAATTTAGGTTTCCACTACTTACGAACTGATTGTTCAGCCTGACTGTATTGACTGTTCAGACTGAGTGTGTAGACTGACTATTCAGACTGACTGTTCGGCCTGACTGGTCGGTCAGACTGCTCAGACCGACTGTTTCGAAGGACTACCTGACACGATGGGGCCGTCAGCCATGCACGCTCATCTTCACGGCGTCGCGCTTCCTCGCGCGTCGTTACCCACATCCGCGCACTCGTTCGGTCCAGCCCAGATCGATCCCAGGATCGCGTCGGTCTCAGCTTCACCCGGTGCGACGCTGCGGTCGCCTGGCGACGGGGCGTCGGCGTCGCAACGTGATTTCGAGATGCGAGAGCTATTTCGAGAGTATTCCAGTAAGGTTTACCTGCTTTTACCAAACCCCTTGCGCGAAAGTCGCTTCTTCTCGACTCCACATCCGCTCGGTTCGGTTTGCTAGCTTGAAATGAAACCCTCATTTCACGCTAAGTACTTCATCCTTCCACTCGCTGACCATAGCTGCCAAACCTATTCAGTGTCTGTCTTCCCCCGTGTCTGGTCCATTGTGGTCACTCTCCGATCTGTGATGACCTCGCTCTTATGTATTGCGTTTCCACCTCGTCGTCCCCTCGTCCCCTCGTCCGGTCTTCTCCTCTTTTGTCTCCCTGCCCCGCCGGTCAGGCGTGCTGGCGTCAAACGACACGGCAGCAGCAATTAAGGCGAGGCTTGGAGCTATTTCAGCGTATGCAAGCGCACAAGGCCTCACAGGGTGCGTTACCCCCCTGCCTCCGTTACCACTTGCCTGCGTTACCCCCTGCCTGCGTTACCATTTGCCTGCGTTACCATTTGCCTGCGTTACCACTCGCCTGCGTTACCACTCGCTTGTGTTACCACTCGCCTGCGTTTCCACTCGCCTGCGTTACCACTTGCCTGCGTTACACTTGCCTGCGTTACCATTTGCCTGCGTTACCATTCGCCTGCGTTACCACTCGCCTGCGTTACCACTTGCCTGCGTTACCACTTGCCTGCGTTACCACTTGCCTGCGTTACCATTTGCCTGCGTTACCATTCGCCTGCGTTACCACTCGCCTGCGTTACCACTCGCCTGCGTTACCACTTGCCTGCGTTACACTTGCCTGCGTTACCATTTGCCTGCGTTACCACTCGCCTGCGTTACCACTCGCCTGCGTTACCACTCGCCTGCGTTACCACTCGCCTGCGTTACCATTTGCCTGCGTTACCATTTGCCTGCGTTACCATTTGCCTGCGTTACCATTTGCCTGCGTTACCCCTCGCCTGCGTTACTCCTCGCCTGCGTTACCACTTGCCTGCGTTGCCACTCTCCTGCGATTTTTAAACGCCCCAACTTTCACCTCGTTACCCTCTGTCTGCGCCTATCACTCAAGGCCGTGCATTTGTGAGGCGCGGCTTGGAAAATAGTGTGTTTTGTGATTTGACTGTCTAGATGCTAAGGAGGACGGACTCGCTATGTGTCAACGTCCCACGTTCTGTTTCTTCCCCTCTTCTCCACTTTCGCTCGCCGCCTCTCTACTCTCATCCTTTCCTCTCTGCAGGGCCAACGCTCTTTTCAGTCTTCAGAGATTGCGGCAGTCATTGACTGATCAGGTTGGTCAACAGTGGCATGGGCTATTGTAACAAGGTGACTCTTGGGTCAAATCAAGAGTTACAGATTGCGTCAGGTGCAGACTGTACCAGGTTTGTACGCATTTTAGTGTGTTTCACGATTTACTTTTCTCTTATCGTCCTGTTTAAAAATTTCCATTGTCAGTGACCTCTCTTTTCCTTCTCCCTGCATCCCCTCTCTCGTCTCTCGTTTTCGTTTCCAGCTCAATCCTCTGGGAGGGCGAGCATTTCGTGTGTTCTACAAGTTCGTTTTCTTCATGAGCCGGGAACACGGGCAGAAGGGCGTGGGTGAGTTGTACTTGCGACCTTATTGTATCAGTGAGTTGTAGGTGGGAAGCCCCATTCAATGAGCATCCATCACTTCTTACATATCCTTATCACAGAAGTCTTCTCATGTATCAGTGAGTTGTAGCTAGCATGCAGATTCGCATTGGCTTGTGGATTCTCGGTGCGACTTTGTGATTTCTGAGGCGCCTCAATCAATGTATTTACACCCTCCCCCCCCCCCCCCCTCCTCCCGTTGGCCAGACGTGGCAACGGCTGTGGAGGCGTGGAGATTCGCCCTGGCAGGGGTCTTCCCGCTCGTGGATACCTGGTGCGACGTTGTGATTTCTGAGGCGCCTCACTCATTGTATCCACACCAACCCTCCTCCCATCGGCCAGACGTATCAACGGCTGTGGAGGCGTGGAGATTCGCCCTGGCAGGAATCTTCCCGCTTGTGGACTCCTGGTGCGACTTTGTGATGTCTGAGGCGCCTCATTCAATGTATTCACCCCGTCCCCCTCACCCCGTCCCCCTCACCCCTCCCTCCCCCCCCTCAACCCCCCCCAACCTCCCCCCCCCTCCTCCCATTGGCCAGACGTATCAACGGCTGTGGAGGCGTGGAGATTCGCCCTGGCAGGGGTCTTCCCACTCGTGGACTCTTGGTGCGACTTTGTGCCGGTACGCTCCCCCCCCCCCCCTTTTCTTTGTAGTATTCTGACCTATAAAATGCCCTGTTTTAATCAATGTTATACTCCTCGTTTTTGAAATAGCTCGGAAATTGTCTTGGTAGGGGTCTTCCCTCTCTTGAATTCCTGTTGCGACTTTGTCCCGCTATGCTCTCTCCCCTTCATCTGCCCCTTCACATGCCCCTTCAACTCTCTCCTCCATTTGTCCCAACCCCGTCCTCTCACCCTCTCGTTTTTGTCATCTCCCTTTCCCTCCCCACCCCTCCCTCCTTCCCCATCACAGCTGCACCAGCGGTATGCTGTGTCAGAGGACACGTGGCAGCAGGTGCTGGACTTCAGCTGCACGATTGGAGCTGACCTCAGCATGTATGACTCGGATGGTAAGCTGATGTCAGCGTGTGTGTCTTAAATGGTAAGCTGATGTCAGCACGACTCCCTCCTACTGTGATCATGACTTGAGTCTGTGTGGCTTTGCAATAGCTACAGGCTACAGTTTATATTGTGCTACAGTTGCTACTCAACCTTTATCTTCTTGGTCATTTCTCGTTCCTTTCTCAGTATCTATCAACCCCCTCTTCTCCTCCCAACCCCCACAACCCCACCACCCCCCCCTCCCCTCTCCCGCTCCCCCACCCCCCCCCCCCCCCCCCCCCAATCCCCCCCTCACTTTCCCCTCTCATAACAGGAGCGTGGCCAGTGCTGATCGATGAGTTCGTGGAATGCTACTCCAGGTATGGTGGGGTGGGGTATGGTCGGGTATGGTGAGTTATGGTGAGGTATGGTGGGGTGTGGCGCGATATGGTGATGTACGGTGAGGTAGGGTGTGATATGGTGACGTATGTGAGGTATGAGTGTATGGTGAGGTGTGGTGGTGTACGGTGATGGAGGAAGTATATGGAGAGGTATGGGACTAGGAAGCTACATTGTGTCAAGAAATCCACCACCTTTGGAGAAGCAACTCTAGCATGATTTTCGTCCTACTTATAGCTTGGAGAGGTAGGGAGCTTATAAGTGTATTTTCCCAAAGACAATACAATCAACCATCATTCTCGTGGCTCTCACGCACATATTCGCCAACAGGAGGGAGCATCTGGGCTTGTCTTGTGACGTGTGTGGCCGCCGTCCCTCGGTGCTCCTGCGTTCCCCCTCGGCCCATGCGTTTCGCCAGCACACCATGGGCAGCAACAGCAGCCTCAGGTGCGGAATTTGCTTGCCTCGGTACGGTCAATCTGTTCTCCTGCATGCCCAAACCTCGTTCCAGCCTTCCACCACCCCACCTCCCACTTCGCGCTACCCATTTATCAGATTCCCTGCTCTCACATGCTCTCTTTTTTCTGCTCTGTTTTGCGATCTCTCTTGCTCGTCGTCCCTCTTCCCCCCTCCCACCTACCTCCCTCCCCCCCATTCTCCATCAGCTCTTTCATGCTCTCACATTCTTCTCTCTCCCCCTTTCCTCCTCCCCATCAGCACTTTCAACGAAGTCCGGTGGTTAACGACCAATGGCGGTGCCACCACAGCCACCCCTGTTGTCGCCACAGCTACCACTAGTAGCTCTGACGCAGATATGGCAGAGGAGCCTTCATCCTCGTTACAAGCCTACTCATCTACTACACCTTCCGCGTTGCTATCAGCGCTCTCAGTACAAGCAGGTTCGACGTCAGGTATAGGGATCCCTGCAGCAGCGCCAATGGGTTTCAGCAGCAGTATTGGCAGCGGTGATAGTAGTATCAACCACAATAGCATCTGCAACGGTAGCAGCAATGAAAGAAGCAGCACAAGCAACAGCCTGCGTCCGTTTCAAGATGGAATGAACTTGCACCCCTCATGTCCCGGTACTACCCCATCATGCCCGATCGCAGTACCAGTGCCTTCCACTCACAGGCCCAGCGCGTTTTCTCCCACAAACGTTGAGCCATTTCAGAGCCCAACGCACCGACCCGGCCCATTTTCCCCCACAAGTGTTGACACGTTTCAAAGCCAAACACGCAGGGCTGATCCGTTTTCCCCCACTAGAGGGGGAGCAGAGGGAGTAGATGGAGTGGGCAGGGTGGGAGTAGCAAGGAGGGTGTTAGGGACAGGAGTAGGGGTAGGGGCTGGCGGGGGGGCAGGTGTAGGGGCAGGGGTAGTGGCGGCAAGAGGAGCAGTAGGGAAATGCACTCCAGGGATATGTGTGACAGGCGGGTTTGGGGTTTCAGGGCAGGCAGGAGGAATGGGAGGAGTGGGAGGAGGCATCGGGGTAGGTGGGAGCGAGAGGGTGAAGCGGTGCTGGCGGGATGTGAGGGAGGAGACGGAGCAGAGGGAGAGGATTGAGTCGATATCCCTCAAGATGGCTGGGTTGAGTCCGCCCAATGGGGACAGCAAGAGACAGCGTGTGACTCAATGGTGAGGTGACTAAAGGGGAAAGTTGGGGTGACTGCACGACACAGCAAGTGACCCAGTGGTGCTCCAATGATGACTTGTGGATTTTCTGGGAAGATAATGAGCTTTCTTTTGTTCATAAGGACTGTTACTCGTTAATATTTGCTTCATTCATCGCTTGTTGGTTTGTCCGAGTAGGCTCCGTGCAACAGTCGCTGATAGTGCCTCCCTGACGAAAGCCAGGGCAGGTACGCCAGCCATCCCTTGTTTAGCTTGTGCGGTCCAATTCAGTGCGTCGCGGTACAAAACGGTGAAACTAGAAAACCGCTCTTCACCGTGTGGAAAACGTTGTGTCACGAAGAATGAGGTACATACATACACCGTGGCCGCGTTCTGCAGGCACGACAGAGGGGGGGGAGGCGGTAAATAAGAACCTTCCCCCAACTTCGTTTTTTGGGTCAAACGCCCGGTCAGCCCAGAAAATTGACCGAGCCTCCCATTTACCCTCCGAGCCTAAACGAAGGTAAATGGCAACAGAACAGCCATTTACCCTCGTGGATATGAGGGCATAGAAGCTGCCTATTTACCCACCCCAGCTTCCTCCTCTGGCAAAATTTGCCCCCTTCTCCCCCCCATTCGAAAACTGCTTTCAAGGGATGTGAGACGGAGGGGGGAGGGAGGCGCGAGGTTAGGGAACACCAAACTTTAACCCTCAAAAGCTAACAGCCACACCCATGAGAAGCCTAAACAGGGACGCGTCAACTTACCAGGTTAAAAAAAAAAAAAACACATCCATGTTGCTGATCGGTCGAATCTGGCTTTGGCAGGTTGGAGTTGGCGAGGTTTGTGTTTTGGTGGAGGGAGTGCTTGGGGACCCGTTTTTATCAACGTAGTATCCCTTTGCTAAACTTCCGCTCTTTTTTCTGATGATGCGAACTTCGGACTACCCAAATTACGTGCGATGGAAATTGTAGCTGCTTCTTCGGCATTTACCTTCTGCAGCTTCGCTCCCTAAACCAGAAGTTTCCAACTTTCGGTTGTAGCGGGGGGTGGGAGGGGGCCGAAGGGGAAACTGCCTCTGAACCATCGTCATTCCCTTCGCCCCCCCCACCTCCCTCCCAAGGGAGATGCCTGCAGAACACAGCCCGTGTGGAAACCCCCTCGCTTCCCGCACACAACTCGGCAATCCCACGACCCAGGAAGCTGCGAATTTGCATGACCTGCATACGTATTCTGAACTCCCTTGATTTCATCCCATTTCGGGAACCAGGGGACAAATTTGCTTGCACTACCACTTCTGGCTTGCTGTCTACCCCAATAAGCCTGGTTCTGGCGCTCCAAACATTGATTTGGACACCGTAGAAAGTACAGAATATTAAGCTTAATAGGTTCTTCCTTGGGTTCTTTTTCGGAAATTTCTCGCGTGAACTTCTGGATGTAGTCGTGTGCACTTAGTGCTCCTGAAGCTCATACAATATGCCGCAAGCAGAGAGAGCAAAACCAACTTAACAATAATTTTCTAGATTCCTGTCGCAATGGCTGACCGTGGCGTGCGACGTGGACGTGCGACTGCGTCTGCGACTGCCAGTCGCAGCGTCACCAGTGGCGACCAAAATGGTTCTCGCCGAGCCGTTGCCGGCGAAACCATGGGTTGGACGTCAGAGCTATGCCGGAGAATGCTACGCCAAGTAAGAAATTTAACGGCGCTCAGCGGTTTGCTGACATTCGCTAGCAACAGGTGTGAGTTTCGAAAAGTCATTCTGAGAATAAGTGCTTTTGCTAGCAAGCGGCCGGCAAGCAGCTATCTCAAAGCCATAATAATTTTTCTAGGCTTCCTGCAGCATCTAGTCATTAAGTTATCCTGTTCCTGGAACGAATGTATTCCTAACATAACCCCGCCTTCTTTCTAACAATTTATATAGTTTCTGTTACTGTGCAGGCGGAAGCAGGCATTGCGTCCGGAGCAGGCGACGAGCTACAGGAGTATCTGGCATCAGCGGACTTGCTGGATGACGTGGCCACATGTGTTAGCCACGCGCTTTCTGCCCCTGCTGCTTCACCTGCAGCTGCCCCTGCTCCTGCTGCCGCTCCTGCCGCTGCTGCTCCTGCTGCTGCTTCCCCTGCTGCTGCTGCTGCAACTGATCCAGCGGCTGGGGCTGTCTCTGCCGCCTCGGAGTGGCTGGAGCTGCAGCGGCAGGCGGACTCTCTCCAGCGCACGGTGGTGGACGACTTGAGCTTCGAGCTTCAGAACCTGCTGCAGCGCTACAGGTGTGTGATGCAGTACAGGTGTCCACTCTCTCTCTCTCTTCGCTCTTTCTCCTCTTATTTGCCCTTGCTCCTCCCAAAGCCCCACTTCTGCCTCAGCCTCGTTGCGCTTCCTCCTCCCCAGCCCCTGCATCTCATCCCGCAGCACACGAGCTGCACCAAGCCGCTTGCGCAGCTCAGGCTTCTCCCATGCTCATCGTAAAATCCCCCACTCATCCTAAAACCCCCCACTCATGCTTCTCCCTCATGGGCCTGTATCTTCCCAAACCCCATTGATCGTTTTCCCCCGCAGCGCACGGGCAGCAGCAATTTTCACTCCAGAGCGCCTCGAGGTGACTTTTGAGTCGACTCAAAAGTCATCTCCCTCCCCCCACACCACCCCCCCCCCCCCCCCCTCCAACCGCATATATCTTTTCCCTCCCCCAGCACACGGGCCGCAGCAAGGTTCACTCCAGAGCGCCTCGAGGTCCTATTCCGCATCGCCTTTCTGGAACCTTCCACCGCTTCGCACAGCCATGACCCCGGCTGTAGCCCTCGCAGCTCCTCCGGCTGTAGCCCAGGCCACACTAGCCCGGGACACGCCAGCCCAGGCCACGCCAGCCCAGCTCACTGTCCAGCTGGCAGTCCACCTGGCAGTCCAGCTGGCAACGGCCTGCCACGTGGCAAATGTAGTCCTTCTAGTGCAGCTGGTTCTGAATCTGTGGAGGCCAAAGGTGCTACCGATGGTAGTGGTGCTGGTGCTGCTGCTTCTGCTGCTCCTGCTGGTGGTGATGGTGGTGATGGTACTGTAGCAGCAGCAGCAGCAGCAGCAAGTGGGCTTGGTGGTAACGGGAAACCCAAGCATGCTGCTGACGTGGAGCACGGTGCCAACGTGGACATGCTGATGCCTGAGCTTCTTCCGGATAACGCGCTGCGGTTGGCCGGGGAGATCTGCAGCAGGATGGTGGCAGCAGGGGGTGGCTCACAGCTCGTGGAGACGTACAGGTGGGGCGGTGGTGGTATGGTGGTATGGTGGTATGGTGGTATGGTGGTATGGTATGTTTGTTAAGTCAACTCAACAATGATCTGCAGCAGGATGGTGGCAGCAGGGGGTGGCTCACAGCTCGTGGAGACGTACAGGTGGGGTGGTGGTAGTATGTTATATTTTCGAAATCGACTCATCAATGATCTGCAGCAGGATGGTGGCAGCAGGGGGTGGCTCGCAGCTCGTGGAGACGTACAGGTGGGGCGGTGGTAGTATGTTATATTTTCGAAATCGACTCATCAATGATCTGCAGCAGGATGGTGGCAGCAGGGGGTGGCTCGCAGCTCGTGGAGACGTACAGGTGGGATGGTGGTGGTATGGTACGGTGTAATACGGTATTGTATGGTATATCCTCTTTGCTCCTTATTTGTGATGCCATAATGGGATGGTGGGATGTTTTATGTCATACATGTGGGTGACATGGCATGTTATACTAGTGGGATGGCCTGATGTATCCTTACCTGTACCTTGTCCCTTCTGCCCTTCTTGCAGGAAAGTGCGCAGCAGCTTTTTGAAACAGGCAGTGGAGTCATTGAACAGCCACCTGGCTGGCGGGGTGGTGGCAGCAGCAGTGGGCGGGATGGGGTGGAGCGACCTGGAAGTCACCAGCAAGCAGTGGGCTCAGCACATGTACCTGCTGGTGAGAAGCACGGAGAGGGGTGAGAGGGGTATAGGAGCATGAGACGGGTGAAGTGAAAGAGGCATAAGAAGGGCAGCAGAGCATGGTCATTCGCTGGTGAGATGCGATAGTTGCAGTATAGGATAGCAGTGGAGTCATTGGACAGCTGCCTGGTTAACGGGGTGGTGGCAGCAGCAGTGGGCGGGATGGGGTGGAGCGACCTGGAGCATACCAGCAAGCAGTGGGCTCAGCAAATGTACCTTCTGGTGAGAGATTAGGCATGCGAGGGGTTAGAGGGGCATGAGAAGCGGAGCAGCATAGCACATGTACCTGCTGGTGAGATGAGACAGTTGCGGTATGGGGTAGCAGTGGAGTCATTGAACAACCACCTGGTCAGGGGGGTGGTGGCAGTAGCAGTGGGGGACATTGGGTGGAACGACCTGGAGGCTACCAGCAAGCAGTGGGCTTAGCACATGTTCCTGCTGGTGAGGAAAAGATGAACGAGAAGTGTGAGGTTGCTACTGTATAGGACGGGAACTTGTAGTATGGATGTAGCGGCCCCTTTCTGGCCAATCACCTGGTGGCAGCAGCAGTGAGTGGCATGGGATGGAGCGACCTGGAGGCTACCAGCAAGCAGTGGGCTCAGCACATGTACCTGCTGGTGAGAGTCGAGGCATGAGAGGAATGGGAAGGGTGAGAGGGTTGAAAGAGGCATGAGAGGAGGTCAGCAGGGGTGTTTGGCACACTGTGCCATCTCACTCACCTCACCCCGCCCCGCGTGCCCCTTTCTCATTCAACCCTCCCATTGCAGGTGGGCGTGGTGTGGGGCATGGAGCGGCAATGCTTGGAGGACATCCTCCCCTCATCCACCCCCGCCCACACCCCCCTCCTCCGCACCCTCCTCTCCTCCCTGCTCCACGAGGGCCACGTCATCTCCTCCCTGCACTCTCTCGCCCAATCAGCTGCCGCCATCTGTCGCCGCGGCCTGCCTCAGCAGCTCTTCTCGCTGCTGGAGATGCTGCAGGCGCTGCAGGAGGTTCTGCCTGAGGTAGGTTCATCTGGGGTAGGGTCATCTGAGGTAAGAAGTTTCCCGAAACTGGGTCTCTCACACTTCCAGTCCCTCTCTCCCGCTTCCAGTCCCTCTCTCACGCTTCCAGACCCTCTCTCCCGCTTCCACTCCCTCTCTCACGCTTCCAGACCCTCTCTCCCGCTTCCAGTCCCTCTCTCACACTTCCAGACCCTCTCTCCCGCTTCCAGTCCCTCTCTCACACTTCCAGCGGGGTGCGGGGAAGGGATGACCGCTTGGTAGGTATCGGCCATAGCGGAACTGCACCCCAGACCGGCCGGCGTGGGAAAGGGGGATGGTTTCCTCCGGGGCTCACCTATAAGCCCAAGAAAAAAAAAAAAAAAAAAAAAAAAAAAAAAAACTCACACACTTCCAGACCCTCTCTCCCGCTTCCAGTCCCTCTCTCACACTTCCAGTCCCTCTCTCACGCTTCCCCCAAGGCATGGCATCATTATCTGGAGGAGGGCCTTGGCAACGTGAACCTCCATTCTGCATGGCGCTCGTTATAGTCACTCCCGCTCACTCTCTCTCCTGCCCATGGTTCCCCCCTTCTCCCTATCGCACGGTGACAGCTGGAGGAGGACCTTTGCAGTGTCGGCCTACACTCAGAGTGGCGCTCGTTACAGTCACTCCCGCTCACTCTCTCCCTCGCCTCGTTACAGTCACTGCAGGCCATGCACAGCAGCATCGTTCGAGCCGGTAGCCTCACTTCCCTGGAGGGAAGTGCGGAAGGGGGAGGAGGGGCGAGGGGAGTGGAGAGAGGAGGGGAGAGAGGAGGGAAGAGAGGAGGGAACGGGGAAGAGGGGGAGTGGAGTGGCAGGAAGAGTAAGTCAGCAATGGCATCAAGTGCAACAGCCCACAGCCCGAGAGAAAGAGCCGCAGCATCTAGCCCCAGGCTCGGCGCTACAGCCGCCAGTCCCAGGTTCTGCGCTACAGCCGCGAGTCCCAGGTTCGGCGCTACAGCCGCCAGCCCCAAGTCCAGGCCCAGCGTTGCCGTCCCTGGCAGCACCAGTCCACCGCACGGCGCTACAGCCGCTAGCCCCCGTGTTGGCGCTGGCGCTACAGCTTCCAGCCCAAGATGGGGCAGTGCTACAGCTGCTTTAGGCGCTACAGCCGCCCCGGGTGCTACACCTGCTAGCCCAAGATGGGGTGCTACAGCTACCCTGGGGGCTACAGCAGCGTTCAGCGCTACAGCTGCGTTTGGCGCTACAGCCGCTGCTCTTGTGAGCCCGAGAGTGCGTGGGGCGGTCAGGGCGCTCACTCGCCGGGCCTCTGACGCGTCAGTGCTGGCCAATAGCGACGCGCCAGGTGGCGGGAGCTCAGCAGCGCCAGCTGGAGGCGGCGTGGACCCGATTGCAAGCTACGTGTGTAACTTCATTCGAAGCTTCCTGTCCCCGTGAGTGCTGTTTCCCCTCCCTGTGTGAGTGCTGCCTGCACACTCATCAATGACTTGTGGAAGCTCTTAAGAGGCCACTCTCCCCACCCGTTCCAAGACGTCCCACATTGCTGGAGACGTCTCAAGACGTCTCCCCGAAACACTACTTGTATCACATAACTGGAAGCTCTTAAGGAGCCACTCTCCCCACCCGTTCGCATCTCTTCAGGTCTGGTCGTCGCAACTATGCTGCTACCTTGGCAACTGCCTGTACCCTTATCAACCGCAGCAGCCGCATGCCCCCCTCCCCTTCCTCCTCCTCCCCCTCCCGCTCCCCCCCTCAACACACATCAGCAGCAGAGGCAGCAGCAGAGGTAGTAGCCGAGGTAGCAGCAGAAGCAGCAGCGCGGAAAGCCCTTCAAGAGACAAGAGAAGCAGCAGTGGCAGGGAGAGGAGGAGGAGGAGGAGGAGGAGGAGGAGGAGGAGGAGGAGGAGGAGGAGGAGGAGGAGGAGGAGGGGAGAGAGTGGGAAGGGGGGCGGTGGAAGGAGAACCCCTCCAAGGCTGAGTCTAGATTGCAAGACAGAAGGAGAGAGAGGAGGAGGGGTGTTAGAGGGCATGCTGGGGGGAGGGAGTGAGAGAGTGAGTGTGGAGCTGCTGGTGGGAGTGCTGGTGGTCTCGCTGAGGGAGTATCTGGATAAAAGAGCAGCTTGTATCGAGGATGCAGCCATGAGAGAGCTGTACCAGATGAACAATCTACACTACCTTATGGAGTCCATGTAAGTCGTTTTGCAATCTTTGTGCGTGTATTTCACAGTAAAGTTGCAGTTTATCTGCATCTGATGTGAGTTTTCTTCTAAAATTTCCCCTTTTCCTTATTTCTCCCTTCGACAAATTTCTGCTTCTCTGTGCCTTTCCTTTCTTCCCAATCACAGGAACTCGTGGGGAGGGTGGAGGCAAGGGGGGCTCCAACAGGCTTTTGCTGATGCCAAGGGGTAATGCCTATGCCTCATGTCTTAACGCCTCATGCTATGCCTCATGCCTCGTGCCTCATGCCAAGCTGTCAAGAATCTTTGGTGCATGTGGCTCGTGAATTCTCTCACTGCCAACTGAAGCATTTTTTGAAGAGTTCCTTGCTGTGTGTATTCCTCTATGACGGGTATGAAGCATGACTGTGCTCCTACACTCACCACTCGTCACACTCACATCTCGTTACAATCACACCCGCTACAGGAACGGCAGGTTGGAGCTGGCTCTAGCCCTCTCCACGTTCATCGATGGGAGCACCCTTCAGAAGCACGTAGCTGCCTTCCAGACCCACGCCCTCAGCAAGGTGGGTGGTTGAGACCCTTGAGTGTATGCTGAAGTTATCCACTAAAGGGTTTTTTTTTACTAAGTTTGTGTTATTAAGTTCGCTATGTTTATTTCCCTCCCGCTCTTAACCCCCATCCTCTCCGTTCTCCAGGTAATAGCAGCCATGTCCGACCGCCCTCGGCCTTTTGACTTGGTCCCAGAGGGCACCAAGCCTGCATCGTCCCCTTCCCTCTCTCTTCCACGCCCTTCCTCCCCCGTTCGTTCTCTCCCTGACCATCTCTTCTCCAGGTAATAGCAGCCATGTGCGACCGCCCTCGGCCTCTTGACTTCGTCCCGGAGTGCACCAAGCCTGCGTCGTCCCTCTGGCCTTTCTCCCACTCAGACGGGGGCGATCACGAGGTGTTAGCTATGAGCGAGCTGCTCAGGTGAGAGCCTTGTGTGATGAGGCGCGCCTAAGAGCAATGGAGTGCACCAAGCCTGCGTCGTTCCTCTGGCCCTTCTCCCACTCAGACGGGGGCGACCACGAGGTGCTGGCCATGAGCGAGCTGCTCAGGTCAGGCCTTTGTGTGGATTCCAAGGCGTTATTCCCTGCTCGCGCCCCCCTGGCCCTCCTCCCATGCTGATGAGGGCGATCACAAGGTGCTGAGCGAGCTACTTAGGTGAGGATGTGATGAGGTGTTTAACAGTCATTTTACCCATTTCCACGCCATGCATGGCAAGCTAAGGGCATTCAACAAGTTGATGGAGGAGCTGGTGGAGCCTCAGAACCTGTGGGCCGTTTTGGAACACTGCACTGCGACTGTTGCCTACGCATCACCGCCCCATACCACTCCATGGCAGGCTGAGAGCGTTCGTTCAACAGGGCAATGGAGGAGCTGGTGGAGGCGCAGAAGCGGTGGGCCATCCCAGATGCTGCAGTCCATCTCATCCCCCGTCTCTGCTGCTTACATGTCGTCATACATGCCATGTTGTTCCACGACTCATGGCAGGCTGAGGGCGTTCAACAGGGCGATGGAGGATCTGGTGGAGGCGCAGAAGCGGTGGGCCATAGTATCTCACCGCGACCCATCACTCCGCACCGCTCTTTACCCATTTCCACACCATGCATGGCAGGCTGAGGGCGTTCAACAGGGCGATGGAGGATCTGGTGGAGGCGCAGAAGCGGTGGGCCATCCCAGATGCTGCAGTCCATCTCATCCCCCATCTCTGCTGCTTACATGCCGTCATACATGCCATGCCATGCCATGCCACGACTCATGGCAAGCTGAGGGTGTTCAACAGGGCAATGGAGGAGCTGGTGGAGGCACAGAGACGGTGGGCCATCCCTGATGCTGCACTGTGACTGCTGTTTATGCATCACCACCCGATACCAAAACATTTCCTCCCCCATGGCAGGCTGAGAGCGTTCAACAGGGCGATGGAGGAGCTGGTGGAGGCGCAGAAGCAGTGGGCCATCCTAGATGCTGCACTGCATCTCATCACTCCTCTCTACCGTTTGCTTGGCATGACATCGCACGTGCCATGACTTGTGACAGGCTGAGGGCATTCAACAGGGCGATGGAGGAGCTGGTGGAGGCGCAGAAACGGTGGGCCATCCCTGATGCTGCACTGCGACTGCGCGTCTGCACTGCATGGGCGGCTTGCCTCAAAGACCGGTACCGCAAGCTGCTGCAGCCACGCTGGTACGTGCTGCTGATTGGGTGTTTATGTGTTGTCCTGTCACTATGTGCTTGTATGTGCGCGTCTGCATCACTGCCTGGGCGGCTTGCCTCAAGCACCGATACCGCAAGCTGCTGCAGCCACGTTGGTATGTGCTGGTTTTATCCGCGGTTGTAAGGACTAGCCAGCGTCTGTCATCCATTTTAAAGCATTAGGTGAGATAAGTTGTGTCAGCGAAATTACATTCTTTTGGGGGTGATTCATAAACATATGAACTTATCCTCCCTCCCTCCAACTTCACAGGGATGATTTGATCACGTCCAAACACTACATGCATACACCTGAGAGCTTAGAGTTAATGATTATGGAAGACTTCTTCCATTAGCTCATAGGACGGCATGTTTGCTGCTGTCCTATTTTTTTATTGAAGAAAGCTTAGTTCATACTTTTTGTACTAATATATTGAATGGTTCTGTCTAAAAGCATCCATCAAGTGGAGTGTAAGTATTTTGAGAGAGCACATTATTAGTCCTTGATCCATCCACATTTTTTGGCTTCTCCATTCACTGTTACGTCGCGAAATTCGTCCATGAGCTTCTTGCGGTCTCGTCAGTCTCGCCAGGTTTCGCCGCCGCTTTGCAAGTCCTCCCCTCCCCGTCCTTCGGGAAGGCCAGCACTTCGACGGGCACCGCACATTTGTCGGCGGGCAGCTAGTCGAAAATGCCCGAAGCCGGAATGCGTTTTCTCCTGGTACATCATTAGCCTGGAATTGCTTCTGTGCCATTCTTGAGGGTAAATAAACGCATTTCTTCAGTATTTACTTGTTCATTGTTTGACCGAAAGCATCCCATTATCCCTGGCAGCACAACCTCCATCCCCTTCCGCCGCCATGTCGGCCGGAACAGAAACTGCTCCGCTGACCGACTAGCATCACCCATTTCCAATGAGTGAAGGGCAGGGCGCCCTGTCATGCCACTCCCCCCACCCCGCCACTATCCCCAGATTCACAAGAATGCCAAGCAAAGGAAGGTCGAATTCGAAAAGCAGCAGAACTGGTTACGGGATGTTTCTTTCCTATCCGGCTGATGTTCCGCGGCACTGCCCGCCGGACCCTTGCTGGTCGTTACAGATCTGTAACGCCGCGTACTGTAGAATGGCGACTCGAATCAGGGAGTTCTCTCTCGTGCGACGCGACGCGAGCGTCGCTGACTGCTGTGGTGCTCGGCGCTGGGAACGACGAAAGTCTTGCTAGTCAGCAGCGCAACCGCGCAGCGAAGAGCCCCAGAAGTGCGGACCGCTGAACATCGTTCTTGCTTTTCGTAGCCGGAACGAGTTTTCAACGCTTACTGCGCTCAGACCTTTGAAAATACAGATCCACTTCACTCCGTCCTGATTTGTCGATACTTTCTACTCCCACAGTTGAATCCATTAGTACTCGCTGTAAGCAGAAGTCATAGTCCGCAGCTGGAGGGCAAAAAATACGTGTTCCGCACCTTCTACACGATTAACTCCGTTTCGCATTCATGGAAAGACGGGTTTATATCGTCGCGGCTCTTGCAGCTCTCCTCTGTCTAGCGCACTTCGCTCCGCGCGTTGCGGAGGCGGCAGTTGCGCCTCCGACGAAGGCGCAGCTGAAGGCGGAGCTGGGGAAGCTGGCGGACAGCGTGGCGCAGAAATACCCGCAGTACTCGAGCTACACCAACACCGTCAAGAAGTATATCGGCCTTGCGCGTAAGTGTGAAGGTTTACTATCTAACAGAGTAGCGCGCTGCGCTAATATCGGAGCAGGCGCATAAGTACCCACAGTACTCGAGCTACACGAAGACCGTCAAGAGATTTAATAGCCTCGCGTGTAAGTGGCTTTGGTTCTGTTGGTGTACCAAAAGAGTAACACGGGGAGCGTCTGAGTGTAGCAACAGCTCCTGCGATGGACTATCGGTTTTTTGCTTCGTTATTGTTACGGAGCATGGAGAAGAAGTGCACATCCCCCTTATTCGCATCCCTGACTTCCTTAATGACTTCTGAACAAGTTGAGAAGTCGCACGACCTTAACTTGTTCAGGCGCACAGCTGAACTTCAGAACAATCAGATTACTCCCCAGCCCCATCACACTCCACCCAACGCTCACTCCAACCCCTCCCCCCTCTCTTTCCCCATTCCCCCCTCCCTACAGTGAATTCAAAATATGACCTATCAGCGCTCGCCAATGCGACCATCCTCATCCCCACTAACACCGAGGCCGAAGCCCTCCTTAAGAAGCTCCCCTTTAAGGCATCCAACATTCCCAAGATCTACAACATCACCGCTTTCCACATCTTACGCATAAGACGCATTGTGCCGCAATTCAAAGCCCTGAAGCCCGGGCAGGCCGTGGGTACTCAATTGAAGCAGGCTCTTTACAAGATGAATCCGTTAAATGGAGCAAAAGTGTCATTTGGGAAGTCGAGAAACGCGCCGGCAGCTGCATGGACTACAGTTCTGACTCCAAGGATTTATGCTGGGCCGTATTTTATCGCACATGGCGTCAACAAAATATTGATCCCATCTGGCACCAGGGTGTGACGTGATTGTAACGCAGTAAGCTGTAACGTGCTATAGTGGAGCAAAGTGTAGAGAGCGAGGTGGATAAAGCCATTGATCCAATACACTCATCAGTGCCCGCGAGGTATTTTGGTAGTGAAATGCATTGGAGGACGTGTTACGTACACCAAAGGTTGCTTTCTGAGCAACCTCTAGGCCTACGGTAGTTCTATTGTTTTGTGCTTGTACCTTCCCTTGTACCTTCCCTTGCATGCCTCCAGCTGCTCCCTAGAACTACCGGTACCTGTATGGTCACTGACCAGGTGACCTGACCTGACTCAGGCCCACAGTTGCAGTCAGACTCAGACATCATGCATGGGTATAGAACTGCTGCATGCATGCACTTGACCATGGTTTGACCAGGCAGAGTAGACACGTCAGCTCCAGCAAACTATATCAACTGGTACTAGATAACATTAAATTTCATGATTCTGTATCTCCCACTTCCACTCTAGCCATCTCATTTTCCATTTCTGCCCTCTCAATACGATCCAATGGCACGCGAGGATTCTTCTGAGCCTCAGCAGCAATTTCCCCGATCTCCTGCCCCCTCGCCCACCAAATAATCGGCTCATCAATGCGGATAATTTGCGAGCAAAACGCTGGAGGCTGCTGTTCTTGAGCTACACTAGCCGTCTCGTTAACATCCGCACCCTCTATAGCCGCGTTTAGAGGTTTCACTCGCTGCACGTAGCCCTGAAAGTGGTTGAGTTTTGCTACAGTAGTATCAAGATCAAATCCGTACGAGTCGTTGAGCACTGGTCGGTGGATCTGCAGCGACGTGATCTTCCGCGGGTTGATGGCGTACTTGCGATGCCCGTAGTAATCCAGGCACATCTCCGCTCTGGCGGAGAGGGGTTGGGAGAGGTTTGAAGGGGTGCAGAATGGAGAGTACAATTGTTGTGAGTCGAAACACAACTCAATCCCTCGTCTTAATGGCGTAGTGCCCGTTTTTATCCAAGCACATCCCAGCCCTGATGGTTGGTTACAGAAAGCGTTTAAATAAGGAAAGCATGAGTGCAAAAGGGTGGATTCTAGATGGCCTCTGATGCTACCCTTCCCAATCAACTTGCTTCAATCACTATCCAGGGACACACACCTGGGGAAGAGCTCTGGTTCGAGGCAGTAGATGTGCGGCCAGTGGTAGAACATGCGCTGAATGCCCCACGTGCAGTTGGCCTTTGCTGCTCCCCTGCACCATAGATGTGCTTCACGGGCACACCTGTATCATACCCCACCCACCTGTATATTGTCACACCCACCTGTACCATGGTCACATCCATCTGTACCGCAGTCACACCTGGGGAAGAGTTCGGGTTTGAGGCAGTAGATGTGCGGCCAGTGGTAGAACATGCGCTGAATGCCCCACGTGCCCTTGGCTTCTGATGGGTCTATGCACCTGGTGGGAGGGAGGGGCAAAGTGTACGGGTTGGGGAATGGGATGGATGGATAGGCATGTGAGAAGGGCATGGAATGTTCTGCCATGACACATGGTATGGGGGAGTGCATGCGAGAGTGCACAAAAAGGGCATGAGGGGAAGCATGGGGGGGAAATTGGGAGGGGGCATGGGAAGGGCCAATGATGGTGTGGCCAGTGGTAAACTCGAACACTGTAAACCCCCATAAATGTTAAGTGCCAACAAAGCTAGATCATGCGCTGAGTGCACCCTTGGCCTGTGATGGGTCTATGCACGTGGTGGGGGAGGGGGGAGCAGGGGGCATGAGTCTTTGAGTTGAAGATCAACTGTCACATCATTCGCCAGCCATGTGACTGATCTTCAAATCAATTAATGCAAACAACCTTCCCAAAAAGGCATCGCACTCACCTCTCAGTGTCCCACCACAGGGTGCCGAACGACAGGTACGAGGCCCCATCATACGACCCGAGCACGAGGGGAATGAGAGGAGGCATATAGGGACGAACAATCCAATCACCTTTCAGTGTCCCACCACAGTATGCCAAGCGACAGGTACGAATCCCCATCATACGCCTCGAGCACGAGCGGAATGAGCCTCTGGTCGCCGGCAGTGCGCTTCAGATGCTCCCTGTACGCCCGAATCACCTCCATCTGCCACTGCTGCTCCCTCGTTCTCCACACCAATCATTGCTCTTAACACTCACAGCAAGCACTGCAAGCGGCCTTCTCAAGAGCACAATACTAACCAAGAGCGCGCCTCACCTCTCGGTGTCCCACCACAGGGTCCCAAAGGACAAGTACGAGGCCCCATCATAGGACTCGAGCACGAGCGGAATGAGTCTCTGGTCGCCGGCAGTGCGCTTCAGATGCTCCCTGTATGCCCGAATCACCTCCATCTGACTCTGCTGCTCCGCCTCCTGCTGCTGCAGGTGCCGCTGCTGCTCCTCCTCCCCAGGAAGCTTCTCCTTCTCTTCCTCCGTCTCGTCCTCTTTTCTCCGCGCCCGCAGCTTTCTGTATTGCTCTCGCATCTGCCTTGCCACTCGCTGCTGCCGTGCCTTTGCGGTTTCTTTCCCGATTTTGGTTCCGTTTAGCCGGTTGTTTGCTCCAAGCCTTGCTTCCTCTGCCTGCTCTGCTGCTCGCCTTTGCTCCAAGGAAATGCGTGTGCCATGTGCAAGTCCTTGCTTCGCTGCCTCTGCCACTGCTGCTCCTGCAGCTGCTGCCTCTGCCGCTGCTGCTCCTGCTCTGTTGTTTTCACCTAAACCTCCTCCTGCTCCTCCTTCGCCTACCCCCCCTTCAAGCTCCACCTCCTCATCCCCCTCATCCTCTCCCTCTCCATCAATCCACCTCCTCGCATCCATCCCATCCATATACCCATCCCAACCCCTCTCCACTCCCTTACCTCTCCCTATATCCCTGCCTCTCCCCTCCTTCTCCTTCCACTTCGCCTCCTCTTCCTCCTCCATCTCCTGCTGTCGCCTCGGCTCCATCCTTCTCTCCCGCGCGAACCGCTTTCGCAGCCGCGACAGCTGCCGATGCCAGTGCTCCATGGCATCTAGCTGTGTGGCCAGCACGTGGGTGTGAGCTTCAACCTAACAAGGGGGAGATGGGGATAGATAGCGGGGTAACGAAGAGTGTGTATGGGCATTGGGCGGGTGCCATCACTGCAGCCGCGACAGCTGCCGATGCCAGTGCTCCATGGCATCTAGCTGTGTGGCCAGCACGTGGGTGTGAGCTTCAACCTGGGGTATGAGAGGAAGGGCATAGGGCATTCAGTGAGCATGGACACCACGTGTAACTGCAGCCGCGACAGCTGCCGATGCCAGTGCTCCATGGCATCTAGCTGTGTGGCCAGCACGTGGGTGTGAGCTTCAACCTGGGGTATGAGAGGAAGGGCATAGGGCATTCAGTGAGCATGGACACCACGTGTAACTGCAGCCGCGACAGCTGCCGATGCCAGTGCTCCATGGCATCTAGCTGTGTGGCCAGCACGTGGGTGTGAGCTTCAACCTGGGGTATGAGAGGAAGGGCATAGGGCATTCAGTGAGCATGGACACCACGTGTAACTGCAGCCGCGACAGCTGCCGATGCCAGTGCTCCATGGCATCTAGCTGTGTGGCCAGCACGTGGGTGTGAGCTTCAACCTGGGGTATGAGAGGAAGGGCATAGGGCATTCAGTGAGCATGGACACCACGTGTAACTGCAGCCGCGACAGCTGCCGATGCCAGTGCTCCATGGCATCTAGCTGTGTGGCCAGCACGTGGGTGTGAGCTTCAACCTGGGGTATGAGAGGAAGGGCATAGGGCATTCAGTGAGCATGGACACCACGTGTAACTGCAGCCGCGACAGCTGCCGATGCCAGTGCTCCATGGCATCTAGCTGTGTGGCCAGCACGTGGGTGTGAGCTTCAACCTGGGGTATGAGAGGAAGGGCATAGGGCATTCAGTGAGCATGGACACCACGTGTAACTGCAGCCGCGACAGCTGCCGATGCCAGTGCTCCATGGCATCTAGCTGTGTGGCCAGCACGTGGGTGTGAGCTTCAACCTGGGGTATGAGAGGAAGGGCATAGGGCATTCAGTGAGCATGGACACCACGTGTAACTGCAGCCGCGACAGCTGCCGATGCCAGTGCTCCATGGCATCTAGCTGTGTGGCCAGCACGTGGGTGTGAGCTTCAACCTGGGGTATGAGAGGAAGGGCATAGGGCATTCAGTGAGCATGGACACCACGTGTAACTGCAGCCGCGACAGCTGCCGATGCCAGTGCTCCATGGCATCTAGCTGTGTGGCCAGCACGTGGGTGTGAGCTTCAACCTGGGGTATGAGAGGAAGGGCATAGGGCATTCAGTGAGCATGGACACCACGTGTAACTGCAGCCGCGACAGCTGCCGATGCCAGTGCTCCATGGCATCTAGCTGTGTGGCCAGCACGTGGGTGTGAGCTTCAACCTGGGGTATGAGAGGAAGGGCATAGGGCATTCAGTGAGCATGGACACCACGTGTAACTGCAGCCGCGACAGCTGCCGATGCCAGTGCTCCATGGCATCTAGCTGTGTGGCCAGCACGTGGGTGTGAGCTTCAACCTGGGGTATGAGAGGAAGGGCATAGGGCATTCAGTGAGCATGGACACCACGTGTAACTGCAGCCGCGACAGCTGCCGATGCCAGTGCTCCATGGCATCTAGCTGTGTGGCCAGCACGTGGGTGTGAGCTTCAACCTGGGGTATGAGAGGAAGGGCATAGGGCATTCAGTGAGCATGGACACCACGTGTAACTGCAGCCGCGACAGCTGCCGATGCCAGTGCTCCATGGCATCTAGCTGTGTGGCCAGCACGTGGGTGTGAGCTTCAACCTGGGGTATGAGAGGAAGGGCATAGGGCATTCAGTGAGCATGGACACCACGTGTAACTGCAGCCGCGACAGCTGCCGATGCCAGTGCTCCATGGCATCTAGCTGTGTGGCCAGCACGTGGGTGTGAGCTTCAACCTGGGGTATGAGAGGAAGGGCATAGGGCATTCAGTGAGCATGGACACCACGTGTAACTGCAGCCGCGACAGCTGCCGATGCCAGTGCTCCATGGCATCTAGCTGTGTGGCCAGCACGTGGGTGTGAGCTTCAACCTGGGGTATGAGAGGAAGGGCATAGGGCATTCAGTGAGCATGGACACCACGTGTAACTGCAGCCGCGACAGCTGCCGATGCCAGTGCTCCATGGCATCTAGCTGTGTGGCCAGCACGTGGGTGTGAGCTTCAACCTGGGGTATGAGAGGAAGGGCATAGGGCATTCAGTGAGCATGGACACCACGTGTAACTGCAGCCGCGACAGCTGCCGATGCCAGTGCTCCATGGCATCTAGCTGTGTGGCCAGCACGTGGGTGTGAGCTTCAACCTGGGGTATGAGAGGAAGGGCATAGGGCATTCAGTGAGCATGGACACCACGTGTAACTGCAGCCGCGACAGCTGCCGATGCCAGTGCTCCATGGCATCTAGCTGTGTGGCCAGCACGTGGGTGTGAGCTTCAACCTGGGGTATGAGAGGAAGGGCATAGGGCATTCAGTGAGCATGGACACCACGTGTAACTGCAGCCGCGACAGCTGCCGATGCCAGTGCTCCATGGCATCTAGCTGTGTGGCCAGCACGTGGGTGTGAGCTTCAACCTGGGGTATGAGAGGAAGGGCATAGGGCATTCAGTGAGCATGGACACCACGTGTAACTGCAGCCGCGACAGCTGCCGATGCCAGTGCTCCATGGCATCTAGCTGTGTGGCCAGCACGTGGGTGTGAGCTTCAACCTGGGGTATGAGAGGAAGGGCATAGGGCATTCAGTGAGCATGGACACCACGTGTAACTGCAGCCGCGACAGCTGCCGATGCCAGTGCTCCATGGCATCTAGCTGTGTGGCCAGCACGTGGGTGTGAGCTTCAACCTGGGGTATGAGAGGAAGGGCATAGGGCATTCAGTGAGCATGGACACCACGTGTAACTGCAGCCGCGACAGCTGCCGATGCCAGTGCTCCATGGCATCTAGCTGTGTGGCCAGCACGTGGGTGTGAGCTTCAACCTGGGGTATGAGAGGAAGGGCATAGGGCATTCAGTGAGCATGGACACCACGTGTAACTGCAGCCGCGACAGCTGCCGATGCCAGTGCTCCATGGCATCTAGCTGTGTGGCCAGCACGTGGGTGTGAGCTTCAACCTGGGGTATGAGAGGAAGGGCATAGGGCATTCAGTGAGCATGGACACCACGTGTAACTGCAGCCGCGACAGCTGCCGATGCCAGTGCTCCATGGCATCTAGCTGTGTGGCCAGCACGTGGGTGTGAGCTTCAACCTGGGGTATGAGAGGAAGGGCATAGGGCATTCAGTGAGCATGGACACCACGTGTAACTGCAGCCGCGACAGCTGCCGATGCCAGTGCTCCATGGCATCTAGCTGTGTGGCCAGCACGTGGGTGTGAGCTTCAACCTGGGGTATGAGAGGAAGGGCATAGGGCATTCAGTGAGCATGGACACCACGTGTAACTGCAGCCGCGACAGCTGCCGATGCCAGTGCTCCATGGCATCTAGCTGTGTGGCCAGCACGTGGGTGTGAGCTTCAACCTGGGGTATGAGAGGAAGGGCATAGGGCATTCAGTGAGCATGGACACCACGTGTAACTGCAGCCGCGACAGCTGCCGATGCCAGTGCTCCATGGCATCTAGCTGTGTGGCCAGCACGTGGGTGTGAGCTTCAACCTGGGGTATGAGAGGAAGGGCATAGGGCATTCAGTGAGCATGGACACCACGTGTAACTGCAGCCGCGACAGCTGCCGATGCCAGTGCTCCATGGCATCTAGCTGTGTGGCCAGCACGTGGGTGTGAGCTTCAACCTGGGGTATGAGAGGAAGGGCATAGGGCATTCAGTGAGCATGGACACCACGTGTAACTGCAGCCGCGACAGCTGCCGATGCCAGTGCTCCATGGCATCTAGCTGTGTGGCCAGCACGTGGGTGTGAGCTTCAACCTGGGGTATGAGAGGAAGGGCATAGGGCATTCAGTGAGCATGGACACCACGTGTAACTGCAGCCGCGACAGCTGCCGATGCCAGTGCTCCATGGCATCTAGCTGTGTGGCCAGCACGTGGGTGTGAGCTTCAACCTGGGGTATGAGAGGAAGGGCATAGGGCATTCAGTGAGCATGGACACCACGTGTAACTGCAGCCGCGACAGCTGCCGATGCCAGTGCTCCATGGCATCTAGCTGTGTGGCCAGCACGTGGGTGTGAGCTTCAACCTGGGGTATGAGAGGAAGGGCATAGGGCATTCAGTGAGCATGGACACCACGTGTAACTGCAGCCGCGACAGCTGCCGATGCCAGTGCTCCATGGCATCTAGCTGTGTGGCCAGCACGTGGGTGTGAGCTTCAACCTG